TGTTCAGCTCGTCCCTGTACACAGATAACTTTAAACATTACACTATTTTATTACAATCTTTATTTTGAGATTCTTCATAAAATGCATATAATATAACATCACACCTTTTATCCCCGGAGGGAGGCAGAGGTGCACATTACGTTACTTAATGCCACTGTCCAATGTAACAACCACTTTTCACTATTTATGTTATGAATCTCATGTAATAGAGGGTGAGCCTAGTAGCCTGTAATAGTTTGCCTGATCCAGGAATCGAACCTGAGACCCCTTGCCCACGAGGCAGTCAGTATTCTACAAAATAAGCGTGTACTTATACATAAATTACTAAGTTTGACATTTGGCATTTAGTCCGCCATTGTATACTCATTGTGCAAAAAGTGTAAATAAATAAATAATAAAAAAAATTTAGTAACACTCCAGTATTCATAATTTTTATATCAAATGCCATGTATAGTGTCTACTTAAGTTAAACTTAACAGATGGTCATCGAGATGGGCAGTGGCAGCGAGCACAATGTCGGTACGTACTGCAGTAGCGTCATGAGATGGTGCACGAAGTCCCCCTGCGCCAGCAGCAGGTAGCGGCGGTGCGCGGCCAGGTGGTCGAGCAGGTGGTGGTGCTCCGTGAGCGCGGCCAGCAGGCGCGCCGACGCCGCGCCGTGCGCGCCCGCCACGCCCGCGCGCAGCCCCGCCGCCTCCCACCACGCGCCGCCCGCGCCCGCTGCGCACACGCCGCGGTTATACGACCGCTAACTAATGTATCACTTGCTACACGAGACTCAGCCTCAGCAATACGTGTACCATCATGGAAGACACATATTTATTATACCACCATGATGATTAACAGGAGGAAATGAATATTTTGAATAAAAGATATATGAGTGACTCACTAGTGTGTGGCTTCAACAAGGCCTGCAGATGCTGCGCGTGGTCGCTGGGCCCGGCGGGCTCGTCCTGGCAGGCCTCGCGCATGAACACCACGCTCTTACCCGTCGCCAAGATCTGCGCAGCCTGCTCCCGGGACATGAACGAGGGCACCATCCACTCCCTGACAATACCACAAACGTTGTTAAAATCATTCATTTGAAATAACTATAAAACTTGTAGAAAGTAGGTACTGACCTCACTCTGTACTTGTCGTGCCACATTCGATCAATAGGCACCCCACTTCTGCTTTCAATGAAAAACTCGTTGAATCGATCGTCAATCTCACCTGCAATGAAATACATGTAGTAGATAAGCTACATTTCTATAACTATACACATATAGCTAGAAAAACGATCCCATCAAAGTTAGATTACCGAATCACAGAGATACACCTAAATGAGATAGTATAAAGGTATTACCGTGTATAAGCCAGCGAGTGAGCATGAGTAGCAGTGGGTAGGTGAGCGCAGTGAGCAGTCTGCGCGCCAACATGGCCACGCGCTCGTCGCCGTGCCGCACGAACCGGTGCACGCACGACGCCAGCTCGCCGCCTGCAACGTGGCGGGTACATGGGCCATGGTGGGGGGACACAGCTGACATCAATACTGATGGATTTAGTGATGGATTTTTCAATCTTTAAATGTGTTTACATTACCATATATGACTTTTTTTATAAAACACGAGAGGTATTGCTTGGTGACAAGCAGAAACCGAGCCTATGATGTTACATAAAGATTGTAAGTTGTACCCTTCTGTAAACACAGAGATATAGCAAGTTAAGACGAAGCCGATACCTTTCTTGTGATGAGCTGCATGTGCAATATTGGCAAGCCAAGTGAGTCTGTGCAGAGGCTCCTGTGCCCACACACATACTCTGCGCAGCGTGCCGCCACCGCCATCTCCTTCACACGCCTGTATTATTACAAATTTATAGTTATATACAAAAATGGTTCCGAGCATTGCTAGAAGTACTCTCTACAGGTATTTATTTACCTGTGATTGTAGTATGGCCACACTGCGATAATATTCAGTAAGTTCATCTCTGATTGATGCTACAAGTCCCTCGCCCATTAAACCTAAAAAAAAGTCATTGTTAAATTGAACCAATAATTATAAAGCCAGTTTATTGGTAATTTTCAATAATGGTATTGCTTACCCTGTGGCATAAGTCCAGAGGAAGGGTCGATAAACTCTTTGAGTCGGTCGTGTAGGAAGCCAAGATGTGCAATACGCGCGTGTAAAGCTTGTTGCGGCCGCGGCGCCACGTTAGCGCCCCGTGACCGCACGCCGGTAGCGGCCAGTACTGCTTCTCGTACGCATGAGCGCTCGTTCGATCGATCTAGAAACACAGATTTTCTTATTTAGGTGTCTAATCTTTATCGAATCAAGTACATTTTTGTTGGTACTACAAAATTAGTAGTGAACGATATTTTACTTATTTGACTACTTCATAAATAAATAAAATAAACCAGGTGATGTTTTATTTCTTATGAAAATGTTTCCATTGGCTCAATAACCAAAAAATACCAATAAATAAGAGGGTTTACAAATTTTGTTACCATTAGTTTGCAACACAACAGCCATGTTGCTGTTATTTGATGGGAGGCTTTGATTGGAACCTTGTTGTTTGGGAGCATGACTGCCCCAACTCACAGATCCAATAGTACTTTTACTGGTACTTGATGCAGTTCCACAAATTCCTGATGATGATTTCTGGAGCAAAATTAAAATTTGATTTAAAATTTTATTTAGTGTTTTTGGGTTGCTAATGAATCAAGGAAGTTTTTCTAATAGTTTTATGCTTAGTGTAATATTATTTTTTAAGCAAAATGCAGTTTTCTATTGACCAAATTAGTGACTCAAAACAAAATTTGATACTAATTTACTTGCTGTTTTAAAACAAATGATATTTCTGCCAGAATTAATATAAATAAATGTTATGTATTGACCACAACTTAAAACTGAAATGACTTAAATCAAACCAGTAGTTTTTTATTTATTGATGTTTTTGTAGATCGTTCTGGATTTTTTCACCAAAACCGAAAATGTTGAATATCTCTGAAACTATGGAACCAGAGATCTCACGGCTAATATTGTAGGAAATTAGTTGTACTATCACCTCCCGAGAGGAATATGTCAAATTACAAGTCACATTGTATATACAATCATATAGTTGTTAGACAAATGTGTTAACATTAACAAAAGTAGTTAATGTGTAAACAGTACAGCATTTGTCTTTGGTTGAGTTGGATAAGTTATAAAACCTTATGCAATCATTAATGACTATTTAAATTCTTGAGACATTAGATCTTCCTAGCTTAATATATCTGGATTCTAGATGTTAACTCACGGTAGCGGCTAGATGTGGTATTGGGAATAGTTGTTGTGTGGATTCCGAGTGCTGAGGTGTCTCTGAGAGAGCAAGTAGTAAAGACAACACTGACACACGCTGCTTTAGAATAAACTGCAACACAACACAACATATACCGCTTTTATTTCAATTCAAAACAATATTTTTATTCTATTTCTTTTTTTTTCTTAATACTTACAGAACTTTTGAGTTTAGAATAATATTCATTAAATTTATCTGCATCTCTAGCTGATACACTGGTGAGTCTTGTTTGAATCTTCTGGCAAAGTAATCTTTCATCCTGAACTGTACGAGTTTTCTCACCAGTGGACGATAAATATGACACAGCCAGTTCATATGCACCATCTGTTCAAGAAGAATATTCATATATAACAGAATCAGATTAATGTTTAAAATACAAGCAAACCACATACAAAGCAAAATTCAAGACTAAACAAACAAAAGTGACAAGAAACATAAGAATTTTTTTAAAATTTTTCTTATTATTTTCAATCAAACTAAACTTCCCTTTTCTTAAACTGGGTATCAAAGACCTAAAGTAATCCTGTAAGCTATTCATAATTAACAAATCTCAAAATAATTAAAACTGATGATAAACCGTCTCTATGACATTTACATGCAAATTTATCAAAAACAATAAATGATGTTTTGAAAATAGAATTTACCTGGATCGAGTGACAATCCTGCACATAATTTTTGAAGTAATCCAGAGAGATTATTTGAAGACAGGTCCATTTTAATTTAATATTTGATGAGTGTACATAAGGTCATTGAATTTTAATCAAATCATTTGCAATCTATAAAACACTACAAGCATCACAATATTTACAAATGTGTTTTGGAAAAGCCCGAAAGATTGATCGTACAGATTATCTTGCGAATTCGATATCGATGGTTTGATAAGCTCAATGAATTAAGTTCATTCTTGAAAACAATTATTTTGATTAACCAGAAATAATTGACTTCAAATGAATTATTTAATTAAAAACGATCAAATGAAACGAAAATTGAGATTGTCAATTATTTTGACAGTTGGTTTTATCAGTGTTGCCATGGGCGTACAGAACAGTACAAAATACTATGCCACCTTATTTCAACCTCGACTAACTTTATCATGCACTCGACTAACAACTTCAACACAGCTGTTTTACAAATTTAAATCTTAGAAAATGTGTACTTGGGTTTGTGTGACTGTTACATTAGAGTATAATAAATATAAGCACTTTCATTGTAAATATGACAATACGAATTTAGTTAGTTATTCTAATCTTCGTAATAAATATCAAATAATGAGCCATTGCCGTTCGTCGTCGAAGTCAAAACATCATTAATCAATAATCATTTAAAAAGTAAAAATTATCTAACCCTGACAATTCCCCCAAAGAGAGAGTATATTAAGTATAGCCCCCCCCCCCTATCTATACATATTAGCAGAGTATAATAATTTTATTTTAGTATAGTCTATTAGCATAGATTGACAATTTACAAATGATAACATAACCTTAAAGTTTGTATTGGTTTCATATAGTAATTATAATTTCCTCATTTCCTCATCAATTCCTGATTATTTGAAGATTTAATTGATGCATTCATCCACGAAGTAATTTAAATTATTACAAAATATTTTGTGGTTTTATTATTTTAGTCGTACGATACCATTATATGGTATGTGCTGCTGCATTTGCTAGGCTGTTTTTGTAATAATGAATCCTAAAAGCCCCGAAGCACGTAGCCGAGATGAAAAGCCATTTGAAGGAATGCTAATTTCCAATTCAGAATTTTTATATGATTTGGATGGCAGGAGTACATGCCCTCGCTGTAGTAAATCTCGGATGTATTTCTGCTATACATGCTACATTCCGGTACCCCCCATTCAGGAAAAAATCCCACAATGTAAGGTGAGTTAATTATCTAAATCCAATGTTAGTTAGGTATCTGGTTGGATGATCAACAAACTGGTCTGATTACTAGGAGAGGTAACCTCGTGGAAGGGTAATTTGTAAGTTATTTGTTTCCAAGCGTGTATATTTGAATAAGATAAAATTTGAGAACTTTAAAAATAGCAACTTTTACACCACCTTTTATTTTTCAGCTGCCTATTAAAGTTGATATTATTAAGCACCAACGAGAAATCGATGGGAAAAGTACATCAGCACATGCAGCAGTTTTAGCACCGTATGATGTTAGTGTTTACACATATCCAAATGTACCAGAGTATGCTCTAGATGGCAGAACAGTATTATTATTCCCAGGAGTGTCAGCTAGGACTGTTAAAGAATTATTTACTGGACAAAAAGATGGCCCAAGTTATTCTGATCTTTTATTAGCTGAATTACCTTCTGGGTACAATGTTTGTACAATGATGACAAAAATATTTAATTCTGATGATATTGATGAAATTCATCATGTCCAGAAATTACCTATAGATAGAGTAGTACTAATTGACAGCACTTGGAATCAAAGTAAAGGTATTTACGCAGATGAACGAATAAGAAAGATACCCACAATCGTGTTACAGCATAGAGCTTCACAATTTTGGCGTCATCAACGCGGAAGTCCTAGATGGTACCTTTCAACTATAGAAGCTTTACATCAGCTTCTACTCGAGTTACATATATGTGCATGGGGAAGAAGTGAACACTACGAGTCAACACTGACAATCAATTCTCCCATACATAAAGTAGAAGAGGACCATGTGCAGTGTCAACCTTACTCAGGGCAATATGACAACTTACTATTTTTCTTCAAATTTATGTATGAAAAATTACATAGTCTTTATAAGCATGATGATTTATTAGCATATAAGAGGCCAATGACATAGTTTTCTTTAACTTAGAATAATGTTTTACCTTGATGGTTGATGGAACAGCAGCTTACAAAAAAGGATGAAACAATAATTACCAAGGCTTTCATTTTTCTTTCCTTACTAAGAAATATGAGTCAATAAAATAAGACATACTACTAATACAACTTATATGCTTTTTATTTATAATTATAAAAAGTTCCTATTATTACACAAGTAACAAAAATTAAGTAACTAGTTTGCTATAAAGAAGTAAAATTATATTATGGATTAAATTCAAGTGACATTGTTGTTATATTATAAAACCACTTTGCACTACAAATATCTTACATGCAGGGGATGATCATGTTATATGATATAATTCAGTATAACATTATAGATTGAATTTTGTGTGATTGGAAATTACCTTAACATTAATGGATAATATTTATCTATAGTTATAGTTATTGCCATAAATTCAAAACAGACAATTCAGCTACAATAAAATTAAATACATATTCTGGTTCCTATAGTCATGTGAAAGTTCGAAATCATCGTCTGATTTTCTTATGGTTAAACACACATACAGTGTTTCTGAAAGCTTGTTGTTATAGTTTACGCAGGTCGAGAACAAAAACACTACCGTCACTTGCGCTTGCGCCGACCTTGGTGCCTCGTGAATTCCAGCACACTTCGAAAATACCGCCGGTACCTTTATAGGAGTGAACTAAACTTCCGGTTTGTGTAGACCATATGTGAACACATTTGTCAAATGAACCGCTAGCCAGGAATTTGCCATCTGGTGAGAATGCGACACTATAAACTGGTTCAGTATGTTTTGTAAGGGTGTGTATGCATACACCTCTCTCCACATCCCATAGACGAACAGTGCTGTCAAAGGAAGCACTGGCTAAGATGAGGTTCATATTGGGGTTTTGAGTTCCAGGCCCTGTAGGTGACCATTTGATAGTGTAAATTTCTTTCGAATGTGCTTGTAAATCATGTACGCAAGTGTCTTGTTTCATAGACCAAATCTTCAATGTCATATCATCTGAGCATGATGCTAGCAACTGCCCTTGTGGATCCCATTTTATAGCATTCACTTCATTCTGTAATAAAATTTTAAAATTGAAATCAAAATAACTTTTTATTTATAGTTTATTTTATTAGTTACTTACAGTATGTCCTTGGAAGCTTTTAATTGGTTTATCAGCATTTAGTTTACAGACATGAATACATTGGTCAGTGGAGCATGATGCAAATGAAGTGTTGGTTTGCCAATCTACATCAAGCGCTGGTGCCAAATGGAATGAAAATTGTTGTGTACATTGTCCTGTTGAGGCATCCCAAATAATGGTAGTCTTGTCAACCTGCAAATATTAGTTAGTTACTTCCTAGACTTAATTAGATCCCTCTACTCATAGGATTTATTAGCTAGATCTGATATAGTATGTGTATGTATTACCATTAAAATAGACCTCTATACTTACTCCTGCACTTAAAATATAATTTCCACGTTTGTTCCACTTCAAAGCAAATATAGGTCCTTTATGTTGACCTAATGTTGATGCCAGTGTACCATCTGTGGTCCAAATCCGAGCGTAGCCATCGTATGAACCAGTAGCTAAGAGATTTCCATCACACTGCAAGAATAACAACTATGATAGCATATTGCATGTACATTCCAACTATAGGTTGGGATAAAAGAGATCCAACAATTACAATAATAACTGCCTAAGTATGCAAAGGAAAAGTGAAATATATATAAATGAGTAGAAAAACAAGTTGACAGCCATTATTTTCATATTGAAGGTACCCATTTATTAATTCACAACCTTGTTTAAAATAAGTATCTCTGTTGTAGTCCTTTTCATTTTTAAGTATTCAAGTAGAGAAGTATTTAAGATGACATACATAACATAACATCACATCTTTTATCCCCGCAGGAGTAGGCAGAGGTGCACATTATGCCACTGTACAAATTTAACACCCACTTTTCACTATTTATGTAGTGAGTCCCATATAAAAGGGGGTGAGCCTATTGCCATATACCAGGCACAATTCCAGACTCCATGCTACTGCTGAGAATTTTTTAAAACCTAGGAATCGAAACCGAGACCCCTTGGCCAATATTTAAGATAACTATTTATATTTAGTTGCTAAGTTCAAAGACTTATCATTCTTTAGGCTGGTTTTACAGTCACGCCGCTAGACGCGCCGTTGGACAGCGCGCTGTTGGACAGCGCGCGTTTGAACAGCGGTGCACCATAAAACGACATTAGTACGGCGCGTTTCGCTGCTGTGAGACAGTCGTGTACAAACAGATACAAAATGAACGGCAATGCGGTTAGAGTACTGGCTATTTACTTTTTATGGAAAAAAGGCAACAAAAACGTCGAAGAACAGTAGGTGTTGATCCTTATAACGCTACAAGGTTACTGAGAGGCGAACACGTAACATCTTTCTCTGATTTACGAGAAAATAGTTATAAATTTATTTTTTGCGTCCTTATTCTTATAAAAATCATCGGCCGGGTCCCATAAACATCTTCTAATTCGCACTTCGTCAATTACTCGACCCGTATCGATGTGATTCATTTTGTACACAACAGTACCTAACGGCACGTCTCAACGGCGTGAGACTAAAACGCACAATGGCCGTAGAAGCGCACGAGCGGCGCGCGCTTCGACCGCGCCGCGCGAATAGGACGCGTTCAACGAACGGCGCTGCTCAAGCGCGCGAATTTGAAACGCTACTAATACCCCAATACATATCCGAGCGCGCGCGCTCCGACGGCGCTGCCGAAACGCGTGACTGTAAAACCAGCCTTACTTACATTCCAGTCTAGGGATGTGACATCTTTGTTGCTTGGTACCTCAGCTCCACCCTTTTGTATGCAGTGTCTCAGTACTAACTGGTTAGGTGTGGTTGCTGGATTATCTGACATGTCCCATATTCTGGAATTCATAAAAAGAATTAATAATGTTACTCCTTTTAAAATATTATAGTGTAAATGTTTAATTGATAGCAGTAGTATTTTCATTTTGCTTTGTTGTACAAACAATGTACCTAGCTGTACTATCACCCGAACCACTGGCTAACAGGTCTGTACTAGGGTTCCAAGCACAGATGAATACTTCAGATTCGTGTCCTCTTAGCACTGTGGCTTTGCTAGCCGGTATTTCTATAGATTGATCCATGTCCATTGCTTCTGGAGCACTGGGAGTGGCAGCTCCGCCTGGAGTAGCAGCTGCAGCATTACATGTAGTGCCCTGAAAATATCAGAGTTTTTACATATTAAACTGTCAAACACCGAGCGGTCACCGGTGACCGCAACCTATTGTTCTTTAATTATATCTATAAATACGGTACTCGACGAGTTAACAGTCTTCAAGTACAACATGTGAATTGACATAAACATTTATAATAAGTCCTGTGGTTATCCACAGCAATATACATAACTAGATGTTCGCCGCGACTTTGACCGCATATAATAATGACTTCCAGCGAATTTTGGATTTTTTAATTAGTCTTCTCCAAGGTTAATTGCAATGCTGTGTTACAAGTGTCATCAGAATCAATATAGTTATATTTATTGTGAAATGTTGTTTATTTTCGTGATTTCAAAAAATAAACAATGCCACAGGAGGGATTCAGTGATTATATTTGAATTCCAATCAAATAGGTGCAGCAGTTGAAAACTACCAGGTGTCATTTTCTAAGTCTCAAACTAAACGGACTTTGTGGTTTAAACGGACAAACACCGCGAGGACACCAGTGTCCACACACCTATTGTTCTTTAATTGTGTCTATAATTACGGTACTGTGGTTCAGTGGTTAATAAATACTGATTTTCAGCCTCTGGCTAATGGCTGAATACTAATTTTCAGCCTCTTTGCATACAATAATGTTATATCATTATAATAATAAAATAAATTGTCAATAATCCATTGGTATGAAACTCACTTGTCAAAAATATGTCAGATGACATAGAAAGGTATAATTAATATTATAAATTTAGAAATTGACATAAATTTTTTACTGATTTGAGATAGTAGAAAGGATTGTAAGTAGCATAGGCAACATTTTGTTTCTTTCTAACCCACCACTTTCCTAAAACAGGAGCTGGAAGTTTGTTTGAAGCATTTCGTAATTTTCAAGAAACCTTAAATTAGTGCCATATTTGTGACCAGGAAAACATTGGGCACCAATTCTTTTTTATCTTCGATAAAATGAATTAAACATATTCAGTTAATTTAGAATAAGTCCTGTGGTTATCCACAGCAATATACATAACAATATAATACTGCATATACATACATCAACTCCATTCTGTTCTCCACCAGATCCAGGTTCAGCCTTAATTGCTTGCTTTTGAGCATTATGTGCATTTTGTCTTGCAGCCACAATATCTGGTGTGACTGCATCAATCAAACTTAAACTCTCTGTCAGCCGTGTCTCAGTTCCTGTCATAAAATTATAAATTCCAATAAATATTTTTTGCAACCTCTATGAGTAATGTAAGTATGTACCAATGAGTTATAAGCAAACCAGATTCAACAATAATTAAGAAAGTCTCTTAAACTTGTTTTGCACAGTACATAAAACATACCATCTTCTCCAATCGTGATTTCTGCTTCTGTGTATTGTAATCCCTTTTGCAGTATGTTTAGTAATGCTGCAGGTGGTACCAAGGCTCCATTGATGTTACTTTGAGATATATGTGATTCAATACCAAATGTGTAAGCAGAATGGTGGAAGCCTGTAATTTAGTATTATAAAATTAAAAATATTTTTAACGACAAGGTTTTATGAGATGGATATAAAGAATTAGTTTTGGACAGTCTAAGATTGGCAGGATAATTATGTATTGTACTCAATGTATAAGATCATATTTTTGTCCTCATTCTTCCTGTTTGGAAATTGTAACAAAGCTTAGGGTAATATCTTAACATATTAATAGACAATTTTCCATAAAATCGAATGGTAAATTAAAGACAAAACCTTAGAAATAAAATTTATGAAAGAAGACGTTGTTAAAACAAGTTAGCGTCAGAAAGTTCAATGAACCATACCTGATTCTTGCAAGTACCGATACACAAGGAAATTGACTTCGTCACTAGAAAAACTCATTTTGTATTTCAGTTAAATACATTCATTGAAAAGAAAACAGCAATTATAATTAAAAACTCGGCAAAACATGCAACCCCTGTATTTACTTCCTATGACCATAGATTACTTTGCAGTCTGCTTTCGTCGATGACTTGTCGATGATAACCTGCCATAAACTCACATTTTTTTTTAAATTATGGGAGTAATGATTTCAGGCAGTGGGAACTCAAGTAACGGGCAGTGAATGTGATTGATTGGTATTGGGCAATGGCAACAAGTGTGTAATTTTGTAATCCATTACATTAATTTACTAGACCAGTAAACCACTTTATGTTAAACCTTGTAATAGCAAAACAACTATAACTAAAGTTACAGGCAAATCGGGGATTGGACCATACGACCGCTATATATATACATATATTTTTGTACTGAGTCACAAATCACGCTAGCACGGTACATCTTGCGTTTGCAATGAGTAGCGAAAAGAATTATGTAGTTTAAAAAGGGGCCGCTAGTCGCGCCAAAATGTGGCCTACCCCGTTCAACTCGCACGATTGTTTTTCACGCTCATCGCAGATGCAAGACGAACAGTGTTAGCATGGCCAGTGACTAATTATCTCTCGCTTTATGGTTATTCACCCTTCTTCATTTAAATGACTCACAGACAGACAGACAGACAGACAGCTGTCTAACTGTTGTCAGTCAGACTGTTCGAGGATCGAGAATGAAACCTGAGACAACTTGTTTGTATACTTATTGGTACGGGCGGTATACAAGTAGATGAACCACCTGACGGTAAGCAATCGGCTCCGCCTATGGACTTTGCTATGGCCATCCGCAATATCAAAGGAGCTAATAGTACGTTGTCGGCTGGATCGCTTTTTGTGAGTTAAGGATTAGGTGATTGGAAATTAGGGATGTAGATATGTTGAATGGAATAATTGAAGCGCAACTCTAACGTTGTTTCACGCCAGTTTCCTACGAGGGCCTGTTAATAATTCGGTTGAACTGGCCCATTCGTATTGAATCTTATATCGTTGCTCATGTTTGCAGTGCCATTTGTCATAACTGCAAATACATAAAATAAATCTTATGATTAATGAGGCTGAGTTTAATTGTATACGGTACATATTAACTGTAAGTCGTGTTATACTACAAAAATGCACAGACGTGTACAGGATGTTTGGCGCATGGACCAAAACATTTTTTTCAGGGAATTGGTAGGTCATTAGTTACCCGTATTTTTACAAATTATAATATAATTTATAATTTCTGTTGCTTGTAGCATACTTTTAGAAAGGGTTTTATTAACTAAGGATTTTTTTTACATAAAACTAAGATTAAAATGTCCTTTGATTATTTTTTTAATTCATCTTGGATTTAATTCATCATTTAGAATAGCTAATGACCTCCCAATTCCCTGAAAAAATTGTGTCGCTCCATGCACCAAACACACCAAAAATAGAAAGTTACTTTAATTTTTTCCTTCTTAAAAATAGTTCACATTTTACTCACTAGAAAGCGGGGTTGTACGCTCTGTTCCGTACTAAATATATGCCTATGTATGGGTCATCTCTACATCAAAAAGAAGGCTGTATCGTAGTACCTTTGCCTAGCAAAATTTATAGGAGTTGAAACAAATAAAAACTATTTTCGTTCTTACTTACCTTACGTCAAAAAAAGTGTTAGTGTAATAATTTTGGTGGTTTATTTCAAGATTTTTTCAGTAAATTGAGTATATGGTAAACGCAAAGGTAACATTTTTTCTATATTTGTTTTTCTTAGCGATTTTGGACGCTCAAGTGCAACAAATCTGTTTTTTTTTTGCTTTGTCTTGTTTGGGATTATGACGCCATTTTGTCGCGCCGGCTGATCTTATGAATTATTATTTTGTAGATCTTCTTCTGTGGGTAGGGCAAGTATTATAATTATTTAATAATAGAATACTTCCTTGGAGTCATATTTATAATTAGTAGCTATCAACGAAAGGATTACAATTACATAAGCTTTAAAATTTTAAGAGGAAAATGATTGATTTGGGTATCGCACCAATATTGCATAAAATATTATATTTTCTACCTATTATTTTAGAGTAAACATGACGTGATATTAACATGCGATATATTTTGGTATCTTAATTAAAATCGTATTTGTTGTGCGTAATAAAGCTATACTTATAAGCAAAGATAAGTGTGGGCTTTGGTGACTCAAATTCATTTTTGTGATGGATTATAATTAGATGAACTGATCATTTATGTTTTCTTCTCACTTACAAGATTACAAATTGCTGTCACACATAAAACAGTAATGTATTATAAAAATAATATATACAACAATTCTATTTTATTTCTTCTATTGTTTAACTCTTGTAGATGGCCGAATTATTGAAGAATATTACAGATCAATAAAATAAACGTTGATCTATCAACAGTACGATAAAGAATTGCAATTTAAGCTCTTATTTTCAGGGGGTGCAATGATTAATCACATGTTAAAATAATGACTATATCAATGAAAGAACAAGATCAAATGCCAGGGGAGGTAAGAATATTATATTTTTATTCAGATGAGATGATTTATTCTACACCAACAATTATTTCTAATACCTTTTAAACATATATATATATATTCCTTAAGAGGAACAATAGTTGATACCAATAAGTTATTATAAAAAATAATGTAAAGCTTTTTTTGCATACCTACTGGTAATAAAAGTGCAATAAGAAGAATTTTTTGATCAGATATTTTAAGTAGTCACAGCTTAATGTCAGGTTAAATATGTAACATTTTATCAGATGGCATTCCCCGAGGCCAAATTAAAGGCATTGGAAGAGAAGATATCTCATCCCCGCTGGGTGGTGCCTGTGTTGCCTGAACAGGAGTTGGAAGCATTGCTAATTGCTGCCACTGAGTTGGCAGCAAAAGGTTAGTAAAAACTTAACTTTTACTAATTGGTTTAAAATCTTATTAGTGTAATCACATTTTATATGATCACCTTCATTATTGTGATATTGAAAACTATACTATATATATATTAAAATTATGCCCAGAAATAGTGAAGTGCAATGCTAAGGATGTGGAAACTTGGAAATTGTAAAATATATTTTGGGGAAAACCCACTTGTTAAAATGTGTTAATAACTCCCTTTAAGTATTTCTTACTGTGAAATAATGATTATAATATGGATATACGTAGACAAAGTTGTTATCTAGTGTACTGAATGTCTGTTATCAATATCTTACTAATTTTGTGTTTATGACAAAAACAGCTGTTTGTTTGTTGACAAAAATGTATTATTTATGCAGGTGAAGATGCAACCCACCCAGCTTGTCAGAGATTCTATAATGATGCCTTAACAGTGTCATTTACTAAGATACTGACTGATGACGCAGTTTCATCCTGGAAAAATAATATACAACAATGTGTCCGTTCTAACTGTGAGAAACTCGTCAAACTTTGTGCGATGAAACTAGATGATCCAAGATTTCTGCATTTATTATCTATGACATTCAATCCCAATAACAAGTAAGAAATAATTTCATAATTATTAACAACATTAGTGTATTAATAATGATCATCATTAATTACTTAAGTGATGCATTATCATGAATTTAATCTGTAATAATTTTATTACCCTTCCATATTATTCTGTTTCTGTTTAATAATGTTATTAAAGCTGTTGTGTAATTAAAGATAAGTTTGAATAATAATTTATTACAAAATTGTAATATTCTGTTAATATCCACAGATTTCACACATTCAATGCATCAAGAACTTGTGAAGGCCTGTCTATTACTCCACCTGGACAAGGTACCACCCAAGAGTCGGAAGTGTTTGCAAGGTCACAGGACCACCGCACACCAAGAGGATGGCTGGTTCATTTAATTAATGTGTATGTACTGCTTACATACCACAACAAACCACACTACATACTGATTGCCTGCATCTATCTATAATGTTAAACATCACTGATTGTTTTTATTGTAAATATTGTATAATTTCATCAGGTTTGGTCAAGCTGGTGGCTTTGTGAAACTTCGAGAAAGGTTTGAAACAATAATGGGATTTCAAAAGACAGACCTGACGTCTTCAATCACTTCTGAAGAAAAAGTTTCAACTGAAATCATAGAAAAGGAGAATGAAGAAAACAAATGTGATAAAGTTGAGAGCACCGAAATAGTTCCAGTTATTGCTGATAGTGGTGAAGTATGTTATTTCATTTTAGACAATGCATTTTATAATTTGTTTTAAGTCTTGATATGCTCACTGTATTATTATTGTTTAAGTTTTCCATACCGGCGCGCAGTGAGCAACCCTCATCACTCGAGCAGTCCACTAGTGGAGAGACTCGAGTCGCGACCGTGTGGCAGTTGCTGCGACCTCTAGGGCTCTGCCACGATCTCCTCACATCACACACTGTTACCACGTACCTGCTGCCTGTACTCGTGAGTGTATTATGATAAATGTCACAAGTACTTATTATAGTGGACTCATTTTTACCCACATGATCAATTTTTAATGACCTTTTACATATTACGATTTATACTTGAATTTGTTCTCAGGAATGTATTCCCACATTACTTGAGAGTTTGACTGATGAAGAACTGAAGAGAGAAGCGCGCGGTAGTGAAAATAAGACTGACACTGTTTCTTGTTTAATTCGCGCCTGTAAATACGTCTCAGTAAAAACTCCCCAGTATCACAGTTTACTTAAATGTAAGTGCCACGTTTTCATATTGTTACTTCTAATGTTATAATAATAATATTCATATTTTTATCGTATCGTATATTTTAGTTTGATAGGTAACTCCTTAATCCATTATTGTGCATTTAAAGGTTTGTTAATAATATGCTTCCTATTGGAATAGTAATTGCTATCCTGCCTTTGGGATTTGTGGGGAAAAGCTCTTATACTCTTTATAGAATTCCAGGTACTATACCAATCAGAGGTACTATATCTCTAATTGTGTATACTTATAGGATGAAGAATGCCTTAATTTACTTTTATTCCTACATGGTTTGATTTAGACTTCTGCAATAAAATATATATTTTCTTCTTGCTGTACCAACGTTAGTCTTGTATCATATTGTCAGTAAAAGTAACTGACGAAAAATAATTTGATCGGAAGTTCATAGAAATTATACATTGACTTACAAGTGTTTATCGAATTAATGATAACATAAAAGAGAAAGCTTCAATCCTTTACTGGGAAATGTAAAGGACGCATTTACGAGAATCATATTGCCTATACGGCAATAATTCAAGATGGAATATTCCAAGTTTATCAAGCTGGTGTTCCACTACGGGTTGGGTCGGTAGCATACCCTGTAGCTGCTAAGGGGCGCAGTTGTAATACCTCCCCTTTGCTGCTACATTGTATGCTACGGACCCACGTATCACTTCGGAGATGCCGGCGACTGAAGACGAAGATTTCTCACAAATGTTTAGTTAGCCCATGATTGGGAACATATATAATTCGTCTGCAGACCTGTAGTCAAAGATTCCTTGCGAAAGAGCTAGCGTACCGTGTTTTTACTGCTTTTAATTATACTTTACTTTTCTCGGCTGGACCTATGTATCTCTCAAAAATTTACATTTGAAACATTCCAGATGTAGTAGATATTAATGAGAGTCGTTTGTTTCAGCTCTTGAAATGTTTCGGTTGAAAATGATATTGCGTTTATTGCAAATGTCTTCATTCAATGGGAAAATGTCGGCTCTGAATGAAATCAATCAACTTATTAGTACATTCTCTCAGCAACCTAAACCAGAGTGGCTTACACCAAGTGTTATAACAGTAAGATTTTTATATTTTATTGCTACAGATTAAACTATTGTTGGGGCGAGGTGTTAATTTCATTATTTTATTTTAGACTTGGATTCGTGAAAACAAAGTAGTGGACATAGTCTTACGAGACTCCCTTCACCAGCCGCAGTATGTAGATAGACTGGAGAAAATGCTTAGGTTTATGATAAAAGAGAACTCTTTGACGCGAGATGACTTGGATGCTATATGGAAGGCTCAGCACGGCAAGCACGAGGCGATTGTCAAGAACTTGCATGACTTACTAGCCAAACTGGCTTGGGACTTTACTCCTGATCAACTTGACCATTTATTTGACTGTTTCAAGGTGAGTTCATACTTCAGTACAGTTATCTACTAATTCACAGTTTATGGAAACTTAATATTAATATGAGATCTTTATAGGCAAGTTGGGCTACGTCCAGCAAAAAGCAAAGTGATAAACTACTAGAGGTAATAAGAAGATTAGCAGAAGATGATAAGGATGGCGTAATGGCAAACAAGGTAATTACATACATAACATCACGCCTTTTTATCCCCGAAGAGGTAGGCAGAGGTGCACATTTCGGCACTTAATGCCACTGTACAATGTAACAGCCACTTTTCACTATTTATGTTATACGTCCCATGTAATAGGGGGTGAGACAAATTATTATTTAGAATTGATCTCCAATAGTAAAAATAAGTTACAGATGTTATGTAATGTACTTTAAAACAAACTTTATATTTTAGGTATTAGTGCTTTTTTGGAATTTGGCCCACTCAGACGAAGTATGTACTGAAATAATGGATGTGGCATTAGCTAATCTGATAAAAATATTAGACTACAGCTGTAGCCAAGATCGTGACGCACAGAAAACGCTTTGGTTGGACAAGTAAGTATAACATGTGCTCTGCTTTGCGTTCGCCTACTTGTATCGGATTCTGTATTCATTCTGATTAAATAAGATTCTCATAATTATGTTACTAATGAAGTTTTGGTACAAGACCCTTTATAGGTTATCGTATAAATTCCTGATTTACTGGCTAATTTTATAATGTGTTTAGGTGTGTGGAAGAACTGAAAACAAATGAAAAGTGGGTGTTACCAGCATTAAAAATGATGCGCGAGATTTGTTGCCTATACGAGGCGGGCGGTGGCACGGGCTTACGACCTCACGTCACCCGACAGGAACTGATCGATCGCCTGCAGACTCAGCACTCGCTTGTCATACTCGTAACAGATTCACTCACACACTACATGGAGGCTGTGCGGACTAAACTGGCCGGTGAGTGTATTACTAAGGAAATGATCATATTTCGAGTTCAAAACAGTCAAGTTTCTTATAATGATAATAATTTTGCAGAAGAGGGTGATATTGACTGGGACAACTGGCTACCAGATGGCAGGTACCCACATGCGGCTCAAGTACATGAACGATTGAGTTTTCTAAGATTTCTCTTGAAAGATGGACAACTGTGGCTGTGTGCTGAACAAGTGAGGGGGCTACTTACCTTCATATTTTTTTGTGAATCTTTTATTCTTTGTGTAATTCCTGCTCATATTTTCTAGGCAAAACAGATATGGGTATGTCTGGCCGAGAAGCCAGCACACCTGGGCGACCGTGAAGCCTGTTTCCGATGGTTCAGCAAACTTATGGGTGAAGAGCCAGATTTGGATCCTAATATTAATCTACATTTTTTTCGACGGAACATTATGACATTGTCACCGAATTTATTAACCCACGCTGGTATCAAGTGTTTTGAAAGGTAGCGCTTCATTTTACGCATATTTGTCTCAATCCATCAGGTCATTTCTAATTAATGTATGAATCTTTCCAGATTCTTCAAGGCAGTAAACTCCAAAGAAGGCAAACTAAAAGTAAAGAGACGAAGCTTTTTACTTAACGATGCAGATCTCATAGGATTAGATTATTTATGGAGGGTAAGTGTCGCCATTTTATGGTATCGGAGTTGAGTGAATATAAGTAGTGGGTAGTGACGGTGAGCGTGTCGCAGGTAATAACGGAGTGCGAGGACGAGATCTCGGCGCGCGGCATCGAGTTGTTGCGCGAGGTGAGCACGTGCGTGGGCCCGCAACTGTCGGCCGCGCAGCACCACGAGGCATTCCTCACGCACTGCTGCGCGCGCACCCAGCGCTTGCAGAAGGACATGGAGGCGCACGAAGGTGACCACTTACTACATACATACGCTTACATTTACAGCGACTTCTACTCGACTACATCGCCTTAACTCTAAACGTCTGTTACAGATTCGTCAGAGAGTTGTACGAGAATGTGTAGAGTGATTCGTGCCATACAAGAATATATTAACGAATGTGATAGAAGATTTTCCGCAGAACGGCAGATATTACCTATCTATAGGTCGGGCCGAGGGAGGCAGTGTACGATTATAGTCAGATTTAATTTTCAAACTGGCCAAAGACAAATTGAAGATGTTGAACTTTTTTCACACTCGAATGAGACACTGCACTCCTTGCGTTCTAATATACAAAGAAGGTTAGTTTTCCTCTCTGAATGTGATTTCCGATTTTGTTATTTTAACCTTAAATTTTCTGTCAATCTTTTTTTGTTCTAGGCTGAAGAATGCTTCAGAGAGTAATATAAAGTTAGAACTGTATGTAAATAAGTTGGAACTGTATGTTAATGGGGAGCTATTAGATTCTAGTCACGATAGAAAAATTCTCTCGCAAATCCCGCTTCGTGACAAAACTGTTATTGTCGCTAAGGTAATTAGACTTTCTTTTTGTAACACGTGTGGTACCTACATTCTACAAAAAGTATACAAAATTAACAAAATATGGCTGTGGTGATGCAGGTGTATGACGGACAAGTATGTGGCAGTGGTGGGTGCGGCTCGTCGAATGAGTCTAGCAGTGACTCGTCTACTTCTTCGCCTCCGTTGTCACCCACACCGGAGCACGCATTGCCTGGCGTTGTAAGTACTTACTAATTGTAATTAAATACTTAAAACTAAAATCTTTTGTGAGTACAATCACACACTGTGGTTTCTGTTAATAATCTATTATTTTAAATATTTTGTTTTCAGCTCTTTGCTCAGGGATCGTGGTACTTGCCCTTTATATTAGACTTGGAGCATATTGGTATCACCAAAGGACACGGCCCGCTCACTGAAGCGGCGCACTTACTCTCGCAGATCTGCCCTGCTCATAAACAGACCGTAAGCATATTGCATAGAAACTTTTTAGCTAATACAAAGAACAATTTGTATTCACAATTGTCGTTTTTATTTTTGTAGGTGGAAAAGCTAACGGAGGCATTGTTATGCAGAGATGATACAAAACTTAGGGATATGCTCTACGGCCCAGCTCCACCTACGGTGGCTTACAACGTTGAAGTACGTATTTTTGTCGAAACTTCCAATTAGTAAATAAATAAATAAAAAAAATTTGGAGTAAATACTAGAGTTTTCAATAAATAGAACAAGTAATATTTTACGCAAAACGGTTAATGAACTAAATTGCTCACTAAAACCAGAATAGCTTATAATATAATATAAGCCTTATATGGTAACATAACATAACACCTTTTTATTTCTTAGGTATACAAATGAGACGCGACATCCACTTTTACTTTGTAGTATAAGACAGGTAAAATATTTCCGAATGTATTGTACAGGTGTTGTACAGCATGGTGATGCCATCGTCAGACACGAGGTTGGAGCGCTGCCGCAGCTTTCGGATCGCTTGCGTGAAGAAAGCTCCTCTACTGGTGCAGTGCTTGTCTGACAACGACTTCTTGCATGGGGCAGCTCCACATACTAGGAGGTAACTTCACAATATAAGCAGTCTCTCATACCCATGTTCAACAAAACTATAATATTCATAAATATTAATCGTTTTTATTTTTTTCAGAGTTGGTTATTTAGCTCTAGTCAGACTGGCTAAGCTAGCATTATACACACTTGGTCATCTATTTGAAATAATTGCTCCAGATGGTACAGATGCAAATCTCGATAAGGAATTCAGGTTAGCTAACTAGCGTAATCCTGATCTATAATATTATTAACCCATCGATTGTATTATTATGTTTGTGTGTGTGTAGAATTCCATGTTTTAACTGCTCTGTTGTTGTTAGTAGAAGGGATGTGACAATACTGCGTGAAGCCCTGCAGACGGTGCCAAACCATACCTGTGAGCTAATGGTCAAAGCTATTGCTGAGAAACTAGCTAACGCATTGGGAGAGCAGGTAATTAATTACATTTTATTAAATTGAGACTTGTAATGGCATGTACAATTATACAGTTACTATCAGTTATCTAAAACAGAATTTGTGTAGATAATATATTAATTTGCTAAACAGGTGGTATTAAGCGGAGAAGATAGTGATTCAGTATCGGCGCTAGTATGGTGGTGCGTTCCCACGTCGGCCACGGTGCGTTCTCTGTACAGCCTCTCATACTCCGTGGCCCAACCCTCCGATATCAGTGGCATTGTACACCCTGATGATGTTACATGTTAGTATATTTTTTTGTCTATTTGACTAATGCTATGCAATATTCATATTTTCAGGTACAAAAGAAATTATACGAAATATAAATTATTAAAATATTGTATAAGTTTGAACTAAAAACAGACTTTAAATAAATTGCAGTGGTCCGAGAATGCATGGAGGTGGTGACTATTTGTATGGCGTTGAGTGGTGGCCACTTAGAGAACAACCTGTTGAATGAGCCATGGTGGCAGGACACAGCATTGTACCTTATGATTGACTGCCCGAACCCCCAGGTGAGTGATAACCGAGCTAAGTAATTTGGTGACGGTTATATTAAACAGTACCAAAGTTATTTCAAGAGGCGATAAGTATGTTTTAATGTATAAATATATTGTTATTTGTTTGTTTTGTTGTAATTGGAATTATTGAGCGTTATGTGCAAAGCAGTTCCGGCCTTGTGGTTGGGTGCGCGTGGGTGCAGTAGAGCGTGTTGCAGGTGCGCGTGTCGTGCGCGGAGCAGCTGCTGTGCATGTGTGCGTGGGGCGGCGGCGGCGGCGCGCGCGCGGCGCTGGCGGCGCTGGGCGGCGCGGCCGGGCTGGGCGCCGCCGCCGCGCGCCTGGCCCAGCACGCGCGCCACGCCATGCAGTTCCTGCAGCTGCTGTGCCGCCTCGTGGCGCTGGCCGGGCCCACCGAGCGCACGCTCGACGACCTCGCGCTCGAGGTACGTAGCTCACCGGTTCACACTCTCCTGCCTTACCTTACCTTTACTATCTTATACATTTTGTTTTATCTAGTGCCCACCCCACATTTATTTAAGCTCATAAATCTAAACGCGAGTACTTGTAATTGGCTCACCGATACCTTAGCTTATTGTTATTTTTAATCGTTTTAATTATAGGTCTTCCATGTTTTATAAATAAATTAATTCCCGATGTACTTTTAACATAGGTGGCATGGCTGCGAGCTGTCCGTGCTAATCCTCTATCGCTTGACGATACGTTGTTGGAGGGGCATCTTAATCTCACCAAGGAGTTGTTCACGCACGTGCCGGCGCAAGTCAAGTACCAGTATGGAGCACATCCCGACCACAAAGACGCAGGTCTCATTAAGGTAAAATTACTTTAAAGTTGCCAAAATTATATTATAAACTAGCTTCTGCCAGCGGCTTCGCCCGCGATCCCAAGAGTAAAGTGCCTATGTATTACTTCAGACCATAATCTACCTCTGTACCCTTCAGTCGTTTTAACAACAAACAACTGAGTAACAAACATACACACAAACACATAAACTCACATATTTTCACATTTATAATATCGGTTCAATCTAATTTCTACCATCGGCCCTACAGTTACAGCGTAAAGTCCACTGCGGGCAACCAGTGGCGTGCACAGGTTTTCGAGACAGGGTAGGCAACTAAATATCGTATGATTAAACCCCCCCCCCCCCCCCCCCGCCGGTCATACAATCACGCTCACACAAGACAGGTACATATACAAAATACATTTCGAAAAGTGCTTTCAAGAATATTGTGGTTTATTCTTTCGCCAAATTACATACACTGACATCTCGCGTATTTTTTGTGAAGTACTTCATCAGCTATTGAATAAGCCAACAAAACTTAAAGCATAAATTTGATGAACCAAATTTCATTATGGAATTGTTAAATTTAATCAATCTGTTCAAAATCATAATATACATATTACGAATTTAAGAGCGTAGGTACCTACATTATGTCAACAAACAAAACAATAACAAGCGCGGCCGGCTGTAGCCGAGCCGAGTCTATGCGGTTTTTAGTTTATTACATTACATAGTTATTAATAATAAATTAAAATATGAATATGAAAATCAAATAAAAGATCCATTATATAGTACATATTTACATTACCTACCTTTTACTTGGGTCAATAGTCAATTCTCGTAACTCGAGTACACCTCTGCCTATGGTCATTACCGGAATCTAGTCCGATAAAGGACATTTTCTTGCGAAATCTTACTGTTTTTACTTTCAACAAACACATAACATTACCTATTATCCACACGAACTTCACAATCGAATAATATAGGTACTTGTACTAGAAACTGATAAACAAATACACTATTTGAAAACCTACACATATATTTAACTACTACTACACATATTTACGCAACTTGGAAATGAATTGAAGTCATTACCAATAGTCAATAGAGTGTTTATTATAAAAAAATGTAGCTTAAAAATTAAGGTAATGCAGTGTTTAATTTAAAAAAAAAAAGGTTAATTTAGTAAGTCAAATGAAATTGTATCATCGTCTTAAACCCATATTTCATACTAAAAAATATTCATTCATATAATTTGAAACGTTGTAAATGGCGCCATCTTGACGTTTCAATAACTTCCTTTTAACTTTTATAATAATAAAGTCAACTCCTCGATTAAAATTTCTATATACCGAAAACGCGTAAAAATGTTAAGCTTTAATTAAAACACTTGAAACATATTTGTTAAATACGCATTTATAAAAATACATTCGCATTATATCGAATGAGTTCAGAAGTTTCAACAAAAAAATCAATAGATGGCGCTGGTGTACTCCATTCATCAGTACTTTACGATTTACAGATTGTATCAATTTAAAACCTTTTATGATTTAATTGTTTTTAAAAATACAATTACTTGTTGCTTGTTTATTATTTTAGAATTCTTAATAAAATACGATCGTTTTCCAAGTAATGAACGAACGATCCTCTAATTTTTTAGTTGCCAAAATTTTGTCAATCAACAGGAATCGTGTAAAATAATTATGAATGGTTATTCTGTCACGTGACTATGGTCCTGATCTTCACGCATGCGCGGTGCATACTTTTAGTACATTACTTTTGTGATGTCACGACTGGCAACCAAGATTTAAGGAATAGCTGCGCATGCGTGGTGCGTACGGGGCGCATTCATTGCTTTACAAAGGCGTGCGGTCCGTGTATAGTATATATGTGAATGTATATTTATGTTAGCCGTTTTTTTACAAACTTTTATTATATTATTGAATCTTAATAAACGCGTTTGTACATTTTATGTATGTTATATATTCACGATATTTATAAGTCAGGCAAAGCCTTTTCGCCTATATGGACTGCACGCCACTGCGGGCAACCTACCATTCGACAAATTAATATTTGCGTTTGGTACAGTAAGTGTTCCTAGGTATTGAGCCGCACAATTAAGTTTGATAGCGTATTTCATGTATAAGTTTGGTGTTTCTATAACGATTTCTATGATTCTTCCGTAATCCGTAACATCACGCCTTTTATCCCCGAAGGGGTAGGCAGAGGTGTACATTATGCCACTGTACAATGTAACACCCACTTTTCACTATTTATGTTATGAGTCCCATGTAATAGGGGGTGAGCCTATTGCCATATACCGGGCACAGTTCCAGACTCCGTGCTACCACTGAGAATTTTTAAAAACCCCAGTAATACTTTGCCCGACCCGGGAATCGAACCCGAGACCCTTTGCCCGGCAGTCGCACTTGCGACCACTCGGCCAACGAGGCAGCCATGAGCCATTCTATGATTCTTATTTTATTGAATAGGTAATAATGTTAACTTTTTTTTATTATGGATGAGTGAGAGTAGTATAAACGTTAGATTAGACAAATATAAGCTGAAAGCTCCGAGTCGTACTTGTTATTGTGAGTCAACCATAAAAGATATGCACCAGACATATGCAGTTCTGGGATATTTTGTAGATAATTTTGTGTAGAACATTTTCGTCATTCATGATTTATATGTAGCTTTAACCAATAAGGCTGCACATGCGACAAAGGCTTAAAAAATGGAGTAACTTCTCCCGTCTTCCTAATATTTCCTTTCACTGCTCTGCTCCTATTGATTGACTCTCCAGGAGTATGAAGAATAATACGAAGTTTCGTTCCTACACTGCCCCCTGATAGTTATTTTGGAAAAATATTTCATGTACAGAATTTATTATAAGTATAGATTATATTTTTATGTAAATAACTTTAAAACAGTACAGACAGGGTAACGATGAGTACCTAATGCTTGTATCTGCGTGCACAGGAAGTGACGACGGAATTCCTGTGGCCGTACTCGTGGGCGTGGTGCGTGGTGTCCGGCGACGGCGGCGGCGCGGGCGAGGCGGGCGGCGCGGAGGGCGCGGGGCGCGCGGCGGGCGCGGGGCGCGGCGGGCGGGCGCGGGGCGCGCGGAGCCGGCGGCGCCGCTGTGCCGCACGCCCAGCGCCGCGGCCGCCGCCACCGACCTGCTGCTGGCGCTGGTGCACGGCTGCGTGCCCAACATGGCCGCGCTCGCCAACCTGCTCGACCTCATGTTCTACAGCGGTCCGTTACATTTTATGTTACTGTCTCATTGTTAGGCTAGAGCGTCTTCTCATGCAAAGGACTACCTAAATATAACTGTACCTTCATATTATTTGTTCATCAGATATTCTATGCATCTCTGCCAACATGTTTGCTTTCACGTGTCACAATAATTTGATTCTCAGATAAGAGCATGCCCCTGGCGGAGTGGGAGTACATGCCGTGCGTGGGCCCGCGCCCCCCGGCGGGGCTGGTGGGGCTGAAGAACGCCGGCGCCACCTGCTACATGAACTCCGTGCTGCAGCAACTGTACTGCGTGCGAGCTGTTAGGGACGCGCTGCTCACTGTGCAAGGTCAATACCTTCTCAACTTATCTCATGTGTCAACTAACTCTCCATGTTCCGATTCGTTACAAACAAAATTATTTCCACAGGTGCTGCTACAGACCCCAATGAAGATTTCTCTGGCGAAAGTCATCATCACAGCATTGTTGAAAATAATATAGAAGTATGTGCTAAACTCATTCCTTCATATTGATTAAAGTCTTGATTAAACAGTATTATAATGATAATATTAATATTTTTTCAGAGCAACACAGATTACAACATCACAATTTTAAAACAAGTACAAGCAATATTTGCGCATCTACACTATAGTAAGTTACAGTACTACATACCGCGCGGACTTTGGGCACATTTTAGGTAAGAATTAGTCTTATATCAATTGACCGTAAAACAAAACGCAATTTAAAATGTTATCCCATCTATTCAAGGCTTCAAGGTGAACCCGTGAATCTACGCGAACAGCAAGACGCGGTGGAATTCTTTATGTCATTGGTAGAGTCTTTGGACGAAGCTCTGAAGACATTAGGACAAGAACAATTAATGGCTAAAACAATGGGAGGTACATATTCTGATCAAAAAATCTGCAAGGGCTGCCCTCACAGGTAATAAAAGATCAAAGATTATAATATGTTTATAGTGTTGTTACATTGATAAACTAGTACTAACATTTCTGTAATCATATTCTCAGATACTGTAAAGAAGAACCATTCAGCGTAGTGTCACTGGATATCAGGAACATGTCGCGTTTGCAGGAATCTCTCGAGGCATATGTTAGAGGAGAATTACTGGAAGGTGCAGATGCTTATCACTGTGACAAGTGTAATAAAAAGGTTGGTCGCACTGTCTTTAATTATTAAAACTTATTCAGTTTTCTGTAGTCTCTACTAATTTACTAATTTCTCACGTTATTATTTCAGGTGGTAACAGTTAAACGCTTATGCTTAAACAAACTACCTCCCGTCTTAGTCATACAGTTAAAAAGGTTCGAATATGATTTCGAAAAAGTATGTGCAATCAAATTTAATGACTACTTCGAATTCCCGAGGGAACTGGATGTCGAACCTTACACAGGTAAGAGATAATATTATAGTATTACAGTGTAATCAAATATGATCCTTATGTACTAAGAAATAGAGTTGAAATTGTGTTTTTATACATTATAAATTTTAGCATGGGGCCTGGCTCGAGCTGAGGGTGATTCATCACTGTGGGAGGGTGGTGAGGAGAAGGCCCAGGAGACTCACTACCAACTTAGTGGCATTGTTGTACACTCGGGACAAGCCTCCGGAGGACACTACTATTCTTACGTCCTACTCAGGTGAATAACTAACACATTTGATTATTTATATTAATTTTAAAATATGTTAAAATTTATATTATGGCATAAGCCGGTAAACTAGCAGACGGATCACCTGATGGTAAGCAATCGGCGTCGCCCATGGACACCTGGAACACCAGAGGCGTTACAAGTGCGTTACCGGCCTTTTCGGGATTAGGAGTTTGAGGATCGTTGGGATTTAGGAATTGGGGAGATTGGGCAAGGTGAGGGTAATTGGGCCTCCGGTAACCTCACTTACACGACGAAACACAACGCAGGCGTTGCTTCACGTCGGTTTTCTGTGAGGCCGTGGTATCACTCCGGTCGAGCCGGCCCATTCGTGCCGAAGCATGGCTCTCCCACACTAATAGCTGTACCTAGTCAAAAAACGTTGTTGCACAAAGGTTCTATTTATTATCAGGGACAATGGCAGCGAGACAGGCAGGTGGGTCAAGTTGGATGACGGCGATGTCTCGGAGTGCGGTATGCATGATGACGAGGAAATGAAGGCGCAGTGCTTCGGCGGAGAGTACATGGGCGAAGTAAGTATATAGCGACGGCAACAACACTGCATGACCTTCAATATCACACTTTCCCCTTTATTCATAAACTTCAAATATGTATTTCTAAATTTTAATATATATTTCAAAGATTTATGAATGGATAACTAGTCCATACCATCATTTATTGCATAATGTTTATGAGCAAGGGGGTAAGGACACCTTTTGTATTTATGACGTGGTAACTTTGGTTATGTTGTAGGTGTTTGATCCGATGTTAAAGAGAGTTTCATACAAACGGCAGAAACGATGGTGGAATGCATACATGCTGTTTTACACTAGGAAAGACACGATAGAATCGCAGTCGCTTCTAGAACAATCCATGAAAAACTTGACTATGAAGTGAGTATATTTTCTATTTGGGGTAAACAGTATTTCACTTTTTATCCACTTTAATGTTTAATGGTCATGTTATTCTTTTTCTAGAGAAAATATTATACCTCGACCAATCTGGCTGTCTGTACGCCGCAGTAATATTGCGTTCTCTCACAACCAGGATCAATTCAGTCTTGAACATTTTAATTTCATGAAGAAGCTTTGTTACATGCGACTGCAGATGTTACCAGGATCTCAAAGTGCAATTTGGGTATGTAGTACAGCGAAGTTTCGTTTTAATTGTTATTTAGGTACAGTATTGTTGATGTAATTATTAATGTCTTTGTTTAATTACTCAGGGCCCCGAGCACGAAGAAATGTCAATGTTAGCGGTACAGCTAGCAACAAAATTCTTGTTCCAAGTAGGGTTCCGCACCAAGAAGACGTTGCGCGGCCCCGCCGCTGACTGGCACGACATACTGTGCCAACATTTGAGGTGCTCGCAAGCTGTCCGAGCCTGGTTCGCTACAGATCTATTCAAACATCCGCACAGGTACTGAGCTGCGAATATTAATATTATTTTTAATTATATATGGAATATATGTAATATAACCGTAACCTTTCGTCTTCAGACTATGCGACTACTTATTGTCGTGTCCGACAGCCGAAGTGAGATTAGTCTTTATGAAGATCATCGTATTTTTGGCGCATTTCTCAGTACAAGATCCACCAGGTAAAAACATTTACAGGATTTATCATGCTCGTCGAACCTTGCAAAGTTAACACCTAACCCAGTGTCCTAAACGAGTAGATGCAGTTTGTGTGACGCAGTAGTATGTCCGCAGTGAGCAACGGGTACGGGTCGTGGTGCGGTCGCGAGGAGGCGCTGTCCCTGTCGGACCAGGTGCTGTGCTGCGCGCGCGCCCTGGCCGCGCCCGCGCCCGCCGCCGCGCAGCACGCAGACACGCACGCCGCCAGGCATCTGCCGCTACTCTTCAATCTCTTCCACACTTACGCCTGCCTCGGAATCAGCGAGAAGCATCAGCTGCTTAGGGTGAAACATACTACATTTTATCCTGACTTCATTTAGTCTTTATCGAAATACACAACCTGTTTTATATGTTATGTTTTCAATTCCAGTTGAAGCTGCTGGATATTGTTTTATCCGTGTGCATGGATGAAACTAACACGGCGATGGGCAAGTACCAGTACCCAGAGTCAGCGAAAGTTCACCAGGTGACAATAGATTGCGATGTGTAGCGGCGCTAGGTGTGCCGGCCATGTGTGACGCGTGTGCCCGCAGGTGGTGTGCGCGCTGGCGCGGTGCTGCGACGTGAGCGCGCGCTGCCAGGCGGCGGGCGCGGCCGACGGCGCGGCGCCGCTGCCCAACCCCTTCGCCGAGCCGCACGGACACGCCGCGCGCCCGCAGCTCTCGTCCGCCGCCGCAGACGTACTTTACAACAGAACTGGGTCAGCACACACGCTTGCTTGGTTACATGTTTTTAATTATAAACGTTACTATTTACAGCTAATTTGCACTGTCCATGTTTCAGAAGTTATATGAAAAAGTTAACTGAAGAATGTTGCGGTTGCGACGAAGGCATCAGACTTCTGCAATTCTTATGCTGGGAACATGCCGGTTGGTCCCGCATCGCCCTGGCCGAGTTGCTGTGGCAGATGGCGTATGCATACTGCCACGAGCTACGTCGTCATTCCGACGCGCTCACCGCATTACTACTAATGGAAGACAGCTGGCAACAGCATCGGATACATAACGTCATCAAGGTAACCTAATTTTCTTACTCAATGTACCTTATTTTTCATTATATTATATTAGCGGCCCACTTTTTTTATCGTCGTTACATTGATTTATGTACGCGTCGTGCCGCAGGGCGTGTCGGAGGAGCGGCCAGGTCTGCTAGAGACGGCGGCGCGAGCCCGCGGCCACTACCAGAAGCGCGCGTACGCCTGCGTGAAGCTGCTGGTGGGCGTGATGTGCCGCGCGCCGGCCGCCGTGCGCGCCGTGCACCACCAGCCCGACGCGCGCCGCCGCTGGAGGCAGCTGCTGGCCTGGCTGCAGGACGAGCTCGACCGCGTAACTATACCACTTACTGACACTAAGGCGTCCATACATTTGATCAAATTAAACGGAGAAGGGCTTAGCCAAATGTCACCCAGTCACAGTCGGGGAAGAGCTGTGAGCCTCGACAGACCTCTTTTTTTATGGTCATCACTTCACTTGCTTAATCAAAACTAGGTTGAAATACTTGATTGGTATATTATTACCACATAAACATTCTGCTATAAATTAATCTCAGAGAAGGGAGTCGCGGTTAATGTCTTAGCATCACTTAAATTGGATTCGGGTTATGAGATTTGAAATTGATCAGGAGAAATGTTTTCAGAAGTATGGCCCCGGCGGTTATGGCTCTTATGGCACCTGGTCCCCACCCGGAACCTCCAACGAGACTTCTAGCGGATACTTCCTCGAGCGAAGCAACTCCGCCAGAAAAACACTCGAAAAGTAAGTTATTTAGTTTTATATTCTATCGCAACTTTTGTTTTCCTCAATTTTCATGCAATAATTCATTTCAATTGTTCCATATAGAGCTTATCAACTCTGTCCCGAAGAGGAAGATGAAGAAGAAGAAGAAGGTCGGGAAGGCGCTGAGGGATCTGGGTCTGGTGACGCGGCAGATGACAGCGGCGACGAGGACGAGCCGGCCGACGAGGAGCCCGCTGCGCGGCGCCTGGCCGGCGGAGCGGGCGGCGCGGTCCCCAACGTGGGCCCCAGCGCGGGCCCCAGCGCCGCGCCCGCACCCCCCGCGCCCCCGGCGCCCCCCACACAGACCTCGCGCGACCCGCTGCCGCCGCTGTGAACGCGTCTCTAGTCCCCGCCCCGCGATTACTTATTTATATAACTTACGAGTTCCGCTTTAAAAGTACCATAGTATTTATTATTCGCCGTAGGATTCGTCGTAGTGCTCTCTCGACGGTCGAATGTATAGGTCGTAGCGACTCGGGTCTCGAGCCCGACACGAGCGTGCCCCGTCCGTTTGTGTCGTTTATGAACAGACGAGCGGTTGCTGCCCGCCTCGACTCTGAATATTAATAGTTTGGTCCCCAAATATTTTTAAGTTCACCGACACGACGAGAAGCAATCTCTTTTAGAAATAAGTTTGTTTATCTGTGCAAAATATCTGTAAATGAGTTGTGGACTTGCAACATATTCGTTACTGCATGAGCAATTTTGTATTCTAATCTATATGAAATGAACAATATTTGAAATAATGCTTTTATTAAAATAGGTCATCTAAATGCATTTTAAAATAGTGATAGATAGCTATTTTATACTTTTCAGTTCGGAACCGTTGGCATGAATTAGCAAGAAACACACAGTACATAATTCATAGGCCGTATGACAAAGTATAAAGCTAGGTGCTATCGGTTAGGGTCACGTAGTTGATTTTAATTGTTCTCACTCGCTTATTAACTCGTTTTGTGCTTACTTTTTAGTCTTTGAAGTTCAATATTTTAACTTTCAAAGTAGGAATGCAGGTAATGTTTATTTCGTTTTAATTCTTGCTGCATTTCTAAGTTATTTTATTCTTTATTATACATTTTGAACGTAATATATTTCCGTAAATTATTATCTAGTGATATAGTGACACATTTTAATGACATATTCATATAATTAGGACAGAAACACTTTAAAACCAATGTGTGAACGAACATATGTTTATTGTCTTAAATATAATATTTCCAGCGTTGACTGCGCAGGTGGTTGATTCACGATCATTATTCCTGTATGAAAGTATAGTAAAACATGGTCCGAATTCCGATCAATTCAATTTTTACTAAACACGTGTCATGTAAAAACGAACCTGTTTGCCAATTGACGAAACTCAAATAGTTTACGAGCCAACCAATCAATTTGTAATAGACATCACTGATATTTAGGGACCGAGTTCATCATAACCTACTTCACTTATAAATATTGTAAAATATTATGACATAAATATTATATAACAGTCATTTTATATTAGGTAGGAACTGTAGTTGAGCTTTCAAAACCAAGTCATGTTTTTTTTAATGTAATGCAGTTTGCAGTGTCTATGAGTGAAGTAGCATTAATTGTACATAGTAAAACAAATGCATATTATCGAGGCCAGAGAACACATATTGGCCTAACTCTGACTATGTAAACAATGTTTAATATTTCAGTTTTTAATTTGCTAGATGTATTATTATAATAAAATAAACTTAGTTTTAATTCAGTGAAAAGTGTAGATATAGGTATTAACGACTAGTCTAACAGGAAAATGTTGCCACTATGTCAATGTTCTGCTTTGTAATATAATGTTATTTATTTTTGTATTTCACGACGGTTGTATAATATTTTCCTTTTTTTCTAGTGGTAAAATTGTTGTACCATCCAGGCTATCAGGCGACGCAGACGCTAAGTCGCGCGTGCGCTCGCGGACGTGCGCCCTTTCGTAGTCACGACTTGTAGCCTTTAACGTTTGCACTTTGCATTCTAGTATTTTACAAATATAAAACCACCGCGATATTCTGTGAGTATTTATTTTTTCATATTAATTTAAACATTAATGAGCCTTCAAATTATGGTCGCATAGACCGTGTGCCTTATTTTTAATTTTATTTGCTCAATGCTTGCACCTGATAGTCTGTATATTGATCTATTAACAAGTTTTTATTTAAAAGACTGTTATGTCATTCATTTTGCATGTAAACACATATATGTACGAATAAACTAAATGACAAAGTATTTAAATAATGTGATAAAATAGAATTAAAAATTTTATTGATTACTAAAACACCAAGCATGTTTATATGCTAAAGTGAATGATGTCGAGTCGTGATTTTATTTTGGCTTTAAAATTTTAAAAGTCGCTTTATCATGGTTTTATAAGTGAAAGAAACATCCAAATCACAAGTTGTAATGATTGATATAGTACAGAATAGCATTGTGAATAATTAGATACCTGCTCGAGAAAATGCTGATTGTTGTTAATGTTATTACCAAAGATGGAGTTTAGATAGAAGGGAAAATGGTGGCCCTTTTCTTAATAGCTTAATAATTGAAATGTTTTGTATCTTTTATAAAATGCAAAGTTAACGATATTATGTTGAAACGAGATAAAATGTGATTGATCTTAGATAGGTGAACCGCTATGATTCTTGTTTAGAAACAAATGAGTCGATGTACCGGTAACTAATCACATAAGTAACAGACGTATGATACTCGGAGCGAGATTCGAAATCTTGTAAATATCATCAACCGGAAATAAGTCAAACTCAACATGAACTTCATTCTTTATAGTTGAAATTCGCAAAAGATCTCAAAAATAAATATCTATTAGTGCGTTCCGAAAACACACTTAAATAATGCAATTTTTTTATATTGAAAATTTTGTAATGTAGCATATTGTTCATAGCATTGTATGCGATACACATCAAATAGTTTGGCAGATATGTTGGGATTATTCACTGCAGTTCAATGTTTGCAGTTTTCACGAGAACAGTGTAAAATGTGTATTCATAGAATTATTATAAGATCAGTTGAGTTTTGTATAACATTTCTATGGCAAATATAACGAAATGGCATTTGAAGATTATACAAGAATGCTCAAGAAGCGTTCATACAGATATTATACTATTCAAATCAAGAAATAAATTCATAAAATCTTTCTGAGAGTTTCATTGGTACATTTTAAGTGTTTGCATAGGGATGATGACAGGGTATGAAAATTAAAAATCTATTTAATCTAGTTAGGTAATGGAAAAATATTAGACACGTATTATTTTATTTTGTCGCATAAAAAACAATACTTGGATATAACGAATCAAAGTTTAGGAGTGGGAGCTAAAATGTGATTTCTACGTATAAAACGTACATAGAAGTGACGTCACGCGATTTTTTAAATCAATACATCGTCATACGTTGAAAGTACTTGTTTCCGTAAGAAAATAAAAAAATATGTATTATTAGTCTAATGTTTTAGAATAATCTACCAGACAGACATTAAAATATTAGTTATTTACCCTATTGTTGCAAAATGATGATACAAATTCCATCTCTTTGAGCTTTGACAACACCAATAATTAGTAAATGTTAATTTTTATTTACATTTCTCTCTGATTGAAATGTAAGTTAAATCCAACTCTTAAGTCAACTGGGGAGAGTTCATGTCGTTCACTGACAGCTGTAATGACCTGTGCCCTTACATACACTATTTAAACAGATAAGCTATCATTTGCACGCATTTCACGACCAATATTCAAGTCATATACTCCTGCGTTTCGTCATACATTGATATTTTTATACAATGGAGAAATATATAAGTGTTAAAGAAATAGAAGATGCTGCACTGTCGATATTACCAAAACCTGCACGAGACTATTATAAAAGTGGAGCAACAGAAGAACAAACTTTAGCTGAGAATAGAACAGCGTTTCAAAGGTAAGGCTGGAATTAGGTATTTATTTTCAAAAGAATATACATTTGTGCCTTATTCCTAGAAGGGGTAGCCAAAGATAAACAAATATAATATAAATACTTTCGTCAGTAATCCAATTAAATCACAATTTTATTATGCTCTGAGAATCGAGATTTTCTTTTCTGTCTGTCTAGAACTAAGAAGAGCTAAAGTGTTACAAAATGAAGTACTTACTTATTGGCAGAATTAATTAGGTTCGTCAAAGTACATACATAATGTCTTTTATTCAGGTTGAGGATTCGACCAAAATGCTTAATTGGGGTAACTCGGTGTGATCTTCGAACTAAGGTATTGGGCCACGATGTTTCTCTTCCCGTCGGTATATCACCGACCGCAATGCAACGGATGGCACATCCCGAAGGAGAACTAGCTAATGCAAGAGGTACCTGACTACCTACCTATTATTACTCACCTTACTTTGTTTTTATTTTCATATTTGTAATTGATATTTTACGTGTTTTATTTAGCTGCTCAAGCTGAGAAGACAATTTTCACACTCAGTACTATAGCCACAAGTTCTATCGAAGAAGTGGCGGAGGCTGCGCCTGATGCTATAAAATGGTTCCAGTTGTATATTTACAACGATAGGTATTAGACATTTGTTTACATATAACTATGACACTATATGAAGAAAGTACCTATAAACCTATAACCGTGTCTGCTTTCAGAGAAGTAACCAGAAATCTAGTTCTAAGAGCAGAGAAGGCAGGTTTTAAAGCAATAGCCCTAACTGTTGATACTCCATTGTTCGGGATAAGACGTGCAGACGTGCGGAATAAATTCACTTTGCCTCCTCATTTGAGGTAAGATTTCTAATATGCTGATTTGTGTTTAAAAGTTGAACTTCAGGACTTGATTAGTTTGGTTGAACACGCTAATCTTTGAACGGTTTGTATTTTATCTTTATTAGACAACCCATTTATTGAGAAAGCAAGAGCCTAGCACCGGATGTAACCGTACGCGAGTCATAAATAAATGAAAATATTTTTTACAGGCTCGCAAACTTTGACGGTATGTTGTCAACTAAGATTCGCAGCACTGGAAGTGGCAGTGGACTCAATAATTACGTTGAGAACTTATTCGATAAATCTTTGACATGGGAAGAAGTTAAATGGTTGAAAAGGTAAATCAGTTTAGTACCTAACATACCTAAATAACGTAATAACGTACCTAAATATTCTTACATAACTCGTTATGTATAGTATTATAATTACATACACAAATGAATGAATTAATTAATACCTTAACTCGTCGAGTACCGGTTTTATAGACACAATTAAAGAACAATAGGTCGCGGTCACCGGTGACCGCTTGGTGTTTGACAGTTTAAATAAACTACGTTTAAAAAACCGACTTTAACCCATTTTTCTGACGTTGTCTGTTAAAAACCATTACACAAGTACAATATAGTAAGTACATGTACAAGGTGGCAACTAAAATAAATATGTTTTAATTCATAGCATTACAAAACTACCGATAATTGCGAAGGGCATTTTACGCGGGGACGATGCAGTTAAAGCAATTGAAGCTGGTTGTTCCGCAATATTAGTATCAAACCATGGAGCACGACAACTGGACGGTGTTCCTACCACGGTAACAACAATAACAAATAAAATACAAAATACTGTGTACATACATTTTGAAACCTGTGTAATATTGTATTTCAGATTGAAGCATTGCCCGAAATTGTGGAAGCCGTAAAAAAGTACAATGTTGAAGTTTATTTGGATGGCGGAGTGACTACAGGAACTGATGTGTACAAAGCCTTGGCTCTAGGTGCTAGAATGGTGAGTTTTAATCTGTTCTTAAGAAAATTAAGATATTATTTATATCACTTTGTTATAAAATTATAAAATGTATTCTATTACAGCGAAATTAGAATTGAATTTTAAAGTCATAATACACTTAAATGTTTTTGTCCACAGGTTTTTGTCGGTCGTCCTGCTCTTTGGGGACTGACAGTTGGCGGGCAAGCTGGTGTCCAAAGAATGCTCAGTATATTCCGAACAGAGTTGGAGTACACACTTCAAATAGCAGGTACATACCTACCTATGTATTTTCTTTATCTTAAGAAAAAAGCTATAAATGAAAAGGACCTATAAAGGACAGAGTTTGACTATTGGCTCTATTCTACTCATCTTTGCATTTTGTGAAATCTCCCTTATTCCCTAAACTCATTCTAGTATTAATGTCGTCATTTTTATTTTTGCAGGCACTCCAACTATTGCTGATATTACTAAAGATATGGTTCGCCATGAGTCGACCTATAGTAAACTATGAGATCAAATAGGAGCGCGTGATCACATAGCCTTATCTTCAAAATATGTTGTTTATTTTAAATAAGATAATAATATAATGACCATGAATAATTATCTTGTTTTAATGTCAAGAAAAAACTTGTTTAGATGTAGTCACTCATTATGGTATTTTAAAATGTTCGTACCTAACTATTTAAAAGGGTTCTTCAAATAAAAAGCATTGAAATTATAAAATAAGAAACACCTTTATTTCAAAATTAATTTACGGTACAGGTTGTATAAGACAATGGGTGTCATGTACGTTTCTTTTGGCCACATAGCACGCGAAATTTTCTGTAATAAAAATTTTGTATTAAGATTTTTTTATTATGTATATTTACATACTTAAAACTTAAAAACATATACATATTACCTTAAAATCACATCCATACAAATTGATTCCTAGTTTGAGTTTTCTTAGAGTTTTCTTCAAGTGTTCATCATTTCTTAATTTTCGTTTGAGTGTAACTGTATCATTACATGTTTTGCAAGAATTGTTTATTTCCATACTAACATCTTGGAAATTGTCTTTTGTGTTAACTAAACCCTTTTTAGTATCTTCTTTGTAATTGTCTTTTATAACTGCGTCTCTTTTACGCATATAATTTGTGAAACTGTAACTACAAGACATGTCTCGATTTGTCCTATTTATAGGATTATCTTTTGTTTCTTGCAAAGTATTTTTCGGTGTAAATATATTTTTTACAGTTTTTACCAATGTAGTGCAAGAAGTATTGATGGCGTCAAAAAATCGCCCACTAAAAGACTTGTGTTTAATTTCCTTATTAGTTTTGGTTTGATTAAAATGCCTGGTTACTCTCTTCTTAACCTGTCGCTTTACCTGATGGTTTTTGACAAGCCTTCGTGTTGACCTATATGAATTATTATCATGTTGTGTTTGGTACTGAGAGGCTTCGTGGACATCTTTTTTAGGAGTAGACATGAATTGTGGTTTGAAGTCATCGATTTCTTGGGTACAAGAACGAGTTAAGTTGTCTTCCATAAAGGAATCTGTACGCTGCTGTACAATGTTTGCGTTTGTCTGTAATGTTCTTTGAGTACTTTCCAGAAATATATTAGATGTCATTATAGTTGCGGTGCGACTTTTACTTGAATGTTGATTACGAAGAAAAGATAAAGATAATTCTTGTAACTGTGCACTTGACATTGCAGGTGGTTTATGTTTGGCATAGAATTTAATGGTCTCAGGGGGACCCATACAAAATGATTTTTGTTTTTTGCTATTTTCACAAAATGGAGCTCTTGAGATATCCATAGCATTTCCTGGACTATTTTTTATTACATTGGTAGAAAGGAAAGGTTTAAAGTTAATTTCTTTCTGAGTACCACATAGCATTATTTCTTTCATAACATTGCGGAAAAAAATTGTTGTGTCGTCACTGCAATCTATCTTTCTGTTTTGTGAAACTTTGTTAAGAAATGATTCACTATATTTATTGTTTTCTTTATTATCTGTATCCATTTTCTTACTTATTAAGGAAGCTGAAATGAGTCAGATGTATTTTTTATTTGGTAAGAAACTTAAAATATCATGTTTTTATAATAACTATCGTGAGACATACTAAATTAAGTAAAAACGCGGGTTACTCACGTGAATATACTGAGAAAAGCTCTACTACGCAGTGAGATGCGCGACGTCGCCGCGACCGCGCATGCTGCTCATGAGGAAGAACCCCTCTGTGGTTTGAAACTAGTAGAGCTTTTCTCAGTATATTCACGTGAGTAACCCGCGTTTTTACTTAATTTAAAATCTTATATTGCCCAATTAAAATTATAGTAAGTATATGTTTTTTACCTTCAACTCTGGATATATGATATAAAATGATGGTGGACCATTGACCCAACTGAAAAATATGAAGCGATTAGACAATGCCTAAAATTCTGAATGTTAAAGAGTATTGCAGTAGGTACCTGTGAGTGTGGTCCATACCGTTGCAGAAAACTTCGAAGGTGTTGACCAATGTCTGTGTTAACTATAAGTTTGGCTGCTTCAGTTGAGCTCTGTACTATGGTAGCTAGCAATTGTAGGCAGATATCATGTTGTAAGAACTCCCTATAGCAAATGTTTGTTACATTAATAATAAAATATTTGATTATATTATAAAGAAATCTTATTACTCGCATACATTACCTTTGAAACAGTGTCATGCCGTTACATTCCACAAACAGAGCTATATTACGACTATGATTTTGTAGCAAACTCTGCAAAACCATGAGCAATTCGATATTTCTATTGTTGCACCTTTGAATACACTGAAACAGTAGTAAAGAAAGAAAATAGATTTGTACTACGTTACGTTGTGATAAGTAGCTGATACTCGTATTTGTAGACAGGTACATATTACGGAAATGATATTCCAAAGTTATAGGTAAGTACGTACTATTGGAACGAGATGCGTGCAATAACTTTGATTGGCTTCAGTGCCTCGGCACGATTCAGCAAGACATCGACAAAGAGCACGCCACGCTTCCTGATCCTGAAACATTATGCATGCGACCACACTTTGACCATATACAGTAAATTTTATACTACATTATTATACATATATAATATAAAGCTGAAGACTTTGTTTGTTTGTTTGAACGCGCTAATCTCAGGAACTACTGGTCCGATTTGAAAAATTCTTTTTGTGTTGGCTAGCCCATTTACATACACAATATATCACATATACATGCATACACCACGCTACAATCAATAGGTACCGATCATAGTGGATGAAACCGCGCGGAAGTAGCTAGTTACACACACTCCTAATTGATTTTTGGTAAGTATATAACATTAGTCTCACATTTTATACAATTATAGGACTTACCCACTTAACAAAAAGTAGATGCGTATCTGTGCCTGCTGGTGCTGCGAATATAAATCAAAGTTTACGTGCCTAGGTCTCACTTACCATCATACAGCTAGTAAATAGATCACAAATAGCTGCCAAACAACCACTACTTCTTATTAAATTTCTTGCATATACAACTATACTGTTTCGTCTTTGGTTATCTGCCAAGTCCTCGTATAAAAGAGCCGAAAGAAAATTAAACGCAACTGTAGCTTTCCTAGGAGGGCAGTTTACTAGAATTTTATACAGTTTGTCATACAATTGACTACATGTTGCAATAGTCTCTATACTATTATCCTGTAAAAATACAAAAAAAATATTTAGAATGAAATATTTCCACACTTATAACTTTCCTTAATTTATTTAGGTATAATAAATACGTTTTATTAGTTATCGACATAATTAGAATTACATTTAACATTAGGTAGCCAGATAAAATTGAGAATAATTTAACTTGCACATCGGTTTCTGCATTAGTATTAAATATTTCCAGCAGTTTCATTAATTTTACTGGCTCTCCATTTTTCATTGAAGTTATTATATCCTGTAAATAATACTGTTGTTTAAATTAAACTCCAGGATTCTTATTATTTAATTCTGCTAATTTCGAACTGATTATCTTACGGTTAAACTAAAGGACTCACCTTAATTGCGGCATCCTGTTTTCTAATGACGTCCATTAGTTCATAACTAGACAAACCAATAATTAAAACAAATGTTGTAAAAGAACAACAAAATATTGTAACAACCGGTAGGTACTAACTGTGCATTTGTCTATTTCATTTTTCAATTTCGCGCCACCAAGGGCCATTTTTTTCTAATCACTAGTGTTAGGAGTGACTTGTGAATAATTTTAGTCGATTTTACCTGGTGTCTCACACCCAAAAGTATTTTTTATTATTTCTCATTTTGATTATAAGCTTCAAGTTGGTTGGAAAATCACTTTTGGTTGTAATGTTCTGCTAACGCCAATTGTTTACGTAGGATGAAACATCGGATGATGTATGGATTGCTTAACTCAGATGCCATGTTTGTTCACTGTCGAAAGTGTCAGTGTGACTTTGATTGTTATGTCAAATAGTTGAACAGCTAAACCAAACATCTCACATTTTTACAGTAACTTTAACAAGTTTGTGAAAAGATAGGCAGTTTAATTGATTGTTTTTATGTTCGACTTGTAAATAAGTACGAATAAGTAACCTTTATTATGGATGTTGGAGAACTACTTTCATTTAAGGTATGTCTCTACTCAAGAATATTTACTAACTACTATGTGAAGTTTGATTATAGGACTAAACAACGTTCTAATGAGCTTAATACTATATATTTATCTGCAATTAGCCCACACCAACACCTAAGAGGCCAAATGAAGAAGACAGCGGGGACTCTGACGATGAAGGCCCAAAGGCTTCAAAAATGCGTCGTATGGCGCGAAGTAAATCAGATAATGTACGGCTACCACTGAGCAAAAACTTACCAAAAGAGCCAACCATCACTGATGAGGAAAGAGAAGACATATTGAGATTTGTCGAGAATGAAACAACAGAGGTTAGTACTACAGACTGGTCTACAATTTTTTAAATTTTTTTTTTATATCATAAGCCGGTAAACGATCAGACGGATCACCTGATGGTAAGCAATCGGCGCCGCCCATGGACACTCGAAACACCAAGCCGTTACAAGTGTGTTACCGGCCTTTTGGGAATTGGGAATTTGAGGATTGTGGAGGACTCCGAGATTCGGGAGACGCAAGTGTTGTTTCACGTTGGTTTTCTGTGAGTTCGAGCCGGCCCATTTATGCCGAAGTATGGCTCTCCCACACTTTTATTTAATAGTGTAATTTTACTACATATTAATTCTCTTTTCTACTTTAAGGGTGATGTTCTAGATGAAACTGCAGTTAAGAAACTAGTTTTGAATTTTGAAAAGAAAACATTGAGGAACAGAGAAATGAGAATTAAGTTTCCAGATCAACCAGAGAAGTTTATGGACAGTGAAATAGATCTATATGAAGCACTACAGGTATAGTTGGAGCTATTTCCATAGAAACCTTTGTTACACTATATCACATAAAAATACATGATAAATGTAAATGTGTATTTAGGTATAATAATGTTATTATTCTAGTTTTAACCATCTACTGGCTTTTACTTGTTGTAAACTTTAGTTATGAGAAAAACTCTTGTCAAAAGTAGTTGAAAAGTAATTGTTTGTAACTAATTACATACGGGTGCATAAATATGTTTGTTATTTTAGGAACTGAGTGCCGTAGCAACTGTGCCTGACCAATATCCCTTGCTGGTGGACCTGAAGTGCATCAACTCATTGTTGGAGCTACTGTCACATGACAACACGGATGTATCTACTAAAGTAGTGCATTTGTTGCAGGCAAGTAATGTATTCATTTTGTATTAGCTAGGCAAATTTGCTTATGGAAACTTTTGCATAACAAATAGTTATTTATTCATCATTAAAATACTTTTGTTATTTCTCAAATAACTACATATAAAACTACATGTAAATGCATTTTGTAGGAACTGACAGATGATGACATTCTCCAAGAAAGTGAGGAGGGTGCGGAGGCTCTGATGAGTGCGTTGACTGAAGCGGAGGCACCATCGCTATTGTTACACAATCTATCGCGCCTCGATGAACAAGTGCCAGATGAAAGAGATGCGGTACATGATACACTAGGTAAACTAATATTGTGTTTCCAGTGCTAACTATCATGTGATACTAATTATTTTTGTGATAATGATATTTTTGTGACTTACTTGTTAGCTTGTTACTATCTTATCCTAGTGCAAGATTTATAGATTCGCACAAGGTTTATTATAATTAATTGTGTAAGTTAAATTTCAGGCATCATAGAAAATCTGATTGAATTCAGAACTGAAATGTGCGCAGAAGTGGCTAAACAGGGTTTTTTGCAGTGGATACTTAAAAGACTGAAGGTTAGCATAAGTATGAGTTGTAATCACTGACGGACTGACTGACAGACTATTATTTATTTTGTATTTGTTGATGTTTCAAAAGTACCAAATTATGGTTTAATTATATATTAATATAATAAAATGTTAATTTGCTGTAAAATGCCAGATTACAAAATAAATCTTACTATCTAAAGAAAGTCTAAAATTTATATGTAAAATATGTAATTGAAATAAATGCTTTGACTTTGACTAATTTTGTTATCTGTTAAATTATAAACCTCTTAACTTTGAATTAAACCATAGTATCTATCATTGAGCACAGATCTACATTAGACACAATGTTTTCAAATGTCTCCTATAGAGGCAGACAGAAAGGTTAATGTTCGTTTTAATAAATTTTTCAGTTGAAAGTGCCTTTTGACGCCAACAAATTGTATGCAACAGAAATTCTATCAATCCTTCTACAAAACACACCAGAGAATAGGAAGCTGTTGGGAGAACTTGATGGCATTGATGTTCTATTGCAGCAGTTGGCGGTAAGCTAACACATACTGCATGAAAAGTAAAAACTACTTTAACTATATGTGAATAAAGCATAAATTTAGTTATCATTTATATTTTTCTAGTTCTACAAACGTAACGACCCTGCTGGCGCCGAGGAACAAGAGGCGATGGAGAACATGTTCAACTCATTATGTTGCGCGCTTACGGAGCCATCCAACCGAGACCGCTTCCTACGAGGCGAAGGGCTGCAGCTTATGAACCTCATGCTCAGGTATAAATTTGCAAAAGACCATAGTACGCTAATTTCTTTAGTTGTCTGGAAGGCAATGAAAAAGAATGTGTATAATTACTAAGGAATTAACTGTTTTTATCTTTCAGAGAAAAGAAGATGTCTCGGAATGGGTCACTTAAAGTGCTCGATTACGCCCTCGCTGGCCCAGAAGGTCGCGACAATTGCAATAAGTTCGTAGACATATTAGGCCTTCGTACCGTGTTCCCGCTTTTTATGAAAACACCGAAACGGAAAAGGATACTAACAGTTGATGAACATGAAGGTTTGTTTACAGATAGTCTAACTCATTCTTATTCCAACAGCATAAGATTTATTTTCAAATACTTTTTTTATTTTTTTCTAGAACATGTTGTGTCTATAATAGCATCGATGTTGCGTAATTGCCAAGGCAGTCAAAGACAGCGTCTGCTTGCGAAGTTTACGGAAAATGACCTGGAGAAGGTGGACAGACTACTAGAGTTACATTTCAAGTATATGGACAAAGTTGACCGAACAGAAAAAGAGATGGAGGTGAGTAATAAACTATTCCTACGTATGTATATAATCTGAGGTCACTCCGTATAAGCTCCGAAATAAAAAATATTAATCAAAATCCGGGACTGAGTAAATAAACATTTTTTCTCAAACTTCTCTCTACCTCTATTGATATTTCAGCAAGAGCAAGAAGACCTGAACGATGATGCGCAGTACCTAATGCGGCTCTCTAATGGACTCTTCACTTTGCAACTCATTGACAGAATTATTTTGGAGGTACGGAATCTTGATTACATACAATTAATGTTCTATTCTGTCGATATATGAGACACAATAGAAAACACATTGTGTCTCGTGTACATCTGCGTTCCGACACACACACGGGGGGGGGGGGGGGGGTGCCGGACTCTTACTGGCTAAGACCACCACGGTGTTCTTCATTTGCCTGTGGCCGTGACCCGGGACCCCCTTGTGCAATCACCGCATTCGGCAGGCCTCGACCTACCACTATATTGCGGCAGGTCCCAACACGAACTGATTTTCTTCCTCGAGTGGCGCACGTGGTACACACAGGTAACGCTTACTCCCGCGCCCATATAGCGGATGACTGACTGCCCTTGTCAGTCGCCCGCGGGCCTCTCCTATGGAGGTCGCAGATCGGCTACCACCTCGCGGCATTTACGACCGGCACGTTTACGGCGGGAGGGGAGGGAGTTGGAGGCCTCCTTCTCCTTTTCAGCCGCCTCCTTTGCCAACATGATACGGTCGCAGGAGGAAGCGACTGCGTCCCATGCATTCTCACTGTCGACCATAGCTCGCACTACGGACGCGATAATTCCCGCCGAGCACTGCAATGAGTTCACGACGCAGCTGTGCCCATGCAGTACACTCCATGCTCCAGCCAATCCTTACATGATTTTTTTTTTATTATTATTATACAGCAGGAGGGGAAATCCTCATGGTGACTCACACCTCCCCACGAATAGGGAGGTGTGAGTACTGCCGGACTCTTACCGGCTAAAACCCCTCTTGCTGTGCCATAGTGCTCCTCTGACGTGATCAGAGACCTGAATTAACGTATTTTCATTGCCCTTTCAATGGAGACATTTTAATAATAATATATATAAATAAAATAGATAATTTTTAGATTTATAGATAACTAGCTTTTACCCGCGGCTTCGCTCGCGTCACAAAAGAATAAAAAGTAGCCTATATGAGATATATCAATACACACAGCGCCATCTATACCAATACTTTTGGTTTTCCTCGGGAATATCAATTTTTTCCGGGTTAAAAAGTACCCTATTATTTAATCCGGACTTCTAACCTTACGTCTGCTAAAATTCAAAGCAATCGGTTGAGTAGTTACGGCGTGAAGGTGGAACAAACAAACAAACTCACTTTCAGATTTATAATATTAGTAAGGATAGTAAGGATATATATGGGTATATAAACGTAAATATATACATATTTTGGCGCTACTGTCATATATCATTCCAATATAAATACTAAGCGCCACATATTTCCGCCCGTCATTCACTTGGTACATTCCTTGAGGTTTGGTGCTTTCCGTCATCGTCGTGCCGTTTTCACGCAAACGCTCCACCATGTGTAACATGCCTCTTAGAGACGTTTGCGTGGCCTTCTAGGACTTCCGACGAGATGGTCTAAGCTGCCAAGACCTGTGCTCATTAAGTGAGGGACATGTGCCCAGTTCTAGACATGTGCTCAAAAGATAAATTAATACCTACTTTCACTACTTCTATCACCTACTAATTTTAATTCTGTTGCAGAAGTTATCGGGAGTTTGGCAATTTTCTGTCGGCAGTTAATAATTTATAATAGTTCGATGCGATAGCTATCAGTCATATCAGAGAATGTAAATTATTATTTAATGTCAATATGTACAGGTTTGTACTGCGGGACCGGCCGCCATAAAGCAACGTGTACAACGTGTGCTGTCCCTACGTGGAGGCTCGCTCAAGATTATCCGACACGTCATGAGAGGTAAATAAATAAATATTGGCTTATAAAAAACTTATAAAAATTGGGTACTTTCCTTAATTAGAAATAAATTGTTTCGACTGTTCAATACAACAAAAAATAATCACACTAAAATTAATTGATTTTCTGTTCAACTTAATTTTAGTATTTTTCTAGCATTATTTTTCTAAATAAGTATGCTGTTTGACTTTAAAAAATCGTAACGTCAAAATACACAATCTCGTACAAAATTCACAGTAAACCTGTCGTTTTTGAGAGTTCGCAAACAGTATTGAATTTGACTAGTCGGCAAGTACCCAATTTTATGGCGGAATGGCAGCAACGACTGTCGCAACCGAGGGCTGGGCTCGCTGCCATTGCAGCGGTAAGTCCCCTCTTTGAGGAGCGGCTTGAGAGACGCTACGGCGTCCTCACCTACCGCTGGTCCTCACCGGACATGGAAGTTTCGGGAGGTACCTATGTCTGATGGGGGGGAGGAAACGCCCGGGTGTCATCACTGCGAGGACCGCCCTGAGGACACGGTGGAACACACTGTAGCGGAATGCCCTGCGTGGGCTGAGCACCGCCGTGCCCTCAGGGAAGTGATCAGCGATGGCGACCTCTCGCGTCCGGGCCTGGTACAGGTCATGATGCGGAGCGAGGGGGATTGGGATGCCGTCTCCTCCTTTTGCAAAGCAGTTATGCTAGCTAAGGAGGAGGCGGGACGCGTGAGGCAGCGAAGCGCTGCCTCCTCGCAACTCAGCCATCGCAAAGGACACACCGGGCGTCGGGGATCGCGGGACGATCTCCGGCCGCGCCTCAAAGAGCCCTCAGACCATCACAGATGGGGCCCAACAGGGCAGATGCCGATTCGGAGTCGCGGAGAACCTAACGGGTTACTGGGGCTCCGGCTCGACGTGCAGGAGAAGGAACGGGATGGTTTTTAGATAGTAAGAGTCTTCTGACACTCCCTCCCGACTCACCCAGGCGGGAACAGTCATTCGATTATTTTCCCCCCTTAAAAAAAAGTACCCAATTGTGTAAGTTACAGTGGCCAGCAGTTTATCTTTGTCAAATTCTTTAATTAGATCTTCAACTTTATATTTTTGAAATAAAGTTTTAAAAGCAATTAATACATTGACAGATTGGAATAGGTGGATCTGCTGGTCTCCTACTCAATGTAATGTACAATGTTTCAGAATACGCGGGCAACCTCGGCGACGCCGGCAGCGAGGAGTGGCGCCAACAAGAACAACAACACATATTGCAACTTGTAGACAAATTCTAAATAATATATTGTATTATTTCCGTTGTAGTCAATTTATTTCATTTGAGAGCATTTCAAAATATCAAATAATCCGAGTACGTAACCCATCGGGACCCCTATTTCATTTATACCATGATCGCACACAAAACCTCGCACCCGTGGTGTTTGTAGACATGGGGGTCTGCATCAGTGTGCACTAAGGTGTACTAACACCATTCTATACAAATCAATAAAACGCACATTTTCCGATATTCGAAATATAAAGTATACTCCCTGAGGTATATTACACAATTGATGGCTAGGGTGCGGGAATGACCTTTGGTGAAGTGTACCCATTTATAAAATCTTGAATAAAACTCAAAGGGGTTCGGTTAGTAAAATGACATCGTAGATGTACCTACAGCCTTTATTCCAATGGGAGCTAAGGTAGAGGCGGATAAGACCTAGAAAGCGCACCTGATAGACGCTCCAATTTTGAAATGAAATGAAATATATTTATTCGGCACTAGCTTTTACCCGCAGCTTCGCTCGCGTCACAAAAGGATAAAACGTAGCCATAGTATAAAGAACACAGTAGGTTATCTAAGGCCGCCCGCCGAGTTATTAGCCTACTCTTGCGTTGATCCCCAGGGTTGTCACTTTTACTTTTAGTTAATATTTTCGAACAAGCAGCACTTGATCTAAATTTATGAAATGAAAAGCATATTATGATTGAATATTTTATCAATTTATAAATTTAGTAAAAATAAAAAGCTTATAAAAAGATTATTAACTTCTTAAAATAAACTTTAGCTCTATACATAGTATTCAGAAAGTATACATTTATATGGAAAAATGCGACACGGCCACGCTCTTAACAATAACATTAACATTTTCTTATAATATTTAAGTATAGTAGGTAATTACATTTCTGGTTGAGTAGGAACTATGAAGAATGATAAGAGTAAGAATAAGTAAGTAGGTATCTCATCATCAAGTACCTACAAATTATATTATGCTAGAAAAAGTGACTAGCTTACCTTTCCTGTTCAATAGGTAATCTGAACAGAGACAGTTCTAGAATCGATTAATTATTAAGACACCCAAACACACAGCAATACGTTCTTCTACGGTTATCAGACATTTTTTATTTCATTTAACAGTGCCGAAAAGTGATGCACGCGCGAACCTCGTGCAGTGTTAGCCCTGCCTGGCGCACTGAGAAACGGGTCGAGATTTTGTTAAAGTGTGCGTGCGTCGACGCATAGATACTATGGCGCACACATATAAGCCGCGCGCGGAGCATTTGTATGAAGATAACCTACTTTGTTCTTTATACTATGACGTAGCCTAAGTGACATATACCAATACACATAGCGCCATCTATACCAATTCTTTTGTTTTCCCTGGAGAATATCAATATTTTCCGGGATAAAAAGTACCCTATTATTTAATCCAGACTTCTAACCTTACGTCTGCAAAATTTCAAAGCAATCGGTTTAGTAGTTACGGCGTGAAAGCGGAACAAACAAACAAACTCACTTTCCGATTTATAATATTAGTAAGGATAAGACATGCACGTCAGGAACAAAAAGTAAAATTTTTCTTTGCCACGCATGTCTCGCAGCTCTCCTCTGTGACCTACCACCCTAGGCACTTGCCTAATTTGCCTTAGGGATAATACGACTCTGAATGAAGGATATTTCTGGCAGTGTACTTGATTGCAGAATGAGTGGGATGCTAAATAGCTTGTTTGAAACTAAATTATGGGTTGCGTCACTGGTGGATAATTCCGTCTGCATGACCACGAGGGTTGCCGTGTAAACAATCTTGGAACTGTACACATTTTTATTGATGAGGCGGCTGGTCAATGGTCATGTAGCCATGGTGACCTATAGAAATCGTGAAGTAGGGTCGTCGTTAAGGAAATGAAAAATACATTCAACAATTAAATAGTTTTATTGAATGCATATTTAATCATAATATAATAATTAAAAAAACCTCACTAACAGTGAACAATATAAAATATCAACTACATACAAAATAATTCTGTATCTATAAGAAATAATACGCACTTTTTAATTTTTAAAATATAATGCGTAATTTAGAAATATAAAACTTTAATAACAAATAGAAAAGCAATTTTGTGCTGACTGTAACCAAGGATTGTTTCTATAGATAGATATATATTTTCTAAGCCCTGATAAAGAACTTTAATTCTAAGTGCCCATTATACCCACAATAGAATTTCATAATACATACATACAACTTAATGACCATGTTATACCCAGCAATTCATATTTTAACCCATTGAAAATCATCCCCTAAATTTGTTCATACAAAAGTAGTCTCTAAACATTGAAAATAAGGTCTATAATGTAGTTAGTGGAGAACGGTCACCAGTGACCGCACGGGGATACATGGGTAGTAAAAGTAATGGGTTGTAAAAGTTTCTGAACTTTACAACCAGTACATTCACATTATATAAATTCGACTTTATACTGCTAAACTAGTCTTTAATTGAAACTGCTTGGTATTTTTTTAACAATATTTGGTTTTATCTCACAATGTCATTACCCCATTACATTAGCATTTTATTTAACACGTAATGCAACTTACAGACTCATGCAATTCTGTCAAAACTCAATTTGTGGGTCATTTGTTATCTGTTCGGTTACTCAAATCAACTCAAAAATGTGTGAAACAGGTTAGTCAATGGCTCTATCAAGCTAAGATCACTCGTTTTACCAAAGGATTCCACATAAATAAACTGAAGTTTGACTGGTTCAACTTTTAATTCACTGAGTCTGATGAGATAAAAGTCAATAATAATATAAGATCTAATTTCGTCAGTTTACCTTTAGGTATGGCTCAAATGTATAAAATATAAATTGTGACAATCTTCACCATATCTTCATAACGTTCTAGTTTTAACTTCACCATTCACAACCATTCTTTATCTGTCCATTGTACATATTTACATTTCCCACAACTTCCTCTACTGTGTATACACAAATACACAAACATTGTCATTCCCTGCCCTGGAAATGTTTAGCTAATACTGCTTTAAATGCCAGTTAGCGCAAATAACCGCACCGTGGTGTGAAACTAAAATTATTTAACACACAAACACAATAAAAGCATATTTAAAGAATACGCTAAACAAAAACGATTTCCAAATAAAAAGAATGAATTTAAATCAAAATTTACGTTTAAAACGATAATAAATTCATATTTTTTATAAAATTTAACGCATCACTAAAACATACACAAGTAAATACAGTATTTTATGTAAGACTTTGTGGCCCTGCCAAGTAATTGCTGTGTTCAAAATAACTTAAAATACCTACGCAGAATTTGTTGAACATTGAAAGTATTCAAAAATTAATGCACAATATATTAATCCTACAAAACTGGATTTATCTTTGTATCACATTAACCCACTGTCACCTATTCTAATCACTAGGACATTTAGCTCTGTCACAAATTACAGTCATATTACTTGCAATGTTCTAGAGCCGTAAATGTTACAAAATGCGAGATTTCAGTTACATCTAAGGTAAGGTCACATTGGGGTTTCTATTCTAAATAACTCGTGTGTAGTAAATATATTTAAGATAATAATTATCACTTCTAATTCGAAAAATGTCGTCACAAGATAAAAGTTACAAAATATCAGTGGTCAAATGCGAGAGAGGCAGCGGTGTCACAAAAATGTGGGGAATGTTAAATTAATTAGACCTTTCATGATTTCACTTCTATCCTGTGTCGAACAATACAATACATTAATATATAATAACAGACTAAACTAACGATGCCGTCCTGTATAAATCTCGTCACAGTAAACTAAGGCCCGAATACTGAAAGACTACTCGATTTTAACTTGCACTTAAATATCGTGCCATCTCTGTCATTTTACAGAGAATGTGTGTAATAGAACTATACTTAAGCCCGACTTAAAATTGAGTAGCGTTTGAGTATCTCAGTGTAAGTAAGGCAACTCTAACAAACAACAACAACGACATCTGTGAACTGGAATAGCAGAATCAGTAATAACAGAATTAATCATAACACAATTTACTTTTGACTGTCTGAATGTAATAATGTAATAATAATTGTATTTAAACTACATGCAATTTTAACAATTCAGTATCTGACTACTGAAGGAAGGGCATAATTAGTTGGAGATGTCGCGTATGGTAGAGACGTGCATAGATGTCGTTGTATAACAAGTAGTTAGAAGTGCAGCGCACGGAAGGCACGATGTCTGCGGCGCTGGGCCACGGTTAGGGACACTCCTTGCTCATCATCTTACTGAATGCCTTGGGAATGTCTTCGTTAGTCTTGGAGACGGTACTGCTACCCAAAAGAGTGGGTGCGGCGAGTGTGCCCGTCTGAATGCCGTGAGCTGTCTTCAGTAGGTCGTAGTTTATTTTTTCGGTGACAACTGAATCTTTCCTGTAATATAAAAAATTAGAATTAAGAATTGTGATATTCTAACATTTAGAATGTTGGGTAGTTTAAAATGCACAAATGACAAAAATTGCATTATGGGCTCCTATCATCAGAGAGCATTACAATGACTTACATGTACTGTGGGTGCGTGGTGACAAAGTTCCTCATCCAGGTGGCCATGGTGGAGATCTCGCCGGAGGAGCGTCTCTGTATAAGCTTGAGGTACTGTTGCACGGAGCAGTGTGTGTCCGCGTCCACATCCATACCCGACAGGTACGACTCGATCAGAGGGATCAGACCAGGGAATATGCCATCCTGGAAAATATTCATTTCTGAAGGTTTCCAATTTTCCTACTAAATTAATTAGAAAGAAAAATTTGTCAGTGCATTTTTCCTTTCCGGTTTGACGATAAATTAGTTCTTTATTTCTTTAAAAGTCTTAGTTCCATAGACTTTTATAGAGATAAATGCACAGTTTAGCACAAGATATAGGTATACCTAATATATCGTCAGTTTCTATGATCTCATATCTTTTAATTGATGAATGACTCTAGTTTAAGCTAAGATACAAATCATACTCAGCAATATCGTATATTTCATCTCAACTGTTAATCACGTTATCTTCACGTTGATTGCAGGGGAATATAAGCGTGAACTTGTAGTACGTTTTTCATATTTTTCCCATCAACACTTAATTAATGTGTTAAATAACTATGTAAGTTACACCCAATATCAAGTTTAAACTTTAACTTAAAAATCAAGTGTAAAGTTAAAGTTTCTTTCTTTCAAGTCAAAAATTCATAGTAATTTCATTCATTATCTACCTAACACGGCGTCATCGACTTCTTGCTGTGACTTATTGTTAGTAATTAAAAAACCTATGAGTAAAAACTAATTAAACACTTTTCCTGGTTTCACACGTTATGCCAACTAAGACAAACAATTAATATAGTAAGGAAAATGCATTTAGTCTTTTTTCCAAGTTGAATCATCATAACATTCCTGATTGTATTAAATGTATTATTATATATTGTATACATATAATGTATTAAATGTAAAGCAATTATTTAAATTACCTATTATAGAAAATACATAATTTAATGTTTGACGCATTTTAATAAAGGTTGTTTTTACAATAGGTTTACAAATTCAAATTACTAACCATTCCAACGGTTTTGCGGGGCTTAGATTATAAGATACTTACCTGTGTTTTTAAATAAAATAAATAAATAAATAAATAATGAATTGAAATGATACAAATTGTTTCGAGATTTTTCTATGACTGAATGAAATTAGACTTTTTGTCTGAACGTTGTAGGTTGTTAAATACAAAAATATTAACATAAAGTGTTGCTTAACCTGTCGTATGTCTAAACGTGGATGCACGCGGGACTCTATGTATTTTCTATTGTGTCTCATATCGGTGTATTCAAGCGGTTAATCATGGAAATAGGTTAGTTTATGGGGAGCTGTGTCTTACCTTTCCATTAACAATTTCGTCGATAGTCATCTCAGCGTACAGTTCCGAGGGGTCCCGCGTTTGCTTTGCGAGGTCGGTGGGGGCCCCCACGTCACGGCGCCACCAGAACTTCTCGCTTAGACACGCGTTCCGTCTTTGTGCGCGTTGCATGTTCTCATCCACCTGAATATTTTGGAGCATAAATAAGTTGAAGAAGTATTTAAGGATTGTTAGGTAGCGTATATAGTTCTTATCCACCTCCAATTAGCGTATATAGTTCTTATACACGATTATCCACCGTTTTGTCCTTTATTTATCCAACAACGAAGGCTTATATGTAAAGTAGTAGTAGTATTGATTTTGTACATAATTATAGGTTATGACGTACCTTGCTGATAGGCATGACGAAGTTGAGTCGGTAGGAGAGTATGACCCTGGTAAGTAACACGACGAAGCAGACGTAGGCTGCGTTCTCGAAGTCAGTGAGCTGGGCCTCACACGGCCGGAATTCCACGCGCCAACCGATCGGGGAGTTCGGGGGCGGCGGCTTGAAGCGCATCGTCTGCCAGTTCGTCGACTGGATATTCTGTACACAAAAGGAACTGTTAGAAATATTTTTATGCTAAGTTGGTCAGACTCCATCACATGAAGGTACTCTGAACAGTCAAAATTACTTATCTTCTTCGCCTACAGAAGAATGGCTTACCTCAAAGTGATCAGTATCGTTGTTGTCATCTTGGTTAACCTTCTCGGAGAACAGTGAGACGGTGTCTCTGATGAACAGGTGCGCGACGTGCAGTGCCAGAGGATGGTCGATGCCGCCTTCACGCAGGCGGCGGTACAAGTCCTTGTCGTGCACTATCGCGATGTCATTGTACCTAATCAATATACACAATTACTTTATGTACAAATCATCACCATTTTTTCGTCGACTCTGAAGAGATTTTGTATCGAAAGACTTAGAACCACTAAAAACATCTAAACTATATTTAACTATTTACTTATCACACTCAGACAGGACCCAAAAAATAATTTATAAATTACATGAAGAATTATTGTGTTTGTAAATTGGTATAGAGAAATACGTATCTAATGTTTCACTTGAAAATAGACCACTAATTCTTAAATACATTAAAAATCAACTTAGGCGCTTTGTTATAAATAAAGTTTAGTGTGGCTTTATTACCGTTTTTGACAATCAATTTTTAATATTTAACTGTCACGTTAACAGTAGAAAGTATACCAGTAAATCATCTGCTTATCCACACGACTACTTAAATAAATTACTATTTCAATTGCCTACTGGCGACGATAAGTGTAAATACTGAAGAATTAATAGACTAGTAAAACAGGTATGCTGATACCTAACATCAATATTATTTTTACTTAGTTATTCAACTGTATAAACTGCATGGTGATAGTTGATATAACACACATAACATCTCGCCTATTAATACCGAACAGTTGGGAAAAGGTGCACATAATATGTAGGTATAACACTAAGTTGTCGCCAGCGTGTTATAAGACTCATATAATAGGAGTGACTTTATTGGCATACACCCGTTACTGTTATTGTATTTCCGAAACTGACAATCTGAATAATATTCTGCTCGACCCGATAATCCAATGCCGCCTCTTGTTCCAACGAAACAAGATAGTCTAGTTGATGTAACTTACTGCAATAATGAAATCAACCCAACTTCTGCTAGATACCGGCAATATTGCATTTCACCTTTAACAGTTATATTTTGTAATTAAATCCATTGATAAATGCAGTCAATTAAAAGCCACTAGCAGAAGCTAGTTTAAAAAAAAATACACTTAATCAACGTACTTGTAGGACCAGACGCACAAACCAACAACTGGGAAAATAGATACATTTGTACAAACTTGTACGAAGGCCTCAAGTCCGTAAAGTCGATGTAAGCTAAATTAGTATCTAATGTAAGGATCGTACAAGGTGGCGCTCTGCAGTTTATTTCTACCTTCGAGGGAAACGAAGGTAAGTGTTTACGTCCCTACGTATACATGTACCTAAGCACATAATTATGATTGTATGATCTGATTAATTCAAGGCACTTACGCTTCATTTTCCGGCGACAGATACGAAGAGATAGAATCATATCGTGACTTGTTAATACGGAACTTGTTGTTCTTGAGAGGCTCGAGGCCGCGTTCCTCGCGCGTTCTGCAGTCCACGGAACCCGCGATCACATTCCAGCGACAGTCCACGTCGGTCAGGAACCCACGGAAGATTGGCGACGCTGCTGATAGTGCCAACTACAAATAAAATACACTCTTAACAAATAGGTATTTAACTTTGTAAATGCATAAAATATTTTTTCCTTAGTAGCACAAGTAATAACTCTTTTGTATTTAATGTATAGTTGTTAAATATTCATAAAATATATGAAAAATAAGTGTTATTTTATTACGTCTAAATACCATTAAATTGTAGAAATTATTTGCATATCTATCAGTCACTTTAATTGGTAGTATAGTATAGCAACAGGCATCACAGTCATCGATCTCGTTGGTTAAATGCATAAATGGTAGCACAAGTTGCTATGGACCGATGCACGTTTAATTTTTCTACGTGTGGTAACTAAGATGACAGATTGATATTTTTTACTTCATTAGTTTTCCTTAGACCGGTTCGGATTTGGATGTCACAAAAAAATACATACATTATACATAAAGAATTGGAATGCAATAAAAACTGCTTAGTAATTTAAACGATAGATTAGGACGTATTCGTAAAAAAATAGAAATGAAAAATTGAACTTATTTTTCAACTACTCTCGTACACATAATAAATGGTAGTTATTAAGAACTTTCTAAATTATACCAGTCAGTATTATTTCTTGTTTTCTGAAAAATGCTTAACAAACCATTATAGGGCAGAGCGGAGCTAGCTGGTCATACAATGTGCGCGCTTCAGTGATACAACAGGCTTGGAATGTGAGCTGCAGGCAACAACATCCCATACCGAAGCCCATAGCGTCCAAGTACACGCAGTCAGGCTTAGCTGCCTCCGGCTCCAATAAGTGGGAATTATCCACCGGAATCTTTGTGTTTACATCTTTGAACACTAGGAAAAAGAAACGAGGATATTAATGTAATACCTTTTAGCATATGGGTAAAAACGCTAAGGTAAAATATTGTATAAGGAAATGTGAAGACCGTGATTGCAAACAATAAGTTACTAATGCTCGTAATAACCCATTCACTAAATAATACACCCTCAATTCATGAATCAGCGCCATACAATATACTGACAGCTATTGTTTTAATATTGTGTTAAGTTATGCGTAATCATGGAAAGGAAGATTATAAACAAATGGTTTTTCTCAGATCAAAATGTTTTAGGTAAATTGCGACTTACCTGGTAAATTGATAGCTACTTTTTCTCCACGTCGTTGTCGAATATTGGAGGTCAATGTTTTGAAGCGAGGGTGTCCAGGGAATATGCCCTCGTCGGGGAAGAACAACGACCTAGAGACACCTTCGTGGGGAGTCGGTGGGTAGGGCGGACTTGTGAAGTTAGGACATCCTAATCTGTAGGCAAACAATCCAACAAAAACATGAATCGAGATACCTTACACTATCAAACATAGATTCGGCAGATGACTCGACAGTAACACACTTATTATTTAATCAACATTTATTTAGAGCATCCAAACGCTGCACAATAAACGGCTTTGATGAGTATCGCGATATTATCAGATGAATCGAACATTGGAGTTAATTACTTAATGGGGAGCTAGGCACAGATACTCACAGATAGCAACGACGACCACATACAAGAAAAGTATTGATAAATCTTTAGATTAGTGTAGGTCTGTAGGTAATTTACGTATTACTTTACCTTGGGAAATTCGTTATGCTCATGATAACTTCTCCCGGAGGTAGTAAGTGTGATACTTCGGCTCTACGGTACTGCATGTTTGCTTCTACAATATTGAAATGTGCTAGTAGACCCCCGTACGGACGGCCAGGGGTACCCTCAATCATGTATGACCCATACTCAGGACGCCAGAGTGATTTTACGTCTAAAAACAAAATTAAATAAATAAATAATTCGTTTCATGATTAAATTATTTTCTCTTATACAATACAGTAGATGACAATTTTTTATTTTAATGTCCGTCTGGTAGATTGTTTAAAATCATTAGATACGTATTTTTTATTTTCTTACGGAAACGAATAGTTTCGTATATTCATTTGAAATATCGCATGACGTCACTTATGAGTACGATTTATACTCTAAAATGACGTAGCTACATCCCACTCCTAAACTTTGATTAGTTTTATCAAAGTAGGTATTGTTTTCTTATACGAAAAAATAAAAAAATACGTGTCTAATGTTTTTAATTCCCTGTCATCATCCCTATAATTTGACATGGCTGATGACTGCTGCTAATATGTTCTGCTTAAGATTAAGATCTGTATTAAGATTTTTTTAAAGTTTATGATACAAAGATTATGATTTTACAATAACAGCTGTAACTGCAAATAGGTTAAATCATGGACAGTCGACATTTGCACATTAATAATAGCCTCACTAAGTCATGTGCATAACAAAGTTCGCGCATTACAATACGACTAATGTTATTGAAGTAAATCATGTCAAGTCAATAAGACCATTGTATTTACTATGTTTAATGATAAATATATCGTAGTAGTGAACTTTAACATTTTCCATCACTTATTTTACGTAAAAATTATTATCAACGATTCGTTTTTTATTTCTTGAACTAGCGCAGTTACTTATTAGTAGAGTCCGCATTGCATATTGCATAATTTGCATATATGATATAACTCAGTAATTTTGGTCCTTATGCACATTTTAACAATAAGCAAATTTATTTACGGTCTATTGTAGGAAAATGGATTGAAAGATGCGACTGCAAAGAGTCACTTAAGTTTCATCAGTTTTTGAAGATAGATTAGATACCCATAAAATAGGGGAAGAGTCTATTGGCATACACTGGGCTCATTGGCATACTCTATTTCAGTCTTTTCACTACTGAAAGTTCAGACAAACGAAAAATTCAGAGATAATTTACTCGACTCGGGCATTGAACCCCTTCCTCGGTTCAAGACGAGCAAAATCAAGATGGTCACAAAGTCACAATGACGTTGATAAATTGTAAATAAGCAGTACCTACACGGTTTATGAAACACGCAACATGACACTTCCGTCTTACGCATTATGAATTATAATAGTTATGCATTGAATAATGTACACATAGATTTTAGCACGTGACAATATTAGCCATCATGCAGGCAGTGGAGTAATAATATTATGGAGTACCTACCTATAGTGCTTTAAGTGCTGACGCCACTATCACCAGGTACCTTGGCAACTATTGCGTGCCGTCTGACTTTTTGAAGGGGAGAAAAATCATGAAATTCTTAATGCCTTTTTTTTTCTTGTGCCTGGATTTGCAGTAATCATCATGGTAGCTTTTTCTATTAATTGAATTAGCTTTTTATCTAATAGAGTTACACACGAAGAAACAAAATAGATAGACACGTTTATTTATTGCAAATAATTATATTAACATATCGATACAAGTGTCGTACTTACGGAAATTGTAACTTAGAGATTATGTAAATTGTCCCTGTGTGAAATGATCATTCGCACTTAATATAGTGAATTTAAAATTTAAAGTGTGGATGTTTAAACAGCAACTTTTGTCAGTAGCCGTAGGAGTGTTTGCATGCAAATTGTATTTTCGCATGCTGTAAAATGCGCTGTTAGTCCTTAGGAAGTGACCGAGATTCTAAAGATTTAGGAATTTAGGAATGGCGCAGTAGTATTGGAAAGGGGGCCTTTGATGAGGTAGAGTTCACTATTTCAGCAAAGAAGGTATAGCATAGGTACAGCCGAGACAAGAACACTAGCTTCCTACAGTAACTCAGACGCTTATAAATCAATAACATGACGCGACGAGTACTATCGAACTTTATTTCGAGGGCCGCCTCTATTTGTCGAGTAAGGTCATTAGGTATTTTTCACTTAGTCAGTAGAAAATATTGATTGCTTCGCTCTGTCATTGATTCAACCAACACTAAATATTTTTTGCAGCGTCATTGTAACCAACATGGACGGTACAACTACAAAGATAGAATATCTTATCTTCTTATCTGATTGATATTTTCGTAAAGTATGCATGAGTGAGTAATAAAAAAGAAAACTGAAATCAATGAATATACTGTTTGACATTTTGTGTGAAAATTTAATGGTGCATTACCATGAAATTTCAGGAACCTGAGTATCGAGCACAGATAAACTAGTTATTTCAAGCGATCGTATAAAAGTTATTTAACAAGATAATTATTATGATCAGAAAATCAATATAGGTAGAATTATTAGGTTTGCACATCGTTTGCCTTGAATTAAAGAAATGTTTACTCGAAGGCACGCTGTCAGTGTTATTGTTAAGTCACACATAGATACGATTTATTATTCGAGGGTCGTGATTTTGATATGGGGCACTATTAAATGTCTTATCATGTCTTTAAATAAATCATTTTTGCATGTCATCGTCACCTTGCTAACATAGAAGATACGACTACATAAATATAGATTTCCTTTATAATAATTATGATGTTTAAATGTTTGATGAAGTATAAAATATATTAGGTGTATAGTATAGTACCAATATACCTTTTTCTTTCTAACATTTTGTTTTTTTTTAAAAAACGTTGCCCCACACTAGAATTTTCTCCTGTGTCGTGGGTGCGTTTACAAACATACAAGTTCACATACACATGACATGTAGCTTGTGTTGAGTTAATAAAATAAATAAATGTCTCAACTTCTAACTGGTAAAAAAATTCTAACATGTGGTTATAAATAACATACTAATTGACTAAATATTTCAATTGAATAAAGCCATTAGCGTCAGTAGTTCCTTGTATACAAATGAAAGGACGAAGCTAATAGTCTTGTTTTGCAATTAGGTACTTGTGCATATAATTATATATAATAAGTTTCATTGATTAATAAAGTAATTCTAATAGCAGACGAGACCATACGATAACACTGCGGATTTTTGTTTCGGATGTGTGTGGTTAGATAGCTGCAATCGCTTCGAGTTTATTTGTTCCTTATAAAGGAGTTTCTACTTTATTTAGTGTAAAAGAATTAAGAAGTGAATAATATTCGGCGAGATGATTGATGTCATTTGTAAGCAGCAGCATTATTGAGCAATAATAAAACAAGTTCAATCATGTTGAACTATTACTGGCACAAAACTGTAATCGTCATGTCATGATCATTATTACTCCAAGGTCACGCAACTTGTTTATTATTGCTGCGTCACTGAAGAAGTAAGGGTACCTAGGTATATTTTTATTTTTGTCTGAATCCCACTATTGACTATGTATGAGTCATGTCGTAAGTATTGGTGTAGTATGAAACGACAGTTTTCAGTTAGTGGATTCCATGGTTACGTCATTGTACAAATACATACGAGTAGGTATCTACATATGAGTTATCATCTTAGGTGAGGAAAATGGTACATCATTGTGTAAGTTATATTTTATGCATTGTAAGCTTGGCTACGGAAGTTTTCGGGTTCGATAACTGGATCGAAAAAATGTTATTTGACTACTTAGTTTTTGATGATTGCATTAATTAGCACGGCGTCGAGATATACGCATTGATTACCGTAATCCGTAATAGACATGTACATCAACTGAACCTATTTTATAAATATTATAAAATTGAACCGAGTAATAGTAACACTTTTTGGTTATTAATGATGAAAAATAATAATATTGAGAATATTCATGAGATGGTTTTAACATCTAGATTTACAGCAATATTCCTTTTTAACATAACATTTTTTAATAATGAAGAAGTAAAATTGTAGTCAATTTTATTTAACTACAATTAAAAATATTAACATATTCATACAAGCAATTTTGTAGTTCATATTAATTATAGTTAACAATATTAACTACAATTTTCATTATGTTCAAAAGATTACAAGGAACTGGTTTAAAAAATATTTATTTATAAAAGATAAATAAAAAGATTAAGAAATAGAGTAAGTATTAAATAAAATACATCTTTTAAATTAGTGATATGATGTGTCCTTGAGGACTAGTGAATAAGTGTGATGAAAAACTCACTTTGAGGATCTGCTAGTTCTTTCTCCTGCAGTTTAGGCAGCAGATTGTGGGCAATGAGGCTGACTGTGGCTCGCTGGTTCTCATCATCAAACTTCACAATTATGTACTCCACCTAAAATATCCAATCTTTTAAATTAGACTGTAAGGCTTACTCATGTAACTGTTTGATGAGGTTTTTGGTTAGTTTCAAACCATAGTTACAATACAAAAAATCAATCTTTAATACCTAATAAGTTATATTAAATCTTGCTGTATGAAGCAGTAATTTGAAAGTATGTAACCTGTATATTTATTTAGGTATCTATTTTCAAAATTCATTCCAATAAGATTTCTTTATTACCTAAATATTATAACACACAGACTCATTCAGGTTTTTCACTTCCATGTTACTATCCACTCTATCTCTTTATCTTACACCATGGTTATGAGTATTATGCAACATAAATAATCTTCTTGTACTACATTTTTCACAGTTATTCCAATAAGTGTTATCATTTGCCATTACATCAAACTGTTGCATTTTATTATAGGATATTACTAAGTAATTACATTATAAAATAATTAAATGATATATTAATTAATAGTATAGAAACTTATGTGGTTTACTATTGGATTCAATGAAGCTAAGTGTCCACATGGTAAATCTGAGCTGAACAGTTTCAAGAAATCAAAAGAGAATGTAAACAAACCTCATCTCCCCATTTGAGCACGTCGCCTGTGCGCTCCTGCAGCTTCACGTACAGGTTAATAAATTGTTCGATGCCGTGCTGACGTACATGCTCTGCCAAAGCCTTAGTCTCTTCCCAAGACAATGGACTTCCTTCACTTAGCAAACCCATTTTTGCTATTTGAGTGTAATTAAAATTCACACGTGATCTTCCCAAGTTTCTACTTATGTATTTGCGACAGTAAACCGCGGTCGCTTTAAAAATAAAGTTCATGAAATATTAATCGAACATGAGTAACTATCACCAGCTCATTACAACTGCAACGTAAAATTTAATTTTACGATGGGTTGAAGAGAATATTAAAAATACATCACAACAAAACTTTTACTCAAGCCGCAACATTTACAGAATTTTGCTTTGCATAAAAAACGTAATACGTACAAATGAAAATATACGAGGAACACTGAATTTAAGACAAATAACTTTTTTAATTATCAGGACCATGAGATCGAGACAACCGTCTGCTTTATATGTTCATAGTAAACAGAGTCAAGAACTAGACAGAAATGAAGTTATATCAACGTACAAGGCTATTCTGTAATCACCATTAATTCAGGATTTTTTTATCAATGGAACATCTCATTAATGTCCATTACATCTTGGTAGGTGGCAGAATACGAAACTAAATTTAAATGTACTAAATTTGACGTATTAATGACATTTGCTAATGTATGCAGCGCCACCTTAAACTGCCAAGTTATACTGGACGATTTGCATGTACATTGAACGACAATGTTTTCTGTCAAACCGCAAAATCAACGTTCCGTATTACGTTACACTAACAATAAAAGAAAATAAATAGAGTGCTGTTTTCAAATAATTGTATAATTTGATACAATTAAAATACTGTTTTTATGCGTATTTGGTACTACTATTGACATTTGTTAGTGTCTTAATCTTAGGCGTATAGAACATAATTATATAACAAGAAACCGAAATAAATAAAAGGAAAATCTGAAAATCTCTTCCTTCCTACTTTGCTGAAATCATGGTAACAGACAATCTTCGTCTGTAATGTTTATGGTTTATTCATTCATTCATTCATATTCGTAATTCAATTACTCAATCATTCATCATTCATTCCATTCATTCGCGATTTGTGATTTGGTTTGGTTGGTGATGGCAAAGAGTATAATAAGTATAGGGGTAGGTGATGGTGACAGTATCTAATGGATGATATTGTTGAGTTTAATAGTTTTTTCGATGTAGAAACTGCATATTTTGTCAATTACAACCTAGAAATATGTGTTCATTCGTAATTAGAGTTTATAAGTCTAATTAATATTATAGGCTTGGTTATTCCAGTACTTCAACTAATAGTTTCAAATTATCACCATGGTGCCTGTGGCTATAGAAGGATGCACCCAGGGTGCTGAAGGTGGAGGAGCCAGAGGCGGCTCTATCTCATTGGCTTTACTTATAGATTTTATTGTACAGCGTACTTATGATGAACTCACTGTGTTGGCTGAATTGTAAGTACATTACATACATTTAGTAAATGTGTATTTTTTTATTTTTATGGATATTAATGTTTCACATCTATTGCAGGTTGCCTCGTAAAACGGACATGGAGCGCAAAATTGAGATATATAAATTCAGTGCACGAACAAGACAATTATTTGTTCGTCTGTTGGCCCTGGTGAAGTGGGCTAGTAGTGCCACAAAAGTGGACCGCTCAGCACATATCATGGCGTTTCTTGATAAACAAGCTTTACTGTTTGTTGAAACAGCTGATGTTTTGGCTAGAGTGGCCCGGGAGACACTAGTACATGCAAGGTCTGTGTACTGTATAAATATAATAACCTAGTACCTAACTTTAATATTTGTAAACATAATATGATTATCTATTGTCATATCTACACCTCATTAAAGATTGGAAGTTTGATAATTAGCTTATTTGCACCACCACTCACCTATCTACATCTCATCACCATAAAATAACGTCTTTTATCCCCATAGGGGTAGGTGCACATTACGGCACTGAATGACATTGTACAATGTAACACCCTATTTGCACTATTTATGTTATGACTCTCATGTAATAGGGGATGAGCCCATTGCCTCATAGGCATATACCGGGCACAATTCCAAACTCCGTGCTACTACTTAGATTTTTTTTAAAAACCCATATTTCTTTGCCCGACCCGGGAATCGAACCCTAGACCCCTTGCAATGTCTCGGCCAATGACGCAGTCACATCTACATCTATGCAAATATATTATAAAAAAAATTGTATCTTACATGTGTGTAGGTTACCAACCTTCCACATGGCTGCGGCAGTGGAAGTGCTGACATTGGGTACATACAGTAGACTGCCAGCAGTCATAAGGGAGCGGCTGGTCCCCCCTCCGTCACTCACACCGGGTGAACGTCGCACAACATTGCGCGCACTGGCCCATGTTGTACGCCAACGCCTTACAACTGCTTCTTTGCCCAGTGACATAAGAAACTTGAAGGTGTGTATCAGACCAACATCAAAATGTTTTATGATAACATTCTTTTTAGACATACTTTATGTTAAGTATACCTATTTCAATCTGATACTCATAATCTCATCATAATTGTTTTACTTTTGTATACAACTAGTTCAATATTCTATTAAGATGGAAATCATAATTATCTTGTTCTGTTATATAAATCTGAAGAGTTTGTTTGGTATTTTGAGTGTGTTTATCTCTGGAAAGACTACTGGTTCAATTGGAAAAATTATTATATATTATAATCTTTTTATTGAGATATGAATATATAAAAGTTCAACATGTTGTGTAATAGATATAAGAACCTTAAGAAAAATTTTGCCAAGCTATTGGTCCTTGTGTAACTTGTCCTTTATTAGTCGAAACAAATTAGATAATTGAATGAATTCATATTGTGACAAAAATACATTTATTGTAGGTAGAGAATGGGCGTGCAACATTCACAGTTGGTCAAGAATTCAGTGTTTCTCTGACTGTCATGGGAGATGCTCCAAACTTGCCATGGCGATTATTGGACATTGCTATACTGATACAAGACAGTGAAACTGGAGGTAAGATTGTAAATGCGCTTTTAGTAAAACTATTTGGTTTATTTATTGATATCCACTCACTACAATAACAATTAAATACAATTCGCTTTAACTAATCAGTGTCATTGTTTACTTAGAGGGGAAGCCTCTCGTGCATAGTTCTCAACTTGCTTGGCTACGCGGAGTGGCACAGGCGCGCCTAGCGGCAGCTGGACTGAGCGGCGCACTCACTGCCCTGCGATACTTCTGCCGCTCGCTGTCTTTAGAGCTCTTGTACACACAAACATTGCGACTGTGTCGAGATCGTCTCTCTCGACATCTACAAGTAGACAGATATACCCCTGGACAGAAACTGCAAGTCTCATACTGGAGGTAAGTTTGTCAAGTAGAATTACCAAGATTTTAACAAACGTTTTATTACTCAATGAGTAGTAAATCGCCACATTATTTTTGTAAGTATGTCCACTATGCAAACTGGACAGCCGTACCATGTACACGGCCGCTTACAAGCTCGAACGTGTGTGCAGGGAGCTGGGCTGCGAGCTGGGCTACCGGCTGATCGTCGGCGCGGAGGGCTCGCAGCTGTGCGTGTGGCACGTGCCGGCGCTGGCGGGCGGCGAGCGCGTGGCGGGCGCGCTCAGCCCGCACGCGCCCTCCATGGAGCGTCTACTGGCGCACACCGTGCACGTGCGCTCGCGCCAGCGCCTCAACGACCTGCGCGTGCTGCTGCAGGAGCTGGGCGTGGAGTGCAGCGTGGGCGGCTGGCCGTGCGTGCTGGCGTGCTCGGTGGTGGCGCCGTGCCTGCGCGCCGAGCAGCTGCTGGTGTGCGTGGGCGCGCACGGGGGCCGCCTGCGCGCGCGCGTGCCGGCCTACCCCGCCACGCCGCGCATGCCCGACCTGGCCGCCGCGCTCGCCAACACCAACGTGCCGCTCATCAAGACCCTGCTCACACAGCTTCGGTATACTACTTACTACTAATTAAATCAATTCTTAAAATATCTGTGTACACAAAACTTTCAAACTATTGCACCGAATTCGACGATATTTTTTCATTATTTCTTATAGAAGAAAGCTTATAATGTGCAAACATGTGTCAAATTATTTGAGCACTTATACGAAAACTGGGCAGCCAACTAATAATACGCGCATGGTACAGGTTCTGGCTGGTGGCGCGGCGCTGCGAGAAGACGCTGCAGCACCTGCCGGCCAGTGTCTGCGAGCACCTGCCCTTCCTGCATGGGCCCGAGCACCCGCTCACCAAGCTTTCGCCCGACCGACTCTACGTCACGCTGCACCGACACACCGACCATATTTTGGTAAATATATCTATGAACTACTCTAAAAACGTGTAGGTATACTAATTCGATGTTCGTTTTGAATACGTGTGCGTGGCGTGCAGATAGTGGAGATGAAGGAGGTGGCGGCGGGCAGCTCGGCCACGACCAGCAACAGCGGGAACAGTGGCAGCGCGTGCTCCGTGGCGCTGTCCTTCCACCTCGCCGGGGCCAAGCGCTGCACGCCAGACGAGTGCGAGGACGAGGTAATTAACATGTTTAAATATTATTTGTCATTACAATGTCAATGATCTCTTTATAAAAGTTTGCACATTAAATTATGAAATATCTACCACAGGGCACACCTAGCAGCTCGTCTACTCCGGCAACAGCTCCGCGCGCCTACTTAAAGCTGAATTCTTTGGTAGAACTCGATACATTCACTCTCACACACGGACCATTCACACCACTCGATACACCCGGTGAGTGGGATATTATTTTATCCTGCTTAATTTTACTTTAAAATTGGTGAAATTTGATTTAGTTATGATCTTGGATGTAGTATTTGAAATATGTTTTTGTTTTATACATAGGTATGCAGCCGGGTAAGCGCAAGTTGTCGGCGGCGTCTCAGCGCGCGGTGCGCGTGCGCCAGCCCGCCTACTTCATACCGGAGCTAGCACATGTCGTGGCCGCTGCAGATGAACGCGTGCCCTTCGTTAATCTCGCGCAGGAGGTAGCTTACCTGTTTTTATGACCTGTTATTACTACAATTCTTCTTTATACTAATATAAAAGCCGCAGTTGTGTTACGGTGTGTGAGAAGTGGCGTATAACGTGAGTAGAGCAGAGAGTAAGTAGCGCGTGCCCGCAGCTGGCTCAGCGCGGCGTGACGCACGGCGGCGTGCAGCCGGAGTGGAGCGGGTCGGCGCTGGCCATGCGCGTGGTGTGGCTGCCGCGGCCCGACGGCGCCTGCGCGCGCGCCGCCGCCGCGCTGCGCGCGCGCCTGCTGGCCGCCACCATCCGCCTCACCACCAAGAACCAGGCACGAGTCTGGACTGCGGAGTTCGTCTTCCACGGCTCACCTGTACGCACGCCGAACCCACGAGAGCAAGGTAACCGATCCTTACAAATTAACCTATGTTGTTGGTTAAATACATTCAAATCGAATCTGGTTCCTAATTCAGGTTAAGTATTAATATATTTTTTTTGGTTTTAGAATATTCTTAGTACTAACACGGCCTTTAAAATGGAGCTCAGTGCACAGCAGTAAGTCCAAAATTACTGTCATTTCACAGGCGAGCGCCGATGCGTGTACTTACAATACGAGCTGGGTACGGACGCGGGTCGCACTGCGGACGCCTTCCTCGCGGACTGGGCCGCCATAGTACACCTGCACACCCTGCTACACGACTTCATGCTCAGACCTGCACAAGGTATGATTTTACATTGTTGCCCTTTAAGTGAATCTGAAGTTTGTATATTAATCATATATTTTTTTATTTATTTATAATTCATGGTACTCATTTATAATTTATATACATTTTGTTCATGTTCTGACTGTAGTATGAATAGTATGTAAGTGAAATGTGACAATAGGAGGTAATTGAGTACTATCTACAAACCGTCTTTTGCTTTAGATTTTATATCTTTAGCAGATACCCGGCAGTCGCACTTGCGGCCGAGTGGTCGCAAGTGCGATGCCGGGCAAGGGGTCTAGGGTTCGATTCCTGAGTCGGGTAAAGTATGACTGGGTTTGTAAAAACCTCAGTAGTAGCACGGAGTCTGGAAATGTGCCCGGTATATGGCAATAGGCTCACCCCCTATTACATGGGACTCATAACATAAATAGTGAAAAGTGGGTGTTACATTGTACAGTGGCATTAAGTGCCGTAATGTGCACCTCTGCCTACCCCTTCGGGGATAAAAGGCGTGATGTTATGTTATGTTATTTTAGATCTTTACTATATTTTCCAACTTCAGGAAAGGTCTGGGTACGGCTGACAGTGTAGGTACTCTCACGTTAGCCATCCGACTGGCCCTTAGCAGGCAGGAGTCGTTGGTCGCGGTTTTCTTGGACATCTCAGCGGCCTATGATTCTGTCCTCTTACCCCTTCTCAGGCAGAAACTGCAACAGCTGAGAATCCCGAGTAGAATCTGCCGAATAATAGGCTGCATCCTTTCCGATCGTACCCTCCAATTGAGAACTCCTGAGGATAACCCAGTACAGAGGTCCTCCTGGAAAAGTTTACCTCAGGGGTCAGTCCTTAGTCCCATCCTTTATAATATTTATACATATGACCTCCCCTCCTGTTTAAATTTTAACTGTAATGTCCTTCAGTATGCTGACGATATCGCACTAATGGTTACCAACAGCTCTATAACAGACGCTGCTCACTCCATCAATGTCTCTTTGGCCTCATTAAACCAATGGCTACTTAATCACGGGTTATCTTTAAGCGCCCCAAAAAGCTCAGCTATCATTTTTACACGCAAGCGACGCACTCCAGATGTTTGTATAGAGATAGACGGTCAGGCTATCCCGTTCAAAAGCAGTGCTAGATTTTTGGGAGTTTATCTCGACTTAAAGATGTCTGGGGTGGACCACATAAACACCGTAGTTGGAAGTTGTGAACGCTCAGTATCCCTACTCAGAGCCTTGGCCGGGGTTTGGTGGGGTGCCCACTCTTACTCATTGAAGCTCATCTACAATGCATTGGTCAGAAGCGTAATGGACTATTGTTGCTTCCTTATTGTTCCTTGCAATAAGGGTGCATTAAAAAAACTAGACTCCATTCAGGCCAAATGCCTTAGAATAATTATCGGAGCTATGAAATCATCCCCCATAAATGCTCTTCAGGTTGAATGTGTAGAGCCTCCCCTCAACCTTCGAAGACAATACCTGGCAGACCGTTTCATTTCAAAAGTTTTTTCCCTCTCATCACATCCTCTGATTCCTATCCTGGAACAAATCCACTGTTCTTTTAGCTCCTCTTCCTATTGGAATAATAAACCCGTCCCTCCCGTGATCGTCAGGTACAGAGAACTTAAAAACCTCTCTGCACCTATCAGTCAATATCCTGTACTCCCGGTTTTCTCTTCCATATATGAGATTATTCACTTCAGGCCAAAGCTGATTCTAGGACTTGGCATCTCGAAATACTCGGCGAATGCTGCGGGTGAGTTTGGACGCGCCTTGAGCAGATTCTGGAAGGGCTGGAATGTTTTCTTCACGGACGCGTCTAAACTATCCCGAAACGGATGTACAGGAGTAGCAGCGTACTTCCAAAATTCGAAGATCGCCCTTCTTTCCAAGTGCCCCCCGGAAACATCTGTCTTCACGGGAGAATGCATTGGCATTCTGGAATCAGTCAAATTTATTAGAGCGCACAACCTTAAGAATTCCATTATTTTCTCTGACTCCCGAAGTAGCCTACAATCTCTCAACCAAGACCAGCTCCACACCCGAACCCATAGCAGTTTGGTTGTAGAGATAAAGGCGCTTCTTTTTTCCTGCTACAATGATGGCATAAATATCGAGATCGCTTGGATCCCTGGCCACTCTGGCATACGTGGTAACGAGTGTGCGGATTCGTTGGCCAAATTTGCGGCCTCGAACGATGTCGAACGTCAACACTACGTTGTGTACGGGTATGACATACGTGCCGATACCAAACACAAGCTGTTTGAGTCATGGACTGCAGTGTGGGTGGAATCTTCCAAGCATAAAGGATCCTACTATGCGGGTGTCCAGCCGGGCATCCGACGGAAGCCTTGGTTTTCCAAGTACCCTAAGCTTACCCGTCACACTATTCCATCCTTGTGTAGGCTCAGACTCGGCCACTGTAGTAGTCTGGTCTTCCTCAACAAGATCCGCGTTCGCGACAGCTCACTGTGCGAATGCGGCCTTGACGAGGGAACTTTAGATCATATATTTTTTTCATGCCCCTTAAACTCCCAATCCTTTGACCTCTATCAAAAACTCCCCAGTATCCAAATCCCGCTTCCAATCAGTTTCCACCTCCTTTTTACTCACTTTTCCCATAAATTAATCTATTGTTTAAGTAAGTTTATCAATGAAAATGGGATTAAGATATGACGGTGTCCAATAATGTAAATGATGTACATACTTATCTGTTTGTATTGTGTATGTCCCCTCAACTATTTGCTACACCTCTGTATATATACAGTAAAATAGTTGATAATAATTATATGTTCACTAACCCAAGTGTTTTGTCCTTTCAGCTACTAACAACTAAAAACTACCACAAAGTTAATTTCGACGGTTCATTAAACTACCGTCATCACTGGACACTGGCAGTATAGTCGACAAGATCATTTTGGAGACTCGTTTGCCAAAGAGAGAAAAAAAAATATATATATATTTTCCAACTTTAACCAGGCGACATTCAAGCTGCCTTCCTACTTTGTGCTCTTCTGTTTTGTACCAACTTTAGATCGAATTGTAAGATTGTCTAAATCACTAACCACTAATGAATAATGTAGTGTACTTATAAGGGCTACAGGGAAGGGGCGCGGGTGTCAGGGCGTGGCCGTAGTTGAAGTAGTTGGTTGGTTGCAGAGCGCGAGACGCTGTGGGCGGGCGTGTGCGTGCGCTCGTACACGTACCGCTCGCTGGTGGTGGGCGTGGGCCCGCTGGGCCGCGCCACGGCCGTGCTGCAGTGGCACGCCGCGTCGCAGCGCTACTCGCTCGCCACGCCCGCGCACCAGCCCGCCGCCAACGCGCACCATCTGCTGCACCACCACCTCGACCACTACATCAACTGGTACAATCATTTACTAAACTCTGCTTTTGCACACCACCGGGACTAGTGGACTCACGATTACCTCGTATAACTTCCAGCCACAAAGATCTGATGTCATTCGGAGTGGTGCTACGTGAGACGTACGGTCCCCTGCTGGCCCTGTCCCGGCTGCCCACACTGCCACAGCTGGGCCTGCACCACGTGCGCAGCCTCATGCCCACGCCTACCTTCACTCTACTTGCACATTCCTGGAGAAAGGTAGGTCTGACTGCCTACAAATATCTGTTGAAAGCCATTCCTCAACTCAATTTTGTCGCACAAAATATTAATTAGATTGTGAATGTACACTTGTAATTTCTAAGCAGTTGTCATCGTTTTCTATAATTCAGTTTACTGTTTAGCTTGATGTTTATTCAATTGTCAAGATGTTGTTTAACATATTAAGTATTATTTCTCGTCTCAGATACGCATAGTGTACGCGGGTGCGTACTCGCTAGAGGTGGGCATTCGTGGAGGAGGTATCATCACCATACGCGACGGCTCCTACTCTAAGTTCGATCGCAACACTGTTGTTGATGAATTCGCTCCGGCTCTCGGATTAAAGGTAAAACTTTCAAATGTAATAACATGTATGCATGATGCTGATCCTTGATATTATATACTTTACAAAGTATATCTTTCTGGTATGCCCTGCAGGCGTTTTTATCACGATATGTGGACGACAATATGAGTGCCAGACTCTTAGCTGAAGACGACAACCCGCCGTCACCTATGTCGCCGATGCCACCAGGTAAAAAATATATTCCATTGGAAAAATGCAATTTTTACAGTTTTTGTCTGTTTGATTGATTAAAAAAATACTGATAGTTATCTTGTGTACAGGAGGCCTAAGGTTCCCTGCGCCCCTGACTCCGCCGCAGCCCCACACGCCCCACTCAGCGCCCGTCACTCCGCACCCCGCCTCGCCCGCTCAGCACCAGGTGAGACTTAATTGAAATTACCTAACTGCATTCATCTCCTATTGCATAGGACTCCTGGCATAACTGATAACATTAAATACATTTTACTACCAACTTATAAATTGATGATGCTGATCTTGATTATCCACCCCTGATCAATCTTAGCAAGAGTTTACCTCAAGCTCGTTCTTTGCATTCATCATCATGAGCTCTCCTTATAATTTCTCTTATAATAGCTCTTTATATAATGTAGATGGGTGGCGGATCGTTCAACCTGACGTCTCCGCCGGGCGGTGCGGGCGGTGCGGGTGCCGGCGGCGCGGGGGGCGGGGTGTCCGCGTCCCCCGCGTCCCCGATGGCCCCCTCTCCGCATGCGGCCCCCGCCGCCTCACCGCACCCGCCCCCCACGTCCCCCTTCACGGCGTGGCCCGCCTCGCCTTCACTGCCGCGGCCCTCGCCCGGACACCATCCCTCGCCGAGACATCACATTGATCACAAAGGTAAACATGACACATAATCGTTTGAATTTTGATTAGTAGGTCGTTTGTTTGCCTAATAATTAGATATCAGCTGTAGTTAAATGCCATTTAGCGCTTGTATACATGTAGAATAGAAAACCAAATTATATGGAATTGACGTAATTTTGACACTTGTCAGTGTCATCTCCCCATACATTTTGATTTCTACTCTCTCTCTGTAGACAAGCGCTACGCGCAAGACGTTTGGCTAAAGGCCCAGTGTCTTTAGCCAAACGTCACTGTAGCGCTGCAGGAACGTTAATGTTTTCGTTTGAATTGTTCGTTCGGATTTTAAGAAAAAAAAAACAAATATAAAGTTTAAATGTTAATGAAAGAGTACTCTATGTACCAGTACAGTATGCATATTACATTATTATCGGGAAATGCCGTTAGGTCCGCAAGCTAGCTCGAGTTCCCGCGCGACGTCGTCGTCAAGTGGACGCGGGTGGGCGGGCGCCACGGCCACTCCCCTGGCGGTGTGCAAGCTGGAGACGCTGTGCACTCCCAGCGAGCCCCCGCCCGGCGCCCCGCCCGGGCCCACGCTGGCGCCCGTGCAGCGGTTCCTCGCCTGCGTCTACATGAAGAGGACTCTGCAGCGCTTCGTGCAGCAGGAAGAGTTTGTGAGTGTTTTATATAATTGTACTGCAGTCCAATTTTTCATTTGCAAATAATCAAGTTTATGAGAATCGAAATTATCAGACTCGAATTGAAATCAACATATTACAAAAAGGTCCTTATTTGCGTCAGCTACCTAACCGAATAAAATTCGGTGTATGAGTGTGTGATGCCAACAAAGTAGCATGTGTTATGTGTGCGCCAGCTGACGCTGGTGTCGGTGGAAGCGACGAGCCTGACGTTCCGCTGCGAGGGCGCCGGCCTGGCCGCGCGCGTGGCGCTGCACCCGCAGCACTTGCAGTCGCTGCATCTGCAGCTCACGCCGCTGCCTGACCACAACAAGGACACTTGGTCCGCGGACGACTTACAGGTATAGCGAGCTGTTATTCAGACTTACTCCATCGTTAAGTCTAACTTGAGAAACTACTAGATACAAAAAGTTTATGAAGTAATGGTCTTGAAGTCGACACAATATTTCTTCTTTTTAAATGTCATTGTATCACACATTTTTCTTAATTTTTCCTCGCACTTAATTTTTCCATGTTTTTGAGCTTTATTTCCATTGCTGAGACCTTGTATCATTGCTTTTTTCTCAAGATATTCTTGCCTCATAGCAGTCATAGCGATTATAGCAATATGCGTGCGTGGAAAGGTTTTGATGTAGTAATAGGTGTTTGCGTGTGTGTATGTGCAGGTGATGGAGAAATTTTTCGAGCAACGCGTAGCGATAGCTCCGTACCGCGCCACGGCACTGCAGGGCTGGACTCGCGCTTGGGGCGCCCCGGGCGCGGCGCTGGGGTCGCTGGTGGCGCTCATGCGGGCTGAGCTGGCGCCCGCTGCGTCCGCACTGTGGCAGCTGCACTGGGCGCTGCGCATCCCGCCCGCCGCGCCGCCCATCGTGCCCGCCGGCCAGCCCGCTGTGCTACTCGCCAAGCACAAAATACTGTTCTTTGTAAGCGCTCTTCTATGGTATCGTCCACGTGTTAAGCATTTACATCGATATCCCCCTAAACACGTTGTTGGCACAGATCTGCCTGACGCACGGCGACACGCAGCTAGTGCTGCCGCTGGTGTACGACATGCAGCTCAACGTCACGCAGCTGGCAGATAAACAGAACGCGCAGCCACATCTCATCGCCGTCAGTTTACATCTCAAACGGTAACATTTCGTTTTATTCATCTATTCATGTATGTGGGACTAATTCCAAACCCCATGTTCAATAAAGCATTTATAATACTTTAGTTTTGACCCATGAATTGTATAAAGTGGAAATAGTTTTGAGACGTGGCCCTGATATCGTCGTGTGTGTAGGTTCAACGAGTTCAACCAGTCGCACGCGGAGTGCACGCTGTGGCCGGCAGTGCGCGACCTGCTCACCAACTTCACGCTGCCGCAGGAAGCCGCGCAGGCCGCCGCCCCGCCGCCCTAGCAGCTCTCATACCTCGAGCCGTTGTAGGCTGCCCACTACTGCGACGCTCCGTGCTCTGACTGCCCCGAGCCTAGTTCTCTGTTATGTTTGTACAAAGCGTCTAGTTGTAAGCTCGACACCGTTGTTCATATTACCTATAGCAGTAACACTCTTTACAGTCGCTGATGATCTAACTTAAGTTTTTATTTATCAGTGCCGAAGAGGAACTAGCTAATAAGTTCTCCAAAACCATGTTTATTTTAAAAAAATATGTAAATTATTAGGTGTATAATAAATAAATAATCTCATACATTTAGTACTTATTTTATCTGCATTCTACATCTACACTAAGATTTGATTTTTTTGATTGAAGTGAAAATGCTCCGAAACTACTGGACCGATTCGAAAAATTCTTTGACCATTGGAATCCTAAATGATCCCTGACGAACATAAGCTATCTTCTATGTATACATATATATAAAAGAAAGTCGGGTTTGTTCCAACACTTATAACTCGAGATCGGCTAGACCAAATATCACGATTTTTGGTTCGTTGGATTTGTAACTAATGAAAACTCGACGAGAACATAATTATAAAACATGAATCATTTTCCCTGAATGTAACTAGCCCATGGTTTCGCTCGCGCTCTTTTAAAGTATTGAGAGCAGGTTTATACAAGATAAAAAAAATTTGGTGACCGATGTTTTGTTGGTCACAAATGTGATACCAATTTTAGGTTTGTTGAAAATTACGAAATTCTCCATACAAACTTCCACTCCCTGTTTTAGGGAAGTGGTGGGTTTGAAAGACACAAACTGTAGCCTATGCGACTCTCAATCCCTTCAACTATTTTATTTTTTATTTTTATTTTAAAAGACTTCATGCACATACTATTGTACAAGGTGGGCTTAATGCCTAGGGCATTCTCCTCCAGCCAGACCTTTGGGTGATGCAGAGACAAAAACAGTGGTCGATGCAAGAAGCAAGCGTATTTAAGACTCAACAGAAATGCATAAAAAAAAAGGATAGTATAGACTTACATAAAATAAATTCCTATATAAACTTACATGTATATGACATAACAATAAACCTACATAATTATATTACATATACTACTTAGACGTAACATAACTATACATAGTATATTGATAGTTACGACTCTGCCAACCTCTTCAAAAGTAGCTCCCGCACCTTCCGCTTGAATGACAAACGACTGGGCACCATCCTGATATCGGGAGGGAGCGCATTCCACAGAAGAATAGACTGAATAAAAAAGGAGGAATGAAGAAATTTAGTACGATGTGTTGGACATTGGAGGAGGCGATTATTAGAAGAGCGAAGATATTTGCTGTGGTTTGCGCATGTATATTGGAAGTGAAAGGACAGATAATGAGGCGAATGAGGTGAGTCAAGAACAGAGAAAAGAGTGGTTAGCGCCCTTAGTTCCCTGCGCTGTCGTATGGGCAACCACTTTAATTGCAATCGGTATGCAGAAACATGATCACTCATGACATATCTGCACTCAATAAAAAAATCACGTCAATTTCTAACAATGGACACTGTACGGGTAAAATACCTGTGAGATTGTTTATTTTTTAAATACAACTGAATCGATGCTGATGAGATTTGTTCCGTACCATTGGAATTAACCTTGGAAAAGACTAATTAAAATTCAAAATTTGCCAGAAGTCATTATTAAACGGGGATGAAGCGGGGACGCGGGGAACATCGAAAAAAGGAACCAGCAGATAATTTCGATGAAGCAACCCGATGTATGAAAAATCTAACTACCAAAAAGCTACCTATTATTCTGACGCTGTGGTAATTATACACAATAGAGCAAAATGATGTACTATACATCACTACACAGTATAAAACAAAGTCGATATCCGCCGTCTGTCTGCCCCTATGTATGCTTAGATCTTTAAAACTACGCAATGGGTTTTGATGCGGTTTTATAAATAGATAGAGTGATTCTTAAGGAAGGATTATATGTATAATACGTGCATATTGCACCTGTGCGAAGCTGGGGCGTGTCGCGAGTTAAATATAGTTATATTTAACTAGCGACCTAGTGACCGACCTTACAATTTCGGTACAGACGTGTACACTCTTTTCTTCTACTTCTGCGTTTTCGCTTTTTCGTAACCACCTAAACTTGGTCGGGTTACCACGGTCATTGACTTCCTAATAACTACTTTAATCGTATTATCTCATTAATTATCCAATGTACTGAGCTGAAATTTTACTGATATATAACTGAACTAAACAACTAATTATTGACATAACATTCAGTTCATATATCCAATCCAGTGGCGAAATAACACCGCGCGCATCAAGACCGTGCTCGTGAAGAACTCAATATCACCATAACTTGTTCAATACTTACAAGATACTAATGAAACTTCACATACATTTGAAGGCAGTTACAAGCTTTTAAATAACGTTTAAAGTAAGTCTTTGGAGCTCTTATTGAGAGTGCTGGGACAAATTGAAGTGTTTTTCTATTTAATGAAATAACTTTTAAGCTATGTACAATACATAGCTTAGGTTTTTTTATGAATTATATGAATTTTTTATGAAATTTTGATTTACAAATTTAAACTAATTCCTAAGAAGCCATGTACAAAATATGATAAGGATCCGCTTAACCATTTCAAAGATCTAGCAAAATTAAAAACGTTACCCCAGCAAAATCTCGTATATAGATATACGAGATTTTGCTGGGGTAACGTTTGGGGCAACGGATGAAAGAACAAATATAAAACAAGGCACAACATTTACTTTATCTAGACAACTAATTTTATAGCTAGTAATTATTTAAATATTCCCATTAGAAAGAAAAAGGTCTGACTGGGGTAACGTTACCCCAACAGGAAATATGTTAGCTAAATAATTAAAAAATTATAAGCGCAACATATTTAAAAATGTGCGCAACAATTACAGAAGCCGCACAACTAATTATCTATAAGATTGAAATGACAATTTTCCAACATCTGGCCTGGGTAACGCACACCCCCTGGGTAACCCCTATACTTATTATATATAATACTCTTTGACGCACACAAAACCCCTATACTCATTATACTCTTTGGCACACATTCTGATGACATTTGTTACAGCCATAGAATGTGTCTTGGAAAAAACTAATTCATAAATCCAAAATTATTGCTGAAGTCATTATTCTACGCGGGCAGAACAGCTAGTTATTTATATTTTCATGTTAATCGTCTCACTCAAGATCTCATTAAGGATTTCTGAGTCAAGTTATTTCTTATATGCATCCTTACCTTTTTCACTTTGCACACTCTATTTATGTTACAATTGGTCACGGACTGTCACAATACCACTTTGACAAAACCAGGCAATACATTGAATACATTAAATTTTAGTTTGGATAACTTCTTCAATATTTTTTGAGAACGAATTTAAATTCACACTAAATATGACTTCTTCGGGTAGGCCCCACCATGAACACTCACTGGAAACTATACTCACATTTGATAATCGTGATTTGGTATGAATTTTCATATATTTTTTAACAAAGTCATCCGATTGTGTTGTATATAATATGCATAATTATTATTATTTTTATTCACTTACCAATTCAGTGTCACGATCACATAAATATTGTTAATGTTGCTTATATAGCAGAGCCAATGGTCAGTAGTATGGTCGACCAGTCATATCACGGACGTGGACAATGTGACGAACCGTAGCACTCGGAATCGGCTCCTAGGCCGGCGTCGGCTACGCCTCGGTTCGCTAGCACTCAGCGCTATGATGACCATGCACTGTAGAATACCAGCCTCAGCTCTCACAGATGGGTTGTGTAAGTTGCTCAGCTCTTTTATCCTTATCCTTACTTTCTTACTTTTTTCTTACTTATATTAAATCGGAAAGTGAGTTTGTTTGTTTGTTTGTTTGCCTGTCTTAAACGGCAGAACGGAGGTACTAATTAACGTGATTTTTTAACTGAAGGTAGTTGAAGGGATGGATAGTCACATCGGCTACTTTTCATTCTTTTGCGACGCGAGCGAAGCCGCGGGTAAAAGCTAGTATATCATAAGTTACAATTTTTCATTGAAATTTATTAAGAAGTTTGAAAATGAATATTGTATAATAAGGTTTACCTAAACCTATCACAAAGTACGTTTCATAACCGTAAGAATTAATAAGGTAATTTCTTTTCTTTAGGTCAAACCAAAATGTATTGGCTTTTCAATACAATAAAATATTTAAAACTATATACCTAATAAAAATTTGCCAGCTCTAATACGGTTTTATTTTTTAAGTTAACCTGTTTGAAGTCGTTAAGTGGGCAATAGCTATACGGTTTACCCTACATAGTTATCGTATTTTTAAAATAAAGAATGCTACTTTACGCAAAGTCTTTACCATAAGGGGGCTTTACCACTCGGGGCCTCAGGCCTATGCCCAGGCACCTCCATCCGTTCCAACGTGTAGCGGGTTCGATTCCCGCACGAAACGAATCTTTGTGTGAATCATAAATTGTTGTATACAGTGTTTATACCTAAATACACCCACGATACAGGACTAAATCCTAGTGTAAAGAAAACTATCCGTTCCTCGTATATTTCCTCCTTGATGATTGAACTAATGTATATCATTTCACATTTTAGTTCTCTCTGTTGTATTTTTCACTGGAGCTGTACTGGGTCTCGCGAACCCATTGCGACATTTTGAAGTGTACCTTGGACAATGGAGTATCAGCGGACCCGGTCGTGCTTTCCGGATTCTTCCTATGTTTGATGGTAAATAAAATTAGATCCTTTTCGAGATTAAGTAGATTAGATTAGCTTACTACATATTATAGATATTTCTTACTTTGGGGCCCTTTTTGTTAAAGGGTTTGGTGTAATAATTAGGCAACCTACATTTTTTATATTTGAGAAGTTGACGTTTGACCACCATCTCGCCTGGTGGTAAGCGATGATGTGGCCAACGATGGAGCACGCCTACCTATGAGCAACCTGTTTGCTCTGGATTTAAAGACATCCAAGTTATATTTCTCAGGAAACAAAGATACCGGCAAGGAATTCCATTCCTTAGCGGTTCGCACAAGAAAACGTGATCCGAAAAGCTTAGAATTTTAGACTATGCTTCTGATGATTATTTTCATGTCTTGGATGCTTGTATTTATCAAGAGTCATGAATCCCTATTGTTCATACAGGTATTGGTATAGCAATGTGTATAAATGCAATAGTGCGCGCTATCAGTTGCTGTACCATGGCAGCCATAGCCGCAGTATATGTAATGCATTCTGTTGCGGATTCCAAATTACCTTTCACGTACTGTCGGTAAGCGCAAATTCACCAATAATTTTCTCTTTCCTGGCCTTGTCCCAGTATATACAGTACCAATATATCTATCTATCTATATTCAAAGGTGAGTGAGTGACTGACTGACATACCTAGTGATCTATCAACGCAAAGCACAAACCACAGGACGGATTGGGCTGAAATTTGGCATGCAGGTAGATGTTGTGACGTTAGGCATCCCCCAATGGGGTAAAATAGGGGATGAAAGTTTTGTATGAATCTTTGTCAGTTTTACACTGATCGGGTTAAAATTCGGCATGCAGGTAGATGTATGTATGATGTATGACGGGAACATCCCCTTAGAAAAGATTTTTATCGTTTACACCTCCAATGGAGTAAAATAGGGGATGAGAGTTTGTATAAATCTTTTTAACCATTGAATCTATTGAATCTAGAATCGTTTGAGTTACATTCGATAAAACGATAAATTTGAGTCCTGGGAAACGGTGTATGATAGTTTTTATCACAGAAGTCCCACGGGAACGGGAATTATGCGTTAAAGCCCCGGAACTCTCTATCTCTTAATATCTGAACTTATTTTAGAGAGATTCGATACAACAATAGTCAATAGAAGAGTTTTTATCACTAAAACCTTACGGGAATGGGTACTGTACTGGTAAAATCCCGGCGATATTTTTTTTTTGAAACTTAACGTAAAATCATTTCACAATAAATCTCTATCATGTCTAAAATGAAAGTAGATATGTAAGTATGTGTGTTATGTATATCTATTGATAGAATCCATCTGACTACCTACATCGAGCCTGTAACGTAACTGATTACACCTATAAGTATATTTCGCAAAACAGTGAACTCAAATACAATTCTTACTAATCATGCACTTAATAACGTTCGTTCCAGCGATTTCAATTTCAAGCCATATGATCCCGAGTTGAAGAATTTAAAATTTTATGCTTTACGTGGGGTGAGTGAGTGTCATTTAGGCACATATGTATTTTATTTAAAAGGAGTTCAAACTTTTCGCTATTTATGTTATGGGTCCCCATAACATAAATAGTGAAAAGTGGGTGTTACATTGTACAGTGGCATAATGTGCACCTCTGCCTACCCCTTCAGGGATAAAAGGCGTGATGTTATGTTTGAGTTAAAACAATATTTTATCGCATATATTGCGATATATTCCACTTTTAATTAATAGTAGGTACCCTTCTGTTGAGGAAGCGAAAGAAGTATGTAACAATTGGCGTTCCATAGTCTCTGCCTATTCCCATGGAAGGCAGACATTGAAGTCTGAGGTTATGTAAGCATGTCTTTTACTTTTCCCGACTATGACAATTTTTAGGGTTCTTATACCTCTGTAAAATTATAGGTATATTTGTAAGCCCACGTTAGGTAACCTGATCCAGGTAATACATCCAGGAAAGCCTCATAAATCGATCTCGAAGACATGACTTACACATACATCTACTCATAGACACACCTGTCTCAATGAAATCCAAAATAACATGACTCTAACATACATCTTTACTTTAATTTCTTCTACTTTATGCCTATGAATGGATGCAACCTAGTCATTTTAGTATTAAAGCTTATGCATCTACCGTATTATGTCTCTGTATCACCCTAAGGTAGATTGGCAGAGAATGCCCTAGGCATTAAGTTCGCCTTGTCCTATATATGCGCAGAACTATTATGTAAATAAATAAATATTTAGTAAACTTGTGAGTGACGCTAGAAGCTACCTACTGTGCTAGAAGGCCGCCTACCAACAAATACCTGCATCAAATAACGCGTCGTGGACAGTAGGCATTAGTACTTAAACAATGTACATACTTACATCAATGCTCAAGAATGCATGAGATTAAGGGTAGGTAGATACTTTTGACTTAACATTATTATTGTTTTAGTTAAAATCCAAAATAATACCCGAAGACTCTTATAACGAGACAAACAATATTGGAATAAGACCTAAATCCTGGCGGAATGCCACCAATTTCAGGTACATCATATTAAGTATACCCTACATAAAGCAATAACTTAGAATTTCAGATGTAACATTGGCGGTTGTATTTTATTTAGGTATTCAAGATTTTAAGGCAACTCTTCTATTAAAAGAAATTTATTTTCGTAGGTCTAAGTACAAATTTGAAACTAAAATTGGAGTATGCAATGAAACATACATCGGGCGGTATCCTGGTGTCTACAGCACTCCAGCCTATAATTTTTTTTAGTAAGTTTCAATAAGTAAGTACTGTATTTGTTTTATATCTATTTATAAAACAAATACATAAAAGAAATCATAATACTCAATGGATATTATTATAACACTCATATTATATTCCAGCGTCGAAGTGGTACAATATCGTACAGTAAACAGATTAGGGAGGTTCAATCTACCTCTCGCGGTGATTATTATTTTCGCTTGGCTCATTCTATGGCTAATAATGATAATGGAAAAATTTAATTACAGTAGAGTAAGTAAACATTCCTAGTCATAAAACATAATTCGGTTTACTAACTCTAGTTCATGAGTAGTTACAAGCCAACCTGTATAGATAGATCACTCCGTAGTACAAATACCTACCTATTTATCCTTCAAGAACACGGACACAAACAACGAACATTGTAATAATGTGATTGTTTAACGTAATACCTTGGTTTTGTCTGTATTTTCTTAGTTTTAGCTTATTTGGAACAATATTAAGCCTTGGTTTATAATCGTACCAACTGTGTGGACTACAATCTTTGTGGTATATGCTGCTACTAACCTGTCATGGACGAAAACTTTTCGAAGATCGGTTAAACTTGGTAGCAATGAAATAATAGCAGTACGTACTTCTCTGATTTGTAACATCGTGTATTCTATAAAATTTTCTAATATTTTTTGTACGTAAATCTAAGATTATAGGTATACCTCAGTCTAAGCGCAAATCATATTTCGTTAAGGTAAATGGTCCAAGATAGCCCGCGAGCAATTCAGTGACTTTCTACGATGTACCATTTTAGTAAATATTTGACGTAGACCTTCGCTAAATTACAGTTATGTAGATGGTTTTAAAAGTATAACTGTGTAAATATATACATTTCAATACCGCGAATATATATTTTATCATCATACCTATAATGCTATATTGAGCTGTAAATCGCAAAAAAACCTTCGAAATTTTAAATTTCGAAGGTTTTTTTGCTACGAGCTACCCTCGAACATTCACTTTGATATTGCAGGCTGTAGCAGATGCTTTGGAAGTTTCACTATATACTCATTCTCTTGGTGTTGGGACTGAACTGATACATGGAAAAGCATTAAATCACTTTGGTACGTTTCCACTGAATAAAATACATAATTATGTGTTATTTCCAAAAGGGTTGTAGACTTGCAGTTCCTTATATTTTCCTAGTTGCTTTTTATTTCTTATTGAGACCTTTCTCAGGGCAAAGAACTAAACTGTAATGCTAAAACACTATCAGTCGACCAGCTGGTGAAATCGATGCATTTTCCACGAAAACTTTGTGATGTGTTGGACAAATTGAAGGCGTCTGTGGTGTCAAATATGATTAGTCATTTACAGATAGCTAAGTACTAGACTTGCAATATTTAGTTTGGGAAGTACAAGTAGGCTGGTGAATCTTCTGTTGTAGCTAATGGCCACATAGACCCGGACTTCAACAACGAGAACGTGTGGCATTCCGTAATAGTTCTAATGCTGATGGGCCTCCACTCAGGCGGAGCTGCCATGTGCGCATTTATTGACTACATGCAACTGAATTCAACCACTACCTATACCATGAGAGAAGGTATGTTTACGTAGGCACACAAATATTTACTAAAATCCTCAAAATTCATATTTTTGTAAGTGTCTGTCTGTTCTATTTTGTTGTTTGACAGGAACTACATGGATTATACCTATGTACTCTAAATGTACTTCACTGGGTAATTACTCACATCTTGTGTAAGTTATAGATTAACAACTTATTATGTTTTCAAGCTTATACCTACTATGTACTTAATTATGTATCTGTGTGTGTTAATTTTAGGACAACTCTAGTATTTGGTGGATTGACGTTTTCTTACTTAACAGTGACGTTTATGTTATTGAAAACAGCGCTGCATACTATATTTGAATACAGAGTAAAATTAGTGTAAGTATAACTGATGCTTTATTCCCGCAAATTAATTTTAATGACAGACAATTGACGATGCAAAAATTCTAACTAGCGCCTCTAGTGTCAAAACTGTGAAGCTTCTAAGAACGACACTGACAGTTTTCGTGTATAATTTAAGTCACAGAAAAAGTATTTATTAAAATGTATGCGGTTTCATGTATATAAATATTTAAATAAATTGCAAAATTAATCAACGAGTACGTTTCTACATTTTAAACATTTACATTTTTCAATCACAGTCTCAGCACAGACTAATATTATTCATAATAATATATTTTTATTTTTTTGGAATGGTTTAGGTAAGTTACTACGTATCATTTCGGTATCAGGCCAAGGAATAACAACTTTAAAGTACTCAACTCAGCATGGGGCACATTTTGTTAAAATAAGTAGAACATCTCTGCATATTTATACCAAACAAAACACCAATGGCTAAATAACATATTTTGTTTAATTTTTACCATTATGAAATGTTCTAAAAGTTCAATTGTACGAATACCCGTAAAAGTAAATAAATACATATCACTGCTGAGTAAATCTGTGATGGTTAATTGCTTTTCAGCTGATTATTCCTCTTTCCATACAGGAAGAAAATTTATTTCATTCATAATTTTGTGTTTTGGAAATAAATGAAAACTTATTCCTGAATCTCCATAAGTATTATCTCAATGTAAATTGAGAAACGCATCAATATTTTGTGTTTCTGCTTTTATTAAAAACAGGTTTCTGTACGTAATCGTGATCCATTTGATTATGTTTCAACTTATTAACGACAACTCGAAAGAAAAGTGTCTTTCTTAGACAACTTCTAAATTTTGCCGCTTGAGGCGCGCGGATAATAATAAACTATATTTCAATTGAAAATATTGTTTTATTATTTCGCAGATTTAAGGAACAACTTGTAGTAGCTGCCCTGATACTATCTTGTATGTTACTTAGTATGATTTATGCAACAAATGTGAGTATTAATGTACAATAATTTGTGGGAGTACCATAGTTTGATTTGGTAATAATTTTTTTTATACAGGGTGGCATAGCATTTTTGGACAGTGTGGATGCAATTATGACAGGCATAGGGACGCCGCTTGTGGTACTACTAGAACTGATCGGCCTGTTGTACGTATACCGCAGCCACGATTTCCAATCTGACATGAATGTGGCTACAGAAGATAATACGTGCTCGTCACGTATAGGAATACAATGGCAAATTGTCCCTTTTGTAACACTGGTATGAATGTAAATTTTCTTTTACAAAACATATAAACATAGTTATGTGTTTGTATTGTTCAAAGAAAAATATTATTTACAGATCACTATCGCTATAAAACTATCAAGACTATCAGGAGCAGAAATGCCAACTCAATATATGTGCCTAGCAGCCGTTCCAATGGTGTTCTTGGTGTTAGCGATACCGCTACGCGCGATTAACAACGCTTACGCTTTCCTGCACCACCCACCACAAGCCAGCTGATCAATTGTATATACGTATTTTACAGTATGACATGTATTAATAAGTAACGATATATAAAAATAATATGAATGTAAAAAATATTTTTTGTGACGTCTTAAAGGTGAAAACGTTTCTAAGAAACAACAAACACAATTGATTGAAAATAAATGTTTATTTTATCAATCATTTAAAATATTATAAATATTGTTCTTTTGTACAATGTAGCAACATGTGTACACATGATTGATGATAGTAGCCTAGGTGAGACTCTCATAAAACTTATAGACGCGAATTAATATATTTAAAGATACATTCGAGGGCGCCTAGTTTACATAAGCTGCTCATGTTCCGTACACTATTTACAACACCTATCTACCCATCCTGAACGATTCAAACGTTTGAGTAATTCATTGTCCATTACCAAATAACAATTCACTTTAAGGAAGGTTTGAATCACCATCAGATTGATATCATGGGTATCCTACTATGATCTAGTGTTTGCTATGATCTATTTCACAATATATTTAAAATATCACATATGTACAAATTATTTTCAAAACTAAATCTCAATAATATCAGTAATGTTTACTGTAACTTGTTGACAGATGAATAAATTCGTAAGTTAGCTAAACTTAGGCCATCGATTGCATCGTATATAATTAATATTTTATGGCTATATTTTTAATATTTAACTTCAAAAAATATCACTTATCAACAAATCAATAGGATATTATGTTTGATAGGTTAAAATGGATACCATTATTTGAACTAGACTTACTATTACTATTATTTGTGCATAAAAACGTGATTGTAGTAATATTGATAAACTTAATAGAAATATAAATCAGGTTGACCTTGGTTATACATTGATTTGTTGATGTGAACGCTTTTTGGCAAGTTGGCTAAGCCACGAATAGGCCGTAGTTTATAACGAAAATAGTTAATTTAATTATACACCTTCATAAAATTACAAGATTCATAAGTAGTGGAGTTTCACTGGTAGCTACCGAACACACTGCCCGATATCACATTTACGACAAAAACTTGTACAGTTATGAATTTATGACAACATCTAAGCACACTTTGATTAACAACTGACACTCGTATTCGATCTCGATAGGCAACTCATAATACTTTCGAATAATTTAGTAAAGTTGCACAATTCCAGTACAGCCCGATCAGGGCGGCGGCTGAGGTCAGGCGCGGCGCGGCGCGCGGCGTCAGAACCGGCGCAGCGCGGCGCCCGGCGCGGCCTTGCGCGTGGGCTGCACCGACAGCGGCGCCACCAGCACGTCGCCCCCGCCGCCCGCGCCGCCGCCGCTCGTGCCCATCTCCTGCACAACAACGCTGTCACTGCTCTACTCCACACATCGCATCATATGCAACTTTTAGTATTAGATATAATACTCACGTTGATGTTATTACAGCTAGCGAGTCTCATCTGTGCGAGCTGCGAGGCGGGCGTGAGGTTGGAGGTGGAACCGAATGGCGAGATCATCGACGACATCGCACGCTTCAGTTTCGACGGCGTTTTGTTGAATGAAAACGCACGACCCACCTGCACACCAATCATTAAATTATTTTACAATCTACTTTACACTAATCAATCATTAAAATACTAAAGTTACTTAAGAAAAGCAAGCCAGAAAAGAATAATTTATTTTATTTGTTCAATAAAATGTTATAAATATAGAAATTACAAAAAATAACACATTACAATAAATTGATACAGATTATCTAAAAGTATTATATTTATCACAAACAAACCATGCCCATATTCAGTACGAACACAACTTATTGTAGAACCTATAAAACAATGAATTTGAGGATGGATGATAATGTTAAAACACCACTGGTATGGCACGCTCACGAAATAAATAGTTAATCACAGAGGAATTGAAGCGAAGCATTAACTTGTGACAGTCACTCCGTCAACCTCACTCTTTCCTTAATGAAGAGGTATTTACTAAGCAAGACACATATTTGCAGGAAGTTACGACACATTTGATTAAGTAAGCACATGTGACGATGGTAGTGTCACTGAGCTAAGCAACGACCCATTATTTCTGTGTGCGCACACTGATTCCTGTGCTTCAGTCGGCACAACCAACACCTACTTACGCCACAGCTGAGCTCACTGAAGTCGAGTGCAGCGTTCCAAACAGCTAACAATATCCATATTATCAGTATCACGTAAGTGGTGCCCTTACAATTGTGAAATGTTTCATGTTCAGTGAATAATGATCCTTTACCCAAGATAAGTATCGGATAATGAGATGTTAACGCTAATGATTTGTGTTCAAATAGAAGTGTATCGGGTAAAGACGATAAACAATCTTTGCATTAAATTTTCACCGTGAACGAATGTGCGGCACGAACCGGTATAAGAGTAATCAAACACTCTTGGTTGAAATTATAGTTAGCCGGCTGTGAAAATAAACTACCAACACACATCTAAATGCACAGCAGAATGCTGAGGGACGGAAATGTTAAAGTATCATACACAGGAAGCAGTGTGCGGATGATCATTAGTCGGGGACGGAGCGAGAGGAGTGTGGCAGAGCCGCGTCAGACCTGTGCGAGTAAGTGAGCGCGCAATACCCATGTGTCTAGCAGGCCGGAGCCTGGCTCGGGCCGCAGCAGCCCCGTCAGCCCCGCCAGCGCCTCCAGCTACAACACAATACGTGCCACTGCGCTCAACTGCCACTCAACCCGTAACGGCTACTATATATACACTATACGTACGTTTCGGACACCACACTGTTATTCGTGCCCACTGGCCGTTACTACCGACCATGGTTACAAAATAACAACATGCCAGTCCGATTACTTTGGTTTATGTATCGAATTCCAATTTAGTTGTTGTTAGTTTCATTGTACTTGGGTATATTTTGTTATTTATATATTGAGGTAGACTGTTCAGTGTAGATGTAGATCGCGTCAATAGATTACACACTAACATTAATTAAAAACTTGTTTCAGAATTCTTTGCAGAAATAAAAATAAAGAGGACATTCAGTTCTGAATAAAAAAAAATTGTGAATTTTCCTCTTATTGCAATTGATGTTAAAAAAATGTCAAATATATGACTTCGTAGCATTTTATTCAAGTATTATATTTAGATATCGGTCAAGATTAGGATTTACAACGTCTACTCGACGTTGCATTTGTCAAAATGTCTGCAGCATGTAGATCGATACAACGAAACTCAAGTGAGTTATTTGAAAAGGGAGCCAGCTAGTAAATGAATGTGTGACAACTGATTGTTATAACACGTTGACATAATTGAATGCAAAACGACTGCAGACTACAATAATATCATGCCTTAGTTACATAGAAATGCTTGTGACGAACTTCTTCATGTAGCTATGTAGCGTTTTAACATTTTCTGTAACTTACCAACATTACAGTTATGTGCATGTTATTTCTATGTCCAAGCTAAAGCTAATCCGTATCGTTTAATCCATGCTTTATTCATTTACACATATTTTATAGAGATTTTCGAGAGCTAAGAGGGTAACAGTCCCATTTGTTTTGGGCGGGTGTTTGTTAACCTATTCATAGCTGTCGCAAAAAATGTCACTCAACATTGAAATAAGTTACAGTTGGAGTTCTATTATACACAGATATTTTGGAAATTCATACCTTGATTCTGGTGCGCGCTGCAAACTTTGACACTTTCGATAGAGTGCTCAGCGCGAGCTCGCTCGTGTCGATATCGAGTTGGTGCGACTCTAGGCATGCTAAGAATTTGTCCTGAAAACAATTTTCAACACTGGTTTGAAATACTTTGTAACAGACTTCAAAAAAGAAGGTTCTCATTTTGACTTGTATGTATGTATGTTTGTTTGTTACATTTTTTTTAAGGGGGTATAATCTTCGAATGTCTGCTTCCGCCTGAGTAAGGCGGGAGGGAGTGTCAGACTCTTACTGACTAAAAACCACCCCGTTCCTTTTCCTGCACGTCGAGCCGGAGCCCCGGTAACCCGTTAGGTTCCCCGCGACTCCGAATCGGCATCGGCCCTATTGGGCCCCATCTGTGTTGGTCTGATGGCTCTTTGAGGGGCGCGCGGAACGTGACGCGCCGTACGCTCGGGTCTGTTTCTGGTTGGACGGGAAGTTACCCATGCTCGCCGTCCGCAGGCCCGCGCTTACGGTGGCCGGAGATCGTCCCGCGATCCCCGGCCGGCCGGCCCGGTGTGTCCTTCGCGATGGCTGGGTTGCAAGGAGGCAGCGCTACGCTGCCTCACGCGTCCCACCTCCTCCTTAGCTAGCATAACTGCTTCGCAAAAGGAGAAGACGGCATCCCAATCCCTCTCGCTCCGCATCATGACCTGTACTAGGCCCGGACGCGAGAGGTCGCGCGGCACGGCGGTGCTCAGCCCACGCAGGGCATTCCGCTACAGTGTGTTCCACCGTGTCCTCAGGGTGGTCCTCGCAGTGATGACACCCGGGCGTTACCTCCCCCCCATCAGACACAGGTACCTCCCGAAACTTCTATGTCCGGTGAGGATCTGCGTCAGGCGGTAGGTGAGGAAGCCATAGCGTCTCACAAGCCACTCCTCAAAGAGGGGACTTACCGCTACAATGGCAGCGAGCCCATCGTTTGTTACACATGGAGACAGTTTTGGTAATCTTTGTATTATTACGAAAATATCAGTAGTAAAAATCCTCTTTGTTTCTCAGTCTTTGTACAACTGTTTATGTATATACCTTTTGGTACCAGTTTATTTAGAATGTCGTTTCATGTGTCATCCATGTCGGTTTTAAGGAAACCTAATCAAGGCGAATTTGGGGTGTTCCTAATGTAGACCATTTTCTGGTTCAAAACATATAATTAAAAAAAAACGAACAAAATAATAATAATTATGTATAATAAAAATAGAATTATTTCAAAGTAACTATTATTAATACATCCAAACATTCGTCCACATCACTATCAATGCGGAAAGTGCCCAGAAGTCTGGTACGTACCAATACTAAAACGTTATAGGTACTTACAGCATCAGCTTTGCAGACGGTGTTTGCCATTTGCCTGCAAAGTTGTCGAAGAAAATGTGACTTGTCTACGGTTTCATCAGTTATCATGAAAGAGAACAACTTTTCTTTGAGCTCTTGATTATTACGGCACATTAGCGCGAATACGTTGTGACAGTCTGCAAAAAAGTATTTAAAAATAGTTGAAAGTACACGAAAATTAATAATTTGATACTTTTCATCTTTCATTTATGAATATCTAAGCTAGCAAGCACATACCTTCTGCTTCCCGTATATCGACGACACGTTTCACTGTACTGAGGGGCATTAATGATATATGCCTATAGGGCTTGCTTGAGCCTATCCGCATGGTGCCAGTGCCATTTGTAGGACTTTTACTATTAAAAGCCTGAAACAAACAGCATAAATAGAAATTTACATGCGACATTAATGATTGATATAGCTTACTATAATCTGTCACAAATCACGACAGTGTTTCCTTAATATTTTTCACAAGATCTTAATCGTTTTCTCAATAAAACTAGTAGTTTTTTACTTAAGTACTGAAAATGTAAAAGGTTATTATTGCCTTCATATCACAAATATTCGTGACAACATAATGCTTACTTTGGATCTTTTCTTGCAGACTTCCATGGTATCCGTGAATAGAAATAGTACGAGATGGTCTCCTCTGCCAGATAGTTCTTTAGATAACTCCACTACTTCGCAACGTGATACGAACGACCGATGAGATGAAACTAGGTGGGCCTGTGAAAAAACATAAAATAAACAAAAAAATCAAAGTACTACGTTTTTGTTACAATGTTTTGTTCTTGCTTTTCGTGCAATGACGTGATTGATACCTCGGACTCACATAAAAACGTTTTTTCGTCGTGTGAGTGATGTTACCGGAGGTCCAATTACCCCCCCCCCCCCTTCCTAGTCTCCCCAATCCCCGAATCCCCCACAATCCTCAAATTCCCAATTCCCAAAAGGCCGGTAACGCACTTGTAACGCCCCTGGTGTTTCGGGTGTCCATGGGCGACGCTGATTGCTTAGCATCAGATGATCTTTCTGCCACCAGATTATCCCATGAAAAAAAGTTCATGGTTGTAGCTCCGCCTTAAGTTGGCGTGCGTATTGTAGGGATGAGGATTCCAATAAGGATGATGTAGTTTAGTTTCTGGCTACTCTAGTAGAAGTGTATTCGCTCACCGGGCACTGGTCGATGTCATTGTAGATGTCGAACATCTGTAGCTGTCCCTCGGTCTTGCGCTTGTCCTCGTTGATATGTGACATGACCTCGCGCAGGCCGGCCAGTGCCTGCACCAGAGCGCCGTGGTCTGGATTGTTCTTGTGTGTGTGCTTCAATATGTCTGCGACAAGTTACCGCACTTGTTAGATATTACATATTTAATATTTAAATATTTTTACAATATTACTGAATTTGATTTATATTAAAATTACTACGATGACTATGACTTTTATTAAAAAAAATTCTCAGTAGTAGCACGGAGTCTGGAATTGTGCCCGGTATATGGCAATAGGCTCACCCCCTATTACATGGGACTCGTAACATAAATAGTGAAAAGTGGGTGTTACATTGTACAGTGGTATAATGTGCACCTCTGCCTACCCCTTCGGGGATAAAAGGCGTGATGTTATATGTTATTTTTACAACTCACAAAATTACTTTAATATTTGATTTAATGACTTGTTGTTTGTCTCAAAAAATTATAAAGGTACTGACTGACGTGCTCAAAAAAAGCTGCTTATAAGCTTGCTTAAAATTAGCATGCTCTGCAAACTGTTCACATTTGCCAGCAATAAGCATGCTTGTTTTAAGCATACTCCTAAATAGGCATGCTCAAAGCAAACGTATGGACAGACGTGCTTTTTTGCACCAGGTTCTCAGCCAAAATGGATGTACAAGTATATAGTAACAGTGCTATCCAAACAGAACTTAATAAAATAATCATATAGCTTGCAACGGAATTGTGTAAAAAAAATTAGTAAAAAAAACACGGAGAATTTGGGTTCGTAATTGGATAAACAGAAGAGAATCACTGGGAGCAAGTGATCGATTGTTGGCAGACATGCGAAGCGAAGATCTCGACAGTTATAAAAATCATTTGCGAATACTCCCGCACAAATTCGATAGACAGAATCGATAATAGCATGCTAATATGCAAACCTGTTCAGACGTGCTCGGAGCACGCCCCCCCCCCCCCGCGCCTCAGGGAGCATGGTCGAAAATCGGACGTCGTTTGATTTTTGAGCACGCTCTAAATAAGCATGCTCATTACATTACACACGTGCTACTAATGAGCACTTGCTCAATAAAAGTATGCTTTCGTGCTAGTAGTAAGCACGTCTGTCAGTACCATTACATGGTATGATGATACTAAAAACTTACCATCGAGTAATAAACTTATACTAGGTAACCGCTGCACTGGTCTTATTAATAGCTCCTGTAAACTTTGTCTGCCACACTCTGGCTTTGTTTGACAGATTTTCAGGAATGCATGAAATCTGTAATAAATAAAATACAATAAATTTTGTCTCGAACCTAGATATTCAGATATAAAAATACAATGCTCATGTTGCACAAACCTTGGGTTCTCACGGTCGCACTGTTGCAGCATCTCCTTGGTATTTTCAAAAAAGTTGACAAATGGCGGGTATGCCTTCACCATGTCAGGCGTGTAGCGCAGGACTAGTCGCCCAATGCTTGTCTCCTCGCTCCAGTGCGCTTGTGCATAACGTAACTCTTCTAACATTCGCCTAGGAAGATATACAAATCAACTTATTACCGTAATCATTGGTCAATTATTGGGATCAAGATAGACCATGGCTAATGTCGGCATGGTAGGCTAGAGGAATCAAGTTACGTATTCTAAATAGCAAATAATGTTATAGCAGATACTTACTGATGTAATTCATAAATAGGCGGTAAGTTTCCAAATATAATTTTTAGTTCAGTATTATTGAGCAATGCTTGATTTTTTCCATTACTATTGTCGTCCTCGGTCATCTCCTCTAAAGGTTGTTTAAACATCTAAAAGAAATAATATGATCATTTAATGAAGACAGATAGATAACAGAATGTTTAAGATCAAAATTATTTTTGGTATAATATATATATTGTGCTGAAATCTCACCGTAACTATAGTATGCAATATTCCAACATAGTTGGATTCTGTTTGTAACAGCTCCATGAACACCTGCTGCCGCGGTGACAACAATTTCCTCACAACCGTGTCAGGAACTTCGGACTCTAAACAACAGAACAACATCAGTTACGCATGAATATCAATATGTTGCAAATTCTAAACAAGCTTTTTGTTGGTTGTTTTTTGGAAAGATGTGTTTGGCAAAATAATCTCACCTTCTAGTAGCTGCTTGCCGTCGGGCGAGGGAGTGCAGTCGAGCAGGTTCCCGGACAGGCTTAGCAGCACGGCGTCGCCCACGGACGAGCGGCGCTTGTGCAGCGCCGAGTCTCCGCCGCGCAGCTTGCGCTTGCGCAGGCGCTGCAGGTGCGAGGGCGTGGCGCCGGCCTCCGTACTAGGCGTGGCCGCCGCCTCTTCTGCCGCCGCGCCCGCGCCCGCACCGCCCACCGACGACCGCCGCGACACCTCGTCTAAATACTGACCGATGCATCTTTATTACTATGTACTTATTTTTAGCTTTAATTTCACTTTTACACGAAATTGTCAACGCTGACACGATTACTTACGTCTTTGAAAAGATAATCTCGTTCATCCTGTGCCTCCTCATTTTGCACAGAAGCCCAGAACCATTCAGCTTTGACGACGTGTACCCGCGTCGAACAATCTGGTGCGACCGGTATATTATGCTCGTCGACAACCTGCACACACATTTTTGCATATTAGATAACATAAAATAAAAAATAAGATATTTTTCCTCCACCGTACCAGTAACAACTAGACCCGTTGAACGGGATTCCTACGCAATTCTCTTGAAGGTGTCCATTTGAGCACAGCTTCTTAAGCATCTAAACAGTTTTCAAGGTGCAGACAGTATATTTTTCAATGACATGCATACCAACGAGGACCGCCTTGCGGCCGAGGGCGGCTTCTACACAGATACGACACAGACCATGACCGATGTTCGATGGCATGACAAGCTACTATAATTTTAGTAGTAGTAATGAATAAAATAGTGTTAGTACCGGCAGCGATATTCCATGGCATTGCGATATGGCGTGGGCGCCACGGATGGGGGGCGTCGAGGCGGGCGGCGGCTGGTCGCGGGCGGAGCAGGAAGGGGGCGGGGCGAAGGATGCGAGGGGAAGTAGTGGGGTGAGCGCAGCGCGGCTGAAGCATGGTGACCCTGAAGCTACGCTCGGCGCGCTACTCATGCGTAGCTCGGAGCCGCCGCAGATCGAGTGTCGATGAGTTCGTAGCCACACACTTTGGGGAGTTTTAAAGACTGTCGAATCATCAAGTTCGTCCACATCAGCTACTTGGTTCCTAATTGGAGTGACTAGGCCAGTGCTGTCGACAGTGTCGACCTGAACTGGAGAAATATCTAAATTCATTCCATCGAAAGTTTGCTTCGGTGTCGAAATGTTCTTTAAATCTGATGGTAAGTGGCTCGCGTCTACTTCTACAGTATTACGCTCTGCTCGCTTTTCGTATTTCTTTTTTCTTTCACTTCTAAACGAAGCTGTAAATGATTTCACACTCCGTCGTAATTTGGAAGCAGATTTCACCGTTTTAGAACTTCTTATTGAAGCAAATGATATGTCGAAAAACCCGGATTGCTTACTTGTGTTCATGGAACAAATAGAAGTGTTATCATCTTCTTTGATTGGTGAAGACGTTGAAGCTACGAATTCTCCAGCAGGATCAGTCGGTTTAACACTGTCTGGACTTACTGGCTCCACCACGATTTCGCCAGTAGTTTTAGATACTGAATCTTTTTTTGTCCGTTTGAATATAGTGGGTCTATTTTTAAATTTGAAGGAGTCTTTTATTTTTAATCTTTTAATAGATTTCCAGTTACTCTCTTCACATTTATCAGGCGACAGATTGGCGTCAATTGTGCTAACTTGAAAATTAGAGTCAGTAGAATTACGACTTCTTTTCTTGCCAGACGATATAGTTGTTGTAGACTGTTGTAATTCTTTGCCGCCAGTTGAACTGGCCAACAAAAACACTGGTTCATCTTTCGCGTCGAGGTCACATAAACTTTTCGTTAAGGAGGAGTGTAAGGACCCGGCTTCAGTAAGGCAGTCAACTAAGTTGAAAACATTCATGGACTTATTTCTAAAAACTTCTCTCTTATCCTTAGAGTTAATTTTATCCGATCCGTGTACAAGTTGAGATATGTTTTTATTATTTTCTTTTTCACTTATAGTGTATTTTCGCATTTCCACACGTTCAACATGCGGAGGGCTCTTGGTGGTGTCAAAGTTGGAGTACAAATCATCGGTGAATGATTTCCCTACTAAACTAATACTGAACGTACTGTCATCTGTTTGATCTTTGCTAACAGTTTTGGCTTGTTTTTCTCTAATACTGTTTCGCGCTATGTGCAAGCGCTGCTCTCTGTCATCGTGCGACATATCATTTGCATGCTTGGTGGGACTAGCGCGGCGGCCCGACAACCGCGCCGACAGTCTGCGGTAAAGTGAGCTCTTAGGAGTAGACTGGGAACGGTTGGGAGTGGCACGGGATGGTTTCGCTGAGTTAGGTGTACTCGGGTGGGGTGATAGGATAAGCGAACGACCGAAAGTCTCCCCATTGGCCATTACCTGAAACATGTGTGAAACACACCACGCAATGATGTAATGAAGCCATTCCAATACAAACATGCACGACGGTAATAATATTTTATTATCGTGATAGAGGTAGTTAAACACAGAAAGCGACTGCCTAGTGAAGATTCGAGTACGTTTTACAGTTTAGTTTGAATACCAGTGTTTTTTGATCAATATTATTATAGTAAATTATGATAGAAGATGTTTGAAAAGGCGGATTTAATGAGAAATATATTTGTATAATATTAACTAACATCCACATTAAGAGCATTTTAGATGTATATTCGAGTGCAGTACATTGTATAGTGAGAAAGCAAGTCGACACTTTGCACAAGACATGTAACAAATTTAAACAATATTACAAGTATGTGTGATTACATGGACTAGTGTAGGTAATATATACAAAAGCTGAATGAAGTATATGCGCAATTACTGTACAACAGTGAATGCTAGTGAACGAACAATGCTATGAAACTTGTGATACCTTTATGATGTAAAACCAAAAATAATGAAGGAAAACAATGGGTCGACTTTGCGTCGTGAGGTGGGGATGTGGAGGGGGGTTCAATGTCGGACTACCCCGAATAACGGAATACAAAGTTAGGATAAAGGAGAAAAAAATAACAAATTTCAGGGCGCGCATGAGTTTCTAATACTGAAATTATTTTCGTGTGCACATAAAATACACAACGCATGTATGTGACATTGAATCGGCTCTCATGTAGTCGTTATTTGTACTGATAAATTGTTAATCAAACACCTGCTGGCATTGAAGGCATTGCTACGCAGTCATTGGAAGAAATAAAGAGGTGTAAAACTGTGTTCTAATAATATCTCAAATGTGCTTGCTACTAGCTAACTTATATTGTCTACTTAATGTATCTAACTAAGAGTGATTTGTATCCCAAGTACATCTACGTGCATGCTGACTTCATAATGCTAAAATTACTTACTAATAATGTGTGATGTGGCATGTAGAAAGGTGTATATAAATAAACAGGTATTCATGTTATGCAGAGGTAAACGTTCTGTGGGACATTAATGGCCGTTTTTACAAACCGCCCCTAACCATCTCTTAACTAAGAGTTACTTAGCGTGAATGAGCACCTAAACTAACCCCTTACCTGTACTGTAGGGTGTCACTTATAGCTTGGTTTGAATTGAACCAAAATGCTGTTAAGTGACACCTATCTTTGTTTAGGAGTTTCTTGAAATTTAAGACAGATTGGTGAAAACGGGCGTTATTGTCAAATGAAATAATGTTTAGGTATATTGTAAAAACTGAGCTTAAAAAATCACTAATCAAATAAAAGCACATATTGCAGCCTTTTTTAGGTACCTACCTATATTTTTGGGAACTTAATGTTCACAACAATTAAGTATGATTTAAGTTTTACTGCATTAATAGTGATGCAGTTACAACGCAACTTCATTTACATGTTTTGTCAAGAGTTATAAATTGCAAATATCCTGTGAGGCTGTGATAAAGGCAATCCACATGTTAATTGGCGTCAGTCCGACAGCATAGTGTATGTGTGGGAGAATATGAAAAGTTTGTAGTACTCACAACGTGCGTACAGTCGGGGTCGTCGAGCTGGCAGGTGCCGCCGCCATTGCTGGCCAGCACTTCGGCCATGTGTTGAGTCTCATCTTCAGGGAATCCCACGAAGCAGACGCGAGCGCCCGCAAACACTTTTAGTTTGTGTTCTTTCTGTAATTTTGATATATTTGCATTGAGGTAACTTCCAAACATGGATTGTATAATGAAAATAAAGTGCATTTGGAACTGTTTGATAAGATGATATACTCACGATGATGTTATCATCAGTGGCGAGACAGGCAGGGTCGTCGCGCCGCTCCCAGCAGGCGTCGACCCAGGAGCGCGCCAGTACGGGCAGGCCGAATCCGGACGCATATCGGTACTTGTCACCCGTCGCGGCGGCCGCGATCAGGTGCGTCACTTTACTCGACATGTCCTTGCGGATCGACCCGCCCATGTAGTGGATCAGGGTTATCAGGTACGTCTGCCGAGTAATACCTCTATTGTACACAACTCACTGATTATTTACCTATATGTATTACATAGATTTGTTATCGCGTGAGTATATAATATCAAATTGTGCGCGCATCTTAAATTCTATTTTCACAATAACAACATTGTTCTTTTTTCATCCCTTTCATCAATGTAAAGGTAAAAGTATATTTTTGCTATATCCACTAATCCACTGTTACTTCAATGACTTAGTAATAACGAATAGATACTTTTTTTTTAAGGGGGGAAAATCATCGAATGACTGCTCCCACCTGGGTGAGGCGGGAGGGAGTGTCAGACTCTTACTGACTAAAAACCACCCCGTTCCTTCTGCTGCACGTCGAGCCGGAGCCCCGGTTACCCGTTAGGTTCTCCGCGACTCCGAATCGGCATCGGCCCTATTGGGCTCCATCTGTGGTGGTCTGATGGCTCTTTGAGGCGCGCGCGGAACGCGACGCGCCGTACGCTTGGGTCTGTTTCTGGTCGGACGGGGAGCCACCCATACTCGCCGTCCGCAGGCCCGCGCTTACGGTGGCCGGAGATCGTCCCGCGATCCCCGACGCCCGGTGTGTCCTTCGCGATGGCTGGGTTGCGAGGAGGCAGCGCTTCGCTGCCTCACGCGTCCCGCCTCCTCCTTAGCTAGCATAACTGCTTCGCAAAAGGAGGAGACGGCATCCCAGTCCCCCTCGCTCCGCATCATGGCCTGTACTAGGCCCGGACGCGAGAGGTCGCCATCGCTGATCACTTCCCTGAGGGCACGGCGGTGCCTCCGCGCGCATGCTATACACGCGCGCGAGCACCTTCGCCTCCAGATCCCACGGCGGTAACCCGGCAAGGAGGTTCGCCGACTCCCCGGAGATCGTGCTGTATTCGCGGATCATTCGGATCGCCATGATCCTCTGTGCCATAAGCAGCGTCCGAGCGGGACGCCGCAACAGGTTCGGCGCCCACACAGGGGCGCCGTAGAGGGCCATGGACCGCACGACCCCGGCGTATAACCTCCGGCAGGAGGCGTTTGGCCCCCCGATGTTGGGGAGGATGCGCTTAAACGCCACCCCCGCCCTCTCCAACTTTGGAGCCAAACGTCGGAAATGCTCAATGAAGTTCCACCGACTGTCGAGGACGAGTCCTAGGTACTTCATCGTCGTCTCGACGCCGATGGTAACTGCTCCCGCCGTTATTTGGGACCCACCCGGAGGTGGCGCGTTCCCGCGGCCATGAAAACACATGGCCTCGGACTTGTGGAGCGCCTCCTCGAGTCCCAAAACGAATAGACACTTACAAGTTCATCCTTCTTCCGGAATCCTGAGAAACATATAACAGCGCCGCGCATCGCCAGCGAGTAGAGAGGACGTGCCGTCGCCGGTGGTGGCTCATCGCGCTCCGACAACTGTAGGACCGCTGTAGGTCCCAGCACTCTGCAATCAATAAAATATATCAGTCAAACTATATCTTTCATTACAACATGAACCTCTTTCTGCGGGACAAAAATGTACGTGCCACTTATTCATCTATATCTACCTACACTAATAGTATAAAGAGGAAAGGTTTGATTATTTTTGTTTGTTTGAATTGAACAGGCTCCGAAATTACCGAACCGAATTGAAAAACTTTTTTACCGTTGGAATGAACATAAGCTATATTTAATAAGACAGAAAAAAGGAAACTGTGTGACCGATAATATAACCCGATGTGTGAAAATACTACCATAAAACTCCTTACTTAATAAGCCTTTGACTGCCAATAGAAAACTGTTTCCAAGTTCTAATAATAGTATTAAGCTGCATCAGAATGTGGGATTTGACTTGATTGTCTAGCTTCTGCCGACGGTTTCCCTTGCGCTCTTTTAAAGTATTGGGGACAGTTTTACAAAACACAAACAATAATTGGTGCCCGATGTTTTGCTGGTCACAAATATGATACCAATTTTAGGTTTCTTGAAAATTACGAAATGCTCCATACAAACTTCCATACCCTATTTTAGGGAAGGGGTGGGGTAGAAAGAAACAAAATATAGCCTATGCTACATTCAATCCTTTCAACTATCTCTACTCAAAAAAAACATGACGTTAATTTGTAACAAAACTAACAGACACACACAAATGTATAATATTAAGTATACATTTCTATGTTATCTGACATATCTTTGACAAGTCAGTTACATGCCAATGGATCATTGACAATGTATTTTTTTTTTATTATCATGATAGAATATACATTATATATTAACCACTGAAACTATTGAAATTCGGTTCAACGAGAGTTTGAGACACTGGCACTGGAAAGGACGGAAATACGACGGGACAGGTTATAATGCGTTATAATTCCGGGGCTTTATCACAAACCACTGAATCTATTTCAGTGCAATTCGGTACAACGATAGTTTGAGACCTGGGAAAAGGCGTATTTTTTGCGCCGCCCGCCCATGGACACCCGAAACAGCAGAGGTGTCAGTGTCAGCGAACAAGTCAGTTACTGGCCTTTTGAGGATAAGGAATTTGAGGTTTGTTGGACATTCAGGGATTGGAGAGTTTGGGGAGGGGGATAATTGGACCTCCGGTTACCTCACTCGCACGAAGAAAGACAACGCAAGTGTTGTTTCACGTCGGTTTTCTGTGAGGCTGTGGGATCACTCCGGTCAAACCGGCCTATTCGTGCCAAATTCGGGCCGTCTTTACATTATTCTTACATGTGTGTACAATATTGGAATATGTATCAGAGCAGTGTGAAACAGACTTCTTTTTAAAAGAGTAACGAATGGAGGTTCTTGCTCGTTCTTCTCCACTCGAATCGACATTTTGGAACGAGCGGAGCGCCTAGCTTCACTGACGGACAGACTATATTTGTTGACGTTTCAAAAGTACCAAATTATGGTTTAATTGGTTCTAAGCTACCTCCCTACCAATTTTCAGCCAAATCTATTCTGCCATTCTTGAGTTATAAGTGGTGTAACTAACACGACTTTCTTTTATATATATAGATATATACAGATTTTGAATACAAAAATAGGTATCTATTATATTGTATGTTCATTTATGTACATACGTGTACAGTACGGTTTTATTTTATGATCCGTAGAGGAACATTAAACGCCACAAGAATTACAAAAATATGTAAATGCATTAGATTTTTAGAATTTAGAACAAGATTATTTTATTTTGATAATGAACATTAGACTTATCGTAAAGGAATTATGGTCTACTTGCATAGTAAAAAAAGTCTAGTAAGAGGTGATAGATCTCCGACTGGCTTGTTGTCAGTAAAGTAACTTAGTATTTAATTAACCCAAACTATGGGTACTAACCGCACCGAACCGAACCCTAAAACGTAATAATAATTTAATTATTGTTAATACGTTAATGCTAACTGCTTGTTTAGTGTGAACCATTCGTAACCACTTTCCTTTTATCCAATTCAGTACAGGACAAATTATGACATGTTCAGTCAGTATCCTAAATCTATCACGGCATCAGACCACCACAGATGGGGCCCAACAGGGCCGATGCCGATTCGGAGTCGCGGAGAACCTAACGGGTAACCGGGGCTCCGGCTCGACGTGGGGGGAAGGAACGGGATAGTTTTTAGTCAGTAAGAGTCTGACACTCCTTCCCGCCTCATCCAGACGGAAGCAGTCATTCGATGACTTTCCCCCTTAAAAAAATTCTAAATCTATCAATGATGTCCTATCTATTGAATTGGATTCATATCAATTAGAGTTCGCCGGTCAAGCTGATAGTGGAGCAATGATGCAGTTAATAATTTGCTTACATCTGACTAATTAGTTAGCCTTATCTGTAAAAACATTATGGATTCAAGTCATAGGCGGGCCGTTCCTTTTATGTTAGTTCGCAAACTTTCACAATACATTCATCCTGTTATATAATTAAATCTAGCGGTGCACTTCCTATGTTACCTCACACTGCATATTAAGTATTGTTAATTTATAATTCTTGCCTCGTTGGCCGAGTGGTCGCAAGTGCGACTGCCGGGCAAGGGGTCTCGGATCGATTCCCGGGTCGGGCAAAGTATTACTGGGTTTTTTCAAAAATCTCAGTAGTAGCACGGAGTCTGGAAATGTGCCCGGTATATGGCAATAGGCTCACCCCCTATTACATGGGACTTATAACATAAATAGTGAAAAGTGGGTGTTACATTGTACAGTGGCATTAAGTGCCGAAATGTGCACCTCTCCCTACCCCTTCGGGGATAAAAAGGCGTGATGTTATGTTATGTATAATTCTTGCCCACCTATTAATTTGCAAGTGTAAACTCACAAAAAAAAAAACAAAAATTACATCAATGGATCATTGACAATGTATTTTTTTTTTATTATCATGATAGAATATACATTATATATTAACCACTGAAACTATTGAAATTCGGTTCAACGAGAGTTTGAGACACTGGCACTGGAAAGGACGGAAATACGACGGGACAGGTTATAATGCGTTATAATTCCGGGGCTTTATCACAAACCACTGAATCTATTTCAGTGCAATTCGGTACAACGATAGTTTGAGACCTGGGAAAAGGCGTATTTTTTGCGCCGCCCGCCCATGGACACCCGAAACAGCAGAGGTGTCAGTGTCAGCGAACAAGTCAGTTACTGGCCTTTTGAGGATAAGGAATTTGAGGTTTGTTGGACATTCAGGGATTGGAGAGTTTGGGGAGGGGGATAATTGGACCTCCGGTTACCTCACTCGCACGAAGAAAGACAACGCAAGTGTTGTTTCACGTCGGTTTTCTGTGAGGCTGTGGGATCACTCCGGTCAAACCGGCCTATTCGTGCCAAATTCGGGCCGTCTTTACATTATTCTTACATGTGTGTACAATATTGGAATATGTATCAGAGCAGTGTGAAACAGACTTCTTTTTAAAAGAGTAACGAATGGAGGTTCTTGCTCGTTCTTCTCCACTCGAATCGACATTTTGGAACGAGCGGAGCGCCTAGCTTCACTGACGGACAGACTATATTTGTTGACGTTTCAAAAGTACCAAATTATGGTTTAATTGAAATAAATGCTTTTAAGTTTGAGTTTGAAATCATAGTTCGATTAATTATCAGTTTTTATCCCGAAAATCCCACGGAAACGAGAACTGCGTTAAAATTCTGGGTCTCTCTGTCTTTTAAACCATTGGACTTACTTGGGTGAAATTCGGTACGAAGATAGTTTGAGACTTGGAAAATGACGCCTGAGAGTTATCAACCATACTTATTTGATTGAACTCAAATGAAGTTTTAATCACTGAAACCTCACGGGAATGAGTAGGTACTATACGGGTAAAATCCCTGTGGGTTTATTTTTCACGAAATCTTTAATTTTTATTCAATGAAATCATGAAAATGAACATAAATCGATTGAATTGATTCTGATGAGATTTGTTACACAGCATTGGAATTAACCTTGGAAAATCCAAAATTGGCCAGAAGTAATTATTGTACGCATACGCAGACGAAGTCGCGGGAAACTGCTTGTTTATTATACATATAACAAAACTGTGTGTGTTAATTCTGTAAATTGAAAATATTAAAATATTCAATGGTAGGGGTTACTAGAGGGCTAACTACATAGACGAAAACGGACATAATTATACAAAAAACACAGTTACAGTACCAAACGCAAATATAAGTTTGTCGAATGTTAGGTTGCCTGTTACTCAGTCACATCAAAACTGCTGAAGGGACCGGCATAATATTTGGAACAGATTAGGTTATAATATGAAGTGTTTTAGGCTACTTTTACCCCTGGGAACGCGGGCGAACCTTTTTATACATCTATATATATATAAAAGAAAGTCGTGTTAGTTACACCACTTATAACTCAAGAACGGCAGAATAGATTTGGCTGAAAATTGGTAGGGAGGTAGCTTAGAGCCAGGAGACCGACATAGGATACTTTGTAACCAATTTTTTTTTAACTTTTTACCTAAAATCATGAACGGGGACGGGAAAAAATGGGATTACGCGTACGAAGTCGCGGGCAGAAGCTAGTAATACTATAAAGTAAGCCTCTCTGATAATGTTAAATATTGGTAAAAGACAATGTCCAAAATGGCCCTGTGCAATAAAAAGTATCAGAATATACGATAATTAATCCCCTATTATTTTAATATACAAGTTGCACATACGTCGTATTTTGTATGTCGCGGAGAACCTAACGGGTTACCGGGGCTCCGGCTCGACGTGCAGGAGAAGGAACGGAGTGGTTTTTAGTCAGTAAGAGTCTGACACTACCTCCCGCCTCACCCAGACGGGAGCAGTCATTTGATGATTTTCCCCGCTTAAAAAAAAAATACTTTTGTATCACGGACTAGCTGTATTCCAAAATGTACTTTTAATAGAATTTAACACGTTTTATAACATTAGATCGCCATCTTCGACTAATGTGAAATGCCTTCTACTAATGTAATAAATAAA